GCTTATTAATAGTAAAAATCTCTATATAAATAATCTTATTAATATATTTAATAATAAATATTTTAAAGCTGCCTTTAACTTAAAGAAGAAAATAAATATAAAGGAGATTATATTTCTAATATTTAACTACCCAGATATTAATAATATATTCCCTAAAGATTAAATCTTTATATAGCTTAGATATAAGTTTTAACAGCTTAATATAGAATATATAGGCTATTAAGTTAAGATAATTTTCCTAAGACTAAATAGGAACGCTAGTTGCGTCCCTAATAAGTTTAGCCTAAATCTTATTCTAATATAGGTTTACTATAAAAGTAATAAAAAGATAAGGCTTTTTAAATTTATAGATAATAGCTATAGAGTCTTAATAGTACTATTATATAAAGCAATTACTACCTATAAAGCTTAATAGAAGAATATATAATTTATTTATATTAATAGGATTAGTGCTAATAGCTATAGTAAGAGCTATTTTAATAATATTATATCTCTTAGCTTAGAGTTTATTTTAGTACTGTTTAAACTAATTTAACTTATACTACTTAATAAATAATTATAGATTTATAATAAATTATTAATAAAGATAGCTAGTATATTATACTATATTAAAATTATCTAGGTATTAAAATAAAAGCTAGTAATAATAAATAAGTAATATAATTTATATCTATTAATATTTTTAGCTTCTATAGATAAGACTTAGCAGCTAAAGCTATTAGTACTAACCCCTTTTATCTTAAAAAAAAAAGAATATATTAGAGGAGAATATATAGCAGGTGCAAATAGTAGATTAATATAAGATATTATCTTAAATTAATTTACTAGATTATTAAGGAGCCCTAGAGAGCCGATATAATTTTCTCAGTTTTATCTTTATATTATAGCTATAAGTTATATTTAAAAATAACCTAGGGTATATTATTATTATCCCTAAAGTAGATATTATCTTTTAATATCTTATTATTATTAGATATAATATCTATATTCTTTTTTAACTAATTAGATATTAAGTATTATAAAAAGGGGGATTTAGTAAGGTAAAGATAGATATTATAAAAACTTACCTAATTATACTCTTTTATAATATTTAAAATAAAGCCTATTAGTTCTATTATTGCAGTTGCCAGATTATAAAGATACTTATTATCTTTATTAAGGATTAAATATAACTATAGGATAAGATACAGGTACTATAATCCCTAATTAATATAATATTTAAGGATATTATAAGCATAATAAAAGACTCTTTAAAATAAATTAATCTTATAAAGTAATATATCTAATTACTATATAATCTTAATATATATCTAAGGTATTAAATTATATTCCTGTTATATTTAATCTGCCTTTTAAAAATTAAGAAAATAGAGCTATATAAAAGAGAGTATTACTCTATATAGGGGGCTAATTTAGTAATAAAATACTCTCTATAATTAAAAGACTTACTAGTATTGCTAAGGGGCTAAATATTAGTTATTTATATAGGCTATAGAGGTAAAGGCTAGTAATATATTAATTAACTAGATATTTTTATAAAAGAGAATTAACTTTAGATTATTATTATTAAGGTATTTTTTTAATAATAATAGCGGCTCTTGTATTAATTCTATATTAAGGCTAGGCTTTATACTACTACTCTTATAGTAATAGTTAAAGATATTACTATTAATAATAATCTTGCAGCTTTAAAATAAAGCATAATAATATTTATATTAAATATTTATATAGCTAAAGAATAATTATTACTACTCTATTATTAATAAATAAAAGGCCCTAGAAATAGTTTTAATAGCTTATAGTCTAATTTTAATTATTTTTATAGGAGGTCTGCTTTAAGATATTTTAAAATAATAATTATAGATATTATAGATAGTATTCTTTATAAAATAGTTCTAATATTAAGGGTTTATATAATATAAAGAGTAATATATAGGCTATATAGCCTCTAGGATAGAGAGAAAAGACTACTTATAATTACTACTGGATTTATAACTAGGAAATTAAGATTAAGACCTTCTTAGCTAGGTTTACTAATGTATTTAAGCTTAAAAATAAAATTATATATAATATAAACTTTATAACAGCATATAAGATAAGTTAGAGATAATTAAAACAGCCTAAGAAGAGAACCTACTAAAGAATCTACTAAGGAATCTAATTAATTTAAAAGAGGAGATATTTTATAATAATAACTTAATTATAATATAATTTATAAAAAGATTAATAAATAATAATAAAGGCAATAAAAATAATTATCTTATTAAAGTTATTAAAAATATTAATAATAATATATAAGGTAATAAAGTAGATTAAATCTAGCTGTAAGACTAGCTAGTAGAGATAAGAGATATAAAATAAGCCCTTATTCCTGCAATAATAGCTATTAATACTTAAGTTATTATTAGACTTAATAATAAGCGCTGCTGCTATATATAACTATAATACTAAGATTATTTAAAACTTATATATATATTATAACTATATCGCATATAGTGCCTATAATTATTAACTTATTTAAGCTATCTTTTAATAATCTATTACTAGCAGCTATTATAAATAATATTAGAAGATAAAGAGATATAATAGTTATATTAAATATAATATTAGAGTATAGTTTAAGTAAATATAATAAATAATTAATAGGTAGACTTATATAAATACCCTATTATATATAACTAGGCCTTAAATATATATTTAATACAGCCTCTTTTAGCTAACAGATAATATAGATTATATAGATTATATAGATTATATTAATATATAGTACTGCTAGAAATTATTAAAGATAATTTAAATAATCTTAAAAATATAAGCCTTATATTAGTATTAAGATAGCTAGAATAGCAATATATTAAAAAATTAAGATAAGATATATTAAAAATTTAAAGTAAAATATAATAGAGAAATAAGGCAAACTGCAATAATTTATCTTAGGATTAATATCTAGGAATAAGATAAGATAAAATAATCCTAGGGGCTAGAACTAATCTTATAAGAGATATTCTATCTATTATCTAAAGAGAATTATATAAATATTATAAAATCTTATTTTAATATCTTGCTAATATACCTTATTACTCTAGAATTTATTATATAATTAGAATTAATTAACCCGCTATAGAGAATATAGCCTTAATCTCTAATACTTTTAATACTCCTAACCTAACTTTAAATATATCTTTTTTTAGTAAAGTAACTAGGTAAAAATAATTATATTAATAGCCTATATAGTAATTAAAGATATTATCTTATTAATTAAATATATAACCCTAGTTAGATCTTATTAGAGGTTATATATAGAAATATAAAAACTAATATAATAAGTATTCCCTTCTCTAGATATAGTTAACCTCTTACTAACTAATATAGCCTATTAATAGCCTAAATATACCTTACCTCCTGCTAAACTAAATAAACTAAATAAATTAAATAAGATTAAAGACTTAGGGTATAAAGATAATAAAAGGTTATAGATAGAGGAATCTTAAATACTATTAAATATATCTTATTTTAATAATTATAATTATAGTAAGATATTTAATAATAATAATAATAATAATAATAGCACTTACTATATACTAATACTAGCAGGTATTAATATTAAGCCTATTATTAAAGGTATAATAATTTATACCTAGATTAATAACTATAGGATAATAGTAGTTTTAGATAGTAGTAATCTTCTTAAAATATTAAATATATTACAGTATAATAGCTATTAGGGCATTATTAAGGTATATTAATAATAGCACTATTAGCTCTAGGAGTATCTTATATCTCTAGTTTTATTTCTTAGCCAGTTAGCACTTTATAATTAGTTAGAACTTAAATTAATTAGTATAAGGGATTTAACCTAGATATTAATATTATACTGTAATTTAGTATTATACAGTAATATATATATTTTAATATAGTAGGTGTAGTAGTAGTATTATAGGAAGATATATTAAGACTTAGCATAGAGTCTTTAAGCGAGTAGGTATTAAGAAGGAAGAGAAGGATATTTAGCTTTAGAGCTCAGAGTAGAGCTAGAGGAGAAGCTTTAGCTGTAAACTAACATAATAAACCAATAATAATCTGATGCTAAACTGATACTGAATAATAATAGAAAGATAAAGCTGATTATTTTATTCTAAATAACTGAAAGGTATCTCCTTTCTGTCCTTTGCTGCTTTACTTATAGACTTTTTAAAGACTTTAAGCAGAAGTATATAATCTCTTAACTAATTATATTCTTTATACCGATCCTCCCCACTATAGTAGTAGTACTGACTATAGACATTTTTAATGTTTATATCTCTGGTTGTTATGCCTAACTATACTGGCTTAGCATATATATTTAGCTAATAAACAAAGCCGGAGGTTAGCGGGTCTAAGAGATTTTAATATTCATACCTTTAATTGCTATACCTAACTATACCAGCTTAGTATTAGCTTCTAGCTATTAAGAGGCCCTAAAAGTTAGTGGGTCTAAAAAGTTTTAATATTCTCATAGATAGTTATTCTATATAATTATACCAATTTAGCATTTACTATCAGCCAATAAAAAAACCTAAATCTTTACCGGCCTGAGGTATTTCTACACAATTAGTCGCTCTATATAGGCAGGTTCCACATCTCTAGGGATCTAATTAGCCTGAGGGGACTTAACGCTAAAGTTTTATAACATTTACTTAGATATTCCACACCACGTCGGGTGCGCTAACTAGCAGACGTCTCGGAAGCATAAGCAGACCAATGGAAAATATAAGTACATGGAGGTTCAGTAATTATGCGCATGATTATAAATGAGCACGACAATAGCCCCGCGCGTCTTGCCTCTTTTGTCTTCTATCTGCTTCGACTTGACGAGATGGGGTGAGGACCAGGGGAGATTGACTGACTTCTTCCGAGTGGGAGGTGGCGTACTCCTGCGGCGGGACCGTACGGTCCGGGAGGGAGGAGATGCATATAATTATTATACCTGTCGCCAGCACGGTCATGATTTGGAACTTATCGACTGAGTCTGTACCTTTCAGAGTGTTGGTTAACCGAGCTTCATTTATCAAAGTGCTGCCTTCAAGTCTCTTTTTAAGGAAACTTTGCGCTCCAAGACTTCCATCTGCTATTAGACTTATACATCACCTAGCAATATGGCCATCAAGAATGTTGCGATCATCGGAGTATGTTTTCCTGGTAGCTCTCTTTTTCAGTGAAGTTTTGAATTCATCCGGATTATTTTTCTAATCGTCAGCTTTCATTCATTTCTTGTGACTTGAATATCCGCTGAATATTCCCCATGGAATAACCCTGCCTTGTTTATTGTCAAGTCACTATTTGATGCCAAACAATCACTAACAAGTCTGTGCAGGCCGGAGGAAACTTAGGGTATGCAGTGTCTCCATTTTCCAGAAAGCAGAACTCACAAGCCACCTCTTAGTTCCGGCCAAGGACCATACTAACATAGCATGACTTTCTTAGTCCTTCCATTGTCAAGAACCTCACTTCATCCCCTCACAACTACAACGTCTCCGTTCTCTCCCGCCAAGAATCCAGCTACAAGGCTCCAGAGGGCGTCACCCTTATTAAAACTGACTATAGCCCCGACTCCCTTGTTTCTGCTCTGAAGGGACAAGATGCAGTTGTCTCCGCTATTACGACCTCCGCCGTCCCTGAGCAGAAGAAGATCATCGATGCTGCTATTGCTGCTGGTGTGAAGCGATTCATCCCTTCAGAATTTGGATGCGATTCTAGCAACTCGGTCACTCTTCAGAGGGTCCCGCCGTTGAACTCCAAGAACCAGATTCGGGAGTACTTGGAGAGCAAGCAGGACCAGATTGAATGGACCGCTATTTACACAGGTTCTTTCTTTGATTGGTATGTGTTCCATTCTGTATAACCATATAAGAAAAGGAAGCCCTCTCGTTAGCGTTAAACTGACCAGTCTCACACACAGGGGCCTCAAAGTTGGCTTCCTCGGATGCAACCTCCCTGAAGCCACCATGACCATCTTCCCGGCCCAAAAGGACGTCCTCTTCTCAACGTCGACTCTTGACTTCATTGGCAGAGCCATCGCACAGACTCTCTCGCCATCTATCGCCCCCAAGACCGCCAACCAGCGGCTGCGCGTGCGCAGCTTCACCACATCCCAGACCCAAATCCTCGCTGCTCTTGAAAAGGCTACCGGCAAGAAGTGGACGGTCGCGGAGGCAGACCTTGATGCAAGCGTCAAGGATGCAGAGGAGAAACTGTCTAAATCCGACTTCAGCGGCGTGGGAATCCTGATTACTGGCGCGCTCCTTGATCCTAAGTGTGGGAATAACTTTGATTATAACCCGTCGAACGAGCTCCTGGAGCTGCCGACTGAAGATATCAATACTGTGGTTAAGTCTGTGTTGTAGGTGGCTACCAATAAGCTTCATATCAACCCAATGAGCTATCAGGGACTGTCTCAATGTTCTCACACTTTCTGGGTATAAAGCCCACCCGGCCTGCTGAGTGACGCAGTGCCTTATTATTTGATAATTCTATCTACTTGATTCTTATTTCACAACAATCAGATATTCATTCTTCAATCGTTCTCACCTTCTCAGAAGCATCTTAGATTGATAATGGGATTACGTCTTTATCTTGCCGGTAAGTCATCCTTGCGAGGTAATTATTTCAGGGTCTTGCCGCGAAATCCGTAGAGTTCTATATACAACTACGGCTGTCTCAATTGACTTAGTCGTATTAGTAGGCAGGGACTGAGCTTTGATTTTGGACGAGGTAGCTGGACGCGTTGCGACGTATCTTTTCATTTATCTTTCACATTGAAATCAAGTGCTCCATGACCGCCAGCCAAGTCACTACTACAGTACTGTCACTTCTCCTATCACTTCGCAAAACTGTCACCACGCTCTATCTTTAATCACTACTATTACCAACCCGTTGCGAGATTCTGATATCGCCGCTCCCTTCGGTGCTACTATCATTATCAAGATTGTTTTCTTGATTTCGACTGTGCCGCTCATCCAGACTCCACTGCTCATCACGATTGTGTTGTTGATCTCGACTGCGCTCGTCAACACGGTGAATGCAGGAGATGTGGCCAGCCTATTCAACGTCTCTGTCAACGATGTCCAGGAACTGAGAGAGTATATTGGCATATTCATCGACGGCAGCGAGCTTTGCAGAACCCATTTATCCCGTCGCGATGGAGTCAGGCTCGAACATTTCATAGAAGAGAAGCTTGCTGAGAACACAACTCTCCCAGATGCATTTCGTATCAAGCGTGATCATCAAAATTTTCCCAGGCTTGTAGCTCTCGTCAAGCAGAAGATCACGGAAAAATGCCGCCAACGCGCCAAACGCAACAGTCGCGCTCACTCGGATACCTGTATCAGTGCCCTGGCAACAATTGGCCTTCGGTTCTCTGACGATAAACAGAGTAAAGACTATGGTCTTTGCGCTTTCCGCGATCTCATGAAGGACGACATTACACCAACGGGGGATACAATCAGGGTTGAAGATTTTGACTACCAGAAGTTTCTGCAGAGAGTCAACTCCACAGCAGTAGCGACAAGGACAGGCGATGGCGAATCTAAGATCGTGTATAAGGATCGCAACGGCTCCGCTGCAATCATTGATGAGATCTCATGGGCGGCTGCCATCATGCAACTTCTTCAGGACGCGACTTCTGCTAAACATCGATTCGTCTTCCATCTGGAACGGAAAGGTATGTACATCTCCTCTGTTTACTTGGAAAGGCTATTTACCTGACAGACCCTCTAGTGCAAGATATCTCTGCAGCCCCACAACCGGATGGCGCAGACCGCCGCAATACCCGACGACTTTCCTCTGCTTCTATAAAATCAGAGCCTGATACAGCATCTCCGCAAAAGAGGCGGCGTCTGGATTCCGACTAGGTCTGGAGAAGGCAGAAAGAAAAGTTTCTGATCCCTATTCCCTGTTCCTTGCGATTTGTTCCCTTTCGGTTTGATTAATTTTTTTGCGACTTCGTCTCATATTCATGTTCATATTCACATACTCTGTTTACAGTTTTAATCCCTGTCGAATAAACCAGCCTCGAAGTTATTCGAATCCGTCATCATTAAGGAATGACATAGCTGGTCGGGAGATTGATAGTCTGTTATTAGCTAAAACATGAGATTTCTGTCACAATACAATTCCAACTTGATGTGCAACAGTAGCTGTGCCGATTAAGCAGCAGAGCGTTGTAGATCGCGGGGTAACTAGATAGCCAGTCCCGATATGGAAAGAACCTCGGTCGGCCTGTCGGCGCGGAACAACGGCCAACCCGGAAGCCGGGGAAAGAAAATCAACGCCGGCAGAATCGAAGATGCTCCGAACTACGCAGCATATACCAGCACGTCAAGGCCCGCTTTCTTTATAAGAACACCTTGAGGCACTGGCTGCCGCACACAATGGATCTCTTCTCCTTAATATCAATATCCGTTTCCTTTTTCCATCCACTACAGCCACCCGCGGAGTGATTGCCACTCAAGGCACCCTAAGGCGCCCACGAGATCTAGATACGATCTCGATACTCCGCATTCAAGTGAATACTCATAGAAATACCAGTTTGCCGAACAGACGACCCTCGACATCATGGCTTCCAAAGCTGCGGCACAACTGAGGTTGCCGGTACGGCCTCTCATCAAGAACATGGCAGTAATTAATCGTTTTTCTTCGATCAATTGCTTGTCGACGCCGGCTTTCCTTCGTACCCCGCCTTTGTCTTCTTCAGCTCCCTTCGTACGACACAGCTCCCACTCTCCACTGGGTACCCCGTCCCCAAATCCAAGAAAGAAGGTCACCATAAACACTATTCAGAATCTTTACAAGAAGGGCGAGCCAATCACGATGCTCACAGCACATGATTTCCCAAGCGGGCACGTTGCTGACGCCGCCGGCATGGACATGATCCTGGTGGGGGATAGTTTGGCCATGGTGGCTTTGGGCATGGAAGACACGAGTGAGATCTTGATGGATGAGATGCTTCTGCACTGCAGAAGTGTCTCCAGAGCGGCCAAGGCCGCGTTCACCGTATGACCCCTTGCCCCTCACTGCTGGATTTCTGTCAATGTAGCTAACGCAACTCCGTACCAATAGGTCGCGGATCTTCCTATGGGATCGTACGAGGTATCCCCCGAGCAGGCTCTCCAGTCAGCCATTCGCATTATAAAAGAAGGCCGTGTGCAGGGTGTCAAGCTTGAAGGCGGGGCGGAGATGGCCCCGACGATCAAGCGTATCACCCAGGCCGGAATCCCGGTCGTGGGGCACATTGGCTTGACGCCGCAGCGCCAGAATGCTCTCGGAGGATTCAGAGTGCAGGGGAAGTCAGTGGCTGGAGCATTGAAGCTTCTCGAGGATGCGCTTGCTATCCAGGAAGCTGGAGCATTCATCATGGTTCTCGAGGCAGTGCCCGCTGAGGTCGCAACTATTGTCACGAAGAAGTTGCGCGTCCCTACCATTGGTATCGGTGCAGGTAACGGCTGTTCCGGCCAAGTCCTTGTGCAGATAGACATGTCTGGCAACTTCCCGCCCGGCCGCTTTCTGCCCAAGTTTGTCAAACAATATGCCGACGTCTGGGGCGAGGCCATCAGAGGTATCAAGCAGTACCGGGAGGAAGTCAAGTCACGTGCGTACCCCTCGCAGGAATACACTTATCCTATCCCCAAAGAGGAGCTTGCAGAGTTTGAAAAGCTCGTTTCCGAACGGGAACAATAGCGATGTCGATTTCACTCTGCAGGTAATATACACACTGATGATTCATGCGACCGTTTCTTGTTTTATTCCTGCGAGCATCACGATCATGACAAGCGCTACCACCTGCTGTCAGCCGTCAGTTCACATCATATGTGATACCCTGGCGCTCCGTGATACCAATATTAGTCGATGACCTCAATCGCGCAGACAAGGCATGGTTTGATGGAGCACCATCCTATGTAAATAGTATTTGTCTTTTTGTCCAAGTCATCAGCATGATGGCGTGACCTGAGTTGAGGCAGACGAGAGTCGTTCTTCCAAAAGTTGCTTCATCCAAACGCTGGCGTCATGGAGTATGCAACTATCAGTTGGTCATCTGTCTTGAAGCACTGCAGTTTACATTCTGTTAATTTGTATCGATAAAAAATGATATTGTTACTTACCCTCCAGAGACCACCTACGCCTTCATCTAGCCCCGGCGCGAAGACACTGTTCACGTAACAGAAAACAGAATCGGTATCTTTGCAGTCTAGTTTCTTTCGAAGAAACTTCACCACAGTTTCGAACTTTTGAGAAGCACTAATCTTGAAGACCCTGTTCTTCAGAATAGGTGCTGAGGGCAGCGGCTGGAAACGAACGGTCACTGGAGATTTCCTTGATGTCAGAGACTTTCAAACTCATCAATCACATATTATATCGAAAGTGATAGAATGCGAGTACAGTAGGAACAACTGTTAGGCTAGTGCTGATGACGCAAAAAGTATGGGTATGGCGGGACATCCTCATCCTGAAACGGTCACGACAGAAGGGCCACATGATAATGAAAAACGACAAAGTAGACAACGAAGCTTATACATAAATAGCAAAAAGAAAAGAAAACATAGGGAGAAAGAAGTAGTAAAGTAAAAAGTCTCTATGTCTCGTGTTTCGAGAAAGTGCAGGATCTTTTTATCTTTCGAAACATTGGCATCTCGCCATAGCTTTTCGAGCTCGGGGACGGCAAGAAAACAAACCAGAATGCCTCAATGCCAAAAAAAAGATAGATTAAAACCAGGAACCCAACAAATATAATACCCTCAAAATACAATAAAAGTTAAAGAAACAAAACATACCTTTCCCCGTATCCAAAGCCTCCACATCCGCAAGAGCCTGATGAGCGTCACGTGGGAGACCCGTCAAGACGACCGACGCAGACATCGTCAGCGGCAAATCCGCACCATGCTCATCGTCTGGGATAGGAGTAGTTCCAGCATTGGTAGCACCCTCGTTACTGGGTGTTCCGCTTCTGGGTCTGCGCGCGAGACCTGCTCCGGTGCCTGAACTGGACGGATTAGGTGAGTTGCGAGCGGAGCGATCTGGGGAGGGGGAGGGCTCCATGGTTTCGATGGATAGATTTTCGTGTCTTTCCAGAAGGGTTTTGGGTGTGTTATTAAGTGATATGTCTAGGGGGAGTTCAGAGCGTAGGATGATAGTGGGATTTGATATTGGATTAAGATGTTTTATTGCTGGTCTCTGACGGGTGGAAAGATAGCGAGGTAAATTAGTTACATACTTAGAAAGGGCGGGGTGCTTAAGTACCTAAGTACCTAGTAGGCAGCGGAAGACAGCCTCCAGCTCCGATCCACTTGATCCGAAACAATCAACGCATTGAAAAGGGCCAGACTTGGTATAAATATGTCATGTAGAAAACGAAGAAATAATTTCATGTCTAGCCATATTGAGCATTTACTATTTCGATCCACTAAATTTCAAGCGATCATACTATCATACTATTCATACAACTTGTTGTTGGACTCTTTCGAATCTCATAAAGGAACATGCCTCGTTCTCTAGATGGCTGAACAGTGCGAGCAACGTGGAAAATTGCTTACCATAGGAAGCTCTGGCATTCGGACGACGATACACGCTCTGATTGTGCACTGGAGAGCTCAGATAACTGTTCAGGGCGTGTCGCTGACGGAAGTTACGATAGCAGATATAACACTCCCAGAAAGGACTGTTGAACGCGCGATCGGTAGCAGAGAACTCGGTAATATCCTGATATCCACCTAATCTGCTTGATGATAATGATACCTAATGGGTCATACTGGCGTACCATGCCGGAGGCATGGTAAATCTGGGCGATTGCAGCATGCGTTTGGAGAAGAACATGGCTAGGAAGCTCAGTATTGTTGCCGTGTGGCCTTGTGAAACGAACATATTCCGGGCGGCCATCCTCAGGGTGACTGAGAGCATGAGGCAGGAGATACAGACAAGTCTTGATCTTATATACGTTCTCCTCATCCTGGTTTAGTAAGCATAAATTCTCTTCATGTACTTTGGGTATATACTGACAGTGCTTTCGAGAGCAAGTTTGAATCGGCCGAATTGATCGTTTAGGAATAGGAGTTGCGGTCATTGAATTCCGGGTTCATTTATCCAATCTGCCTTCATGACATCCTGTGTAGCTATGGGAACTCCATACCGCTCGACCGAAAAGGAGAACTCCTTTATGGTCTCCCCGGCTCTAACATTAGCTATATTATAAAATGGCATGATAAAATGAAGGACGAACTTGCGGGGACCGAGGATTGCAGTGAATAAACGGTGAGCAAGATTAGAGAGAGAACATTAATCAATTTTCTGGGTGATACAACAGCAAAAAGTTTGTTTTCCACCAAATGGTAGGTGATCTAACAAACTCTCAATGATCTTCAGTCCTTATTGGATAGAAGACAGTATCCGGTCAGTTTTTCTCGTGCATCTATCTCCTCGATATACAGAGCTTCTGGATTAGAGGACAGAGAGGATAGACACCCACTCAGATCACTTAAGGCCTGAGTGAGCTGAGAGTCTGTCATGACGAGAAATGTAGAAAGAGCTCATATCTAGATAGAAATGAGATGGCTCGAACCTTTGGGGGCCACCTGGTTGTCGGAGTTGTCGCGCAGCCCAACTTTGGTGAATGTCGGAGTGAAGTGTTCCACGATCCCGTTCTTGCTCATTTAGGTAGCTAGCAATATTAATGATAGCTTGAAAGAGAACTCGCCGGATCTAGGAGGTTCCAATTGGAATGAGGCGGTTAAGACTTGAAGCTCTCCGGGCGAGAAGGCCAGGCAAAGGGGCCGCTGAAGCCTGGTTGGCTTCAATAATCGGCGGGGCACCTGACCCGCTGATCCGTGACCGGCGTCTCCAATTCTAGCCTGCCATATCATCATCGCCGCCGCTGCCACTCCTGCCAACCTCTCCTTCTCTCGCCTGATTATACCACGCTTCGTCCATAAGTGTTTGCTGCCCTTCTCGCAACTTTACCTCTGAAATATTTAAGCCCTGCTGCTGTCAGGGTTCTCTCTGCCTGTTGCAACCGACATACTTCTCTAACTGCCCCGCTCTGCCCGCCGATACTTTAGGTGTGCACCGAGCTTATCAGTCCCCTCATTTCAGCACGCACTCGCTTTCAGAGTCTTTTAGCTCTTCTTAAAGCAGATAGTTCAATACTGCACCGAACAGCCTCACATATTTCAAGATGAGCAGCCCCAAGCGCAGAATCGAGACCGATGTAAGTGGCTGTGACACTTTAGGGCGCAACAGATCTATGGCATTTCTATGGAGTTGAAAGCTGACCTGGGGTTCTTTTTCGCATTCATTTAGGTCATGAAGTAAGTCTTTAACCTGATTTATACAAATGTGCTCTGTGGTTTAGCTAACATGGAACTTAGGATGTACGTTAATCCTTTGCCACCGCCTTTCCCTCCGTCTGCCTCGTCCGACGGCTCAATCCACATTATCTTGGGAAATGAAAGGATATTGATGATATAAATTCTCAGGTTGATGAGTGACTACGAGGTTACTCTAGTGAATGATAACAGTCAGTACTTGTGATTTCCCTATGGCTGGTATTCTCTGTCGCTGACTACGCTCCCAGTGTACGTCAAAATTGATTTTCCAGGGGTTACTTCTGTATTTGATGTTCATACAGCCTCTCCACAGGCAAGAATTCTACGTTCGTTTCAAGGGACCTGAAGAAAGTAGGTGCCAAGCCTTGTGATCCAATAGTCCGCATTACTGACCATGCTGTAGCGCCATTCGCTGGTGGTCTCTGGAAGATCCATGTAGAGCTGCCCGATCAATACCCATACAAGAGTCCAAGCATTGGATTCGTCAACCGTATATTCCACCCGAACATTGACGAACTGTGAGATTCCGTGGAGTGGCTTTGTATGCGAAACAGGATTAACTTGACTCCATTAGTTCCGGCTCCGTCTGCCTCGATGTTATCAACCAAACTTGGTCTCCTATGTACGATATGATCAACATCTTCGAAGTCTTTCTTCCGCAGCTTTTGCGTTACCCCAACCCTTCCGATCCCCTGAACGGCGAGGCGGCGGCCATGCTCATGAGAGAACCCAAGAGTTATGACGCTAAAGTCCGAGGTAGGTGGTTGTTGACGCTTCGCTTGGAATGCTATCTAACCAGGATGCTCTCAGAATATGTGGCGAAGTATGCCAGCAAAGAAGCTGCGGACGAGGCTGGGGAGGACACCGAGTCGGAAGACGAAATGAGTTCAGTTGGCAGCTACGAGTCTGGCGGCGAAGAGCCTGCTGGTGAGATGGATGACGTCTGAACGCCTAGTCCCCCACTTGGACATCTGGCACACGGGTTTGGATTACCAGGGACTATTCATATTGTATTGCATCATATTCCCCCCTTCTCACGGTTTAGTTTCACAGGAATCTGGCTAGCTGGCGTTATCTGGGCGGAGTTGAGAGGATCTCTTGCCTGGCGGCAATAGCGGGGAGTATAGGCAGGCACATTCGTCATGCCGCGATCGGCCGGTTGGGATCCGGCGACAACTTGGATGCTCAAGATCTATGATCAAACTGCTTCGCTCACTCGTCTTCCGGCTACTGGCTTCAACCTTTGACATCGGAGTTCTGCAACCTATCACATTTCCTAAGCGAGTCAATGGCTCTGCACGAGCACCATCTAGCATTGGTTTTTGGTCTTTCCCGGACTTCATACATGATACTTCCTGTCATTTACTTTACGGACCTATTCTAGAATAACAAATTAGTATAAGATATATATAAAACGAGACTCCACGCAATCATACCCAATTCTAGACATTGCTCTAGATTGTGCAGGATATGGTGATAACGGGACGTCAAAAATCGTGTCTTGTTCATATCCGCAACATGTTCTAGTATACTGGTTGGAAATCGCATTCATTGGTATCTATAAGAAACATCTGCCAGAGCCCCGTCTACCGACCAGCCGGCATACCATGCATATCAAAAAAGAAGGTTAAACTAGAGGCAGAAAGTGATGACAAAGGGGAATAAGAAAATATGGAAGCAATGGATGGAAGAGTCACGGGCGGCCTATAATAAATACAGATCTGACCCTATTCCGAAATGAATTGTCGAGAGTAGACGCGGATGCTAAAACTGAAACTGAGAAAGAGTGCTACGCGAACAAAAATGCTGAAACCCGGTCACAAGACAGTACTTAAGGAAAAGCGTAAAGAAAGTGATGTCTGATGAAGGATTTCCTGCCAACCTCAGATCTGTCCAAAGCAAAGGAAAAACAAAGAGGAATGGGGTATGATAGCGGGTAGTAAGGATCTGCCTCATTCTGGGATATGACCCCAAAGCCAACCCTGACGATCAACGTGCTCAATATGTCCAGTCATAGAGCATATAGGTTGTGTGTGCAGAAAGTGAAGACGGATGGATGCTGACTTTCCACGGGAGGAGTTCGGAAGATGAAAACTTCGTGCACTCTAGGTGACCTTCAACACGCCGAATACATCACCCCCATTGCCCGCGGTTTCGAATCCTCGAGATTTCTTTCCTTTCCGTGTTGGGATAACTACTTCACCCCAGTGCTTCGGTACGGGAGCGACCTGCTTCTGCGCTGGAATCACCGCCGCATCGTCTCCAGTGCCTGGACATGATGAACCTCCTGTAGATCTCACACTGCCTGTCTCGCCGCTTGCTGCTCGGGATGACGTACTAGGAAGGGCTGCTCGTGGCTGGAGATGTGGTTGAGGTTGGAGAGCCCAGATGTCAACGACAGCACTAGAGAGGGTCGGGAAGTTAATGATGGTTCCAGTATTAAAATGGGCCTTCTTGAAGTGAAGGCAGATGTAAGAACTACTCACTCTGATGTCCGTTGACATATCGCCTCGAGAGCTTCTCGCTCGCGCTTGAGGTCTTCTGGGTCAGGCTGGTAGAGGTGGTGGGCCTGGTTTAGTGCGCCGTAGCCATATCCTGGCTGATAAAGCTCATCGTCTAGAAGCCGAGCTGCCTCGGACTGTATCACCAGAAGTCAGCTGCGTTGCTATCGAAGAATTGTACGGAACGATTCGAATTCGCTGATACGAGAAGATCATATCCTTCATCATCATAACAGCCATCCAAAAGGAATGTTGGGAAAGTCGCACTCACATCATGGCTTTCTCGGCGACCGAGGCCAAGGCAAGATGCGCACACGCCCATCTATGCCACTGGTTGCTTGGTGGGCACGTCTGTTTGCGACTCTTTCAAGGCGACGAACGACAGTTAGGAACGCGGCAATCGGGATTGAAATTGTTCCTTTTCGATCCGTTTCAGCGGTAGACCCATGGAGTATTTCGGCGATTGGCGCAGTGCCAGAAGAGCTATCGGGTTGAGAGGGACATCCACGAGAGATGTCTGCTCACAATCGAGATGGACAGTTGCGTTAGTTACGGATGATGAGATGGGCTGGGACTGGCCCGTGCGTTGCGTCCGGAGTTCCTATCATTGAGCGCACGCACTTTCATATATCCACGTCCAATACCTCGGTATCCTCGCCAGAAATTAACACCGAGCATTTACCTCCGAGAATTGGGACGTGGCCGCAACGGCTCGAAACCCGTGTCGATAGCCCAGTGATTTTAGACCTCAGATCAAGCTTGATTCGGAATCCTCCGCACAGCGATCAACTCCGCAGATTGTTCCTCATGCTGTATCAACATCCGATAATTTATCAATTCGTGGGAACCGATATATAAGTTTGAGACTGGTCGCGATTTTCTTGCGACAGTGTTCCAGCTCAACACGGAATGTTCGATCTTCCAGACGCAAAACGGTATGTCCCACTCCCAATAATCTGAATTTCATATGATCATCTTTGCAGTTATTATGAGACATTCATATGAGGAAAATACAGTATCCTTTCTACATATATATTGCAAGATCCACCCAAGAGATCAAAATTCTAACTCTGCGTGTCCAGCGTCCGTCGCGATGAATTAAGCTCCCCTCCCTCTTCAGCGCTCTCATCGCCAGCACTCTCTACGAACGATGCCAACGAACGTCTGGGAAAACTCCTTCAATTCGAAATACCGCCTCTAGATGTGAATTCAACCGAGGCCCCTGGCCAAGCGGCCAACAACCCTGATCCGGTCGATGCCCCCGCCCCAGAGGAAGCAGAGCAGGAGTTTGAGTTTCGACTGTTCAGCAGCGCTCCAGCGAAGCCCAAGACGGACGGTGCAGTTCCTGCTGGCACCAGCGCGGATACGACAGGAGATGGAAATGCAGAACGTACACAAAAGTTACGAATCAGGATCCGGTCACCGACACCTGGAGATGTGAGCGTTGGTGAAGGGCGATTTGTGGTTCCTTTCAGAGGATGGGAGTATTATTTCACGACCCCGACTCTCCTAGGTGGATATGGAAAAGAAGATATTGCGCGCATTGAAGAGAGAGCTGCTGCTAAGAGGGCGGAGTTTGAGAGCATTGCCGTTAGCCAGACTCAATTATTTGAGTGGGCCAAGCAACCTTGGGTATGAACCTTCCCCGTACTGCATATTACATTTCTTCGGGATTACTTTTTCTGGAGAGTAACTGCTTCGTCTTTGGTTTCGATTAATTGACTGACTGTATTTCTACAAGCCCGGTTGCCACCTCCCTTGGCGTGTCATCCGACTAGATCGTGCAAAGACAAAACTCCCACGTCCTTCTGCCGACCCCACCGTTATTCAACTCGTCAATCCGAGTATCAAAGCGTCACCGAAATCGCGCAAGAAGCCAGGAAAGAAGCGTCGGCTCGTTCTGCGCAAGCGCGCCGCAGCTGCAGAGGCAGCCAAGCTTACGGAAGCAGAAAAACGCAATAAAAGAAACCGCGAAAAGAAGATCAAGAGAAGACAGAAGGCAAGGGAGCAGAAAGCGGCTTTGGCAGGTGCAGGTGATAGTACGCAGGCCAGTGTGGCTGATGGAGAGGAGAACACTACATGAAGTGATTCGGACAATAGGGGTGCAGAGACCACTGAATATGCTGCGGGAACTGCAATGACGGATCACGGTAATGATATCAAAGTTTGCTTTTCAGCTTCTAGTATAATATACCGCTATATGGCATATTTCAATAGCATACCATAGACTCCATATGGCCTTACATACATCATGTATTTCATCTGTGTCTTGAGCTGCCGCACCGAATGTTGCAGGATTGGCATCCTGAGCAGCGCTATTGATTCCGCGCAACCCTGAGCTAATCGTAGATGTTAGAGAAAAGACTGGACCGAAAGATGCCCCATTCAGAATAAGTGGTAAGAGCTCTTGAATATCCGTACTTCCATCAGGTGCGAGTTGTCATATGCCTTGAAATAGTTGCCCTCTTGTCGTTTTGTATAAAGTCTGCCCGTAAGTATCGATGTTTTTCCTGCGAGTCGATGACCAGTGGGATTGGCTTAACAGGGGCGAAAACTTCGTTTGAAGTGTCCATAATGATGGAAGTCCTTGAATTCACAATTCAACAGTTTCCAATGGCCATTGCATTATGTGGTTCATAAATTGGAAAGTTGATTGCTTTATGAGTTAGTTGAAGAACTGAGCGCGGGTTATTCTCATCGATGACGAATGGGTTAAAATCCGCGGGTACATCGAAATCGTGCCACAGACGATCGTTCTCCGCCTTTATCAACAGTGGCATTAGCCCACGGAAGTCCTCAATGGCATTGAAGTCCTCAGAATGAAACATGCATTTCTTTATTGGGAAAAGATATAAACGACACCACGGCCGATTATCTTCGTCGGGAGCTTGAACCCGGCACGCTTTAATCAGAGCTCTCCGGGAGTTGGACTGAGCTCTGCTGCCCACCGTGCCCGCGCCAGTTCTGTATACTGAAGAGGGCCCGGGGCTCAGGGGTTTTAAGCAAGCAACTAGCTGTTCGCTAGATGGATCCGCATAACTATCTGCTTCCGTGCCATTCAGGATTTGACACATGCTGATAATGGACCACAGGTGTTTGCAGTTCTGGTGAGCCCCAGACACGGAATGATGCTTTCATAGACGTCTGCTGTGCACATTTAACAGTCTCCATGAATGCATGTCATAGTGACTTCTCCAAGGCTTCGAGATTCAGCATGTGTGAATGCAGCTCAACCGGAAAAGGCCTCGAAGAATATTTCTGAGAATGCCTGAGCGGTTATTCACCCAGTATCTGGTGAAATCCTCCTCCTATTTGACCCCGCTCGACCAGGCGAAGGGCGAGCATTCAAGTATATAGCCCGCTCTCGAGTGGCCTCGACTCTTGATTACTTTCTCATCCAGGATGGATTCATCACATCTCCAAAACGGTTTTATCCTTTTTGCAAGGTCAACTCTATTGCTTTCAATATCTCACATTATTTGTGTCTATGGTCGTTCCTTCCCATAAACTATAACTAGAATCTTTACTACAATCTTTCGTGGCTTGGTAATCTTTTCGTTTCTCTCTCTTTTGATCACCATTTTGACAGATACCAAAGCTAAATAAACCCAATAATCCCCATACACAAACACCTTCACCTATTTCTACCTTCTGCTTTGAATGCTCCAAATCTCAATTAGGAGATTATTATATATAATACGCCAGCATAACTTGTTATGTATTATTATCAAGCAGATTGAGTGGATATATAAGGATATCATAAAATCAAGTTCTTTACTACCGATCATGCGCCCAATAGCTCTATATAGAGTGCTATATCTACCATCATTGAAGTCAACCAGTGCCCCTTTTGCCTGGGCTTCTCGCATGGATGCCCGGAAAGCTTCAAATCCTTCCGCAGCTTCGGACCTGCAGTCTATCGAAATGTCTATCTTTTCAATATCCCCCTATCCGTTCAATAAGGCAGTAGGTCGACGAATATGATCTCATTCCAGTGCCCGAAGTTGTCCGTAAGTGTTTATTCTGAATGCCATCTATTTCTTGTGAAGAGTCCCTAAATTCTAACTTTCCCAGTTTCCCGCATAGAAGAAATGGAATAGATCCCACAAATAAGCCGCCGGTGCGATGGCGGTTGGATATTATTCTCCATTACTGCGTTAGGCTCGAGCAGCAACGTGTTGCTGCTATCGATCCAAATAGGGCCTATTACTCCTATTATGTATAAATGCTAACCTCCTCCTGACCGGAAAGTCGGACTATAGCATATGGCACGGAGATCATGGAATGTCGAGTTCGTCATTTAGGCCAAGATCAAACCATAAAGGTCTGCAATCTCTTTCTACAATTTCGACCAAAGCATCAGTTATATCAGCGGTCTTTATTAACTTCTTTCTTATTTTCTCCATCGTTGCTTGTGCTCGTATTATTCCGAACTATCTAACTATAACCAGCTTCTTGAATTCCTTATTACTATTATATCTTTAGCTCTTGTGCTGATGTGCAGTTTTTGCAGATTTTAAGCTTACTATTTTTGGAGACGGAGGTATCTCGTCAATGTTTTTCCTATCTATATCTCACGAACTATCAACACTCCGAGTGAAGCCCAGAAGGTCCTGACACAGTATTTTCAGTTCGAAATTAGCAATAATCTAATTATACAAATACCTAAAAATTCGCCTAATTGTCCTATTTAATATTAATAAAGATAAGCGCGTTCTATAATTATGCTAGGAGTCACAAGATACTCGAAAGCGACTGCGAAAGCTCGTTACAAACTATGGGAATGATTTTGTCAAAAACAAGCATGGGATCAAGTCCTATGATGACACCGACACGTGCACATGTTTTATATCGTGCTATACATTTCGTTTTCAGCTCTAACATGAGTCTTACTAAGAATATGAACTCCTAAAGGCGGGCGACTCTACTAGAAAATTTGAAAGGCCTCCTTGAAGCAAATCACTCAGTTAACACTTTTGCTAAAAGCTGGGCTGCCCTCTGGCAAGCTGATATCGGACCCCTGCGCAGGATTGTAACCTGGGATTTGATTGTAGCGTCCACGGTCATTGCTAGTCCTATGTAACTAGACCTTGTTCAGATCTGCAAGTGTTCAAGGCTATGATATTTAGTGAGGGCCTGCAGTGGACAGATTCTGCAATAACGCCATCTCCTTTTGGAGAGTCAGGCTACGTCGCTCAAAATATAAGCGAATCTGGCTCCCTTAATCATCAAAAGATGCTTAAGAAGATATGTCCCTCGAGGAGTGGAAAGATGCAGAGACAAATTCCCAGACATCTCTGACCGCATGTATGTACGAGGAGTGCATGTTTCCGACCAGTGCATTCTATAGTTATCATCCCATACGCACTGGGTATATACGAGAACCGTGTGCAAGTAAGTCTCCTTTCTGTCCTTTTCTCTTTTTTTTGTATCTCTTATTATTACAAACTTTCTGACATAAGTCTTCAGGAAGAAGATATACGCAATATCTAGACCTCACTCTTTGCGCTATTCCTGGACATACAGGATGTCATAAAGGCGGACTGGATTAACAAGCTGTTGATCAGGTGAGTACACCCAAAAGGCTAGAATTCAATATCCTTAATTAATACATTACCCTAGTGCCTGAAGAGAGACCAGCAAGCCTGCGTAATACGCACGCCGACCAGGTTGTTGTAGCTGCACACATTTTCCCGTTCAGCAGAAAATCGACAATTTTGGGCTTCTTTCATGAGCTCTTTCTATCTTTCTTATCATGCCAGACTCACATCTAACTCGGGCCCTAAATGACCTGAGTTGGTCTATATCCTCCCTGTCCTCTAATCCGGACGTTCTGTATATCGAGGATATTGGACGCTATTTCCTCTTGCTGCTGAACCCATGTTCTTAATCTGAGAATTTTGCCATCGGAGCGGACGCACAATCCGACCACCACAGCAATAACCTGGTTACACAGGTAAGCCATTTGCCCCAGACACATCTCGACATTGTATCTAGCGACTGATCAAACTCTCCACCACATTATATTTACTCTCCTCCTGCTACTGAGACCAATACGCCACTTATCTATAGCAGCTATAATGAGAAAATGGCATCTCGTTTATCTACATCTCGTTTGTCGGCCGAAAGAAAGTTCCTTCCTTTTTCTGCTACAGAATTCCCTTCTATTATTACCTATCCTCCATTTACCTCCTGTCTATTCTCTGTCTGTCGTGTCCTGTCCTGTCCTCTCTGACAATATGAGGCGCTTCGCAACTACTGCCTCTGCGACCTTCCACTTGACTGCTATCCTCATCCACAGCTACTTCTTTGCTGCATTCTTGGTGCTCATGATGGTTGATTATAACACTGAATGCCCTGCTCTTATTTACTCTTCGCCTGCTATCCTTGATCGCAAACCTGGAGGTGTCTCTCGATTCCGTACCAATTATTTATTGATGGATTTGGCCTCTACAGAAATATGTACCGCAGCCTAACAGGCGTTTATCTAATTCCAGCTTGTTTAACTGCGTCAGAAAGAGCTAAGGCAGCGAATATATTTCCGATAACACTGGGACCGCATGCCAGCAACTTTCCTGATGTAATATCGTCTCTGTCTCGACTTACAGCCCTGGATAAAGGAATCAGCATGCATCTTAATCAGCTTTTGTCCTCTCCTCTATTTTTGAGCCTTACGGCGTGAGTGAGAGCCTACGTATGGTTTTCGACGGCCAATGGACAGTAACGAACCCTCTAGCACGCCTTCCGGCTCCTAAGCTGGATATTACGATTGGTGCTTCTATATGGCAAACGGCCTATATTGACACAGCTCTCTCACTGGAGGCGCTCCTCTGCCCCGTTGTCTGCTGCCCAGAGCTTATGGTACCGACGTTTACAGTGGAAGCCAAGTGCTTCCAACATCCTGAGTATGCGGCTAGACAGAACAGGCTCAACGGGGCCATAATGCTCCGTAACATCCAGGAGAAGAATGAGGAGGTAATGGTCAGCACCTTCTGTCTTGCATTCCTTGGAGATATGCCGCAGCAGCAGGTTTACCAGACGTTAGTGGCTGTCAGAGGTTTGGCTGCAAGGACATACGAGCTCTTTCCGAATAGGTCTCCAGGGACGACATACAGCTGAATCGACGAAGATAGTGCGAACAATGTACACAGTGCATATGCTATCTGAATAAGGGCAGGTTCAACGACGACTTCTCCAGGGCCCTATGGTACTAGAGGTTCCTGCCAAACGAACTCGCACTCTAGGGAACATATCCTCGGAAATCCAGTCCCCAAGGATCCTAGGCATTGCCTATTTGTACAAACTGCGAATGACTACAGCGTATCACCCCAGTGCTGAAGGGCAGTCTGAGCGGACCAATGCGACTATGGAAACCATGCTCAGATATCTCCTAGTGGAACAATGTGAAGTTCATCATCTTCAACAGGTCCAACATGCGCAAGCACGTATCGAGGAGCTACAGCAGTTCAATGTCCGACGTTCAGTCTAGCATGGAAGAGAAGTCTTTTTATTCTTTCGATGCGCGCTAACTGACTCTACAAGAATATCGTGATTGTCTTCTTGCATAAGGCATTCTCCTCCACCAGATCCGTTATTTCGGACAAAATCATCCGTCTTGCTCATTGAAGTTCGAACGGACATTTTTCCTCCGTAAATGATACAGATAACCTTTTCAGGCAAGTTTGTCTTGGTCACAAACAAATGCAAACTCTTCCTGGTTGACTAAAGTTGGGGGTATGGTGTAAAAGCGGCAAGAGATCTATACTCTTGGGCCAATAAAATGCGTATTTTCTATCCATATTGTATACTCTCGGTCCAAATGTGGGCGAAACTCCTAAGACCAAGGCCGTACTGACGCCCCTGCCGTGGATTCTGTATAGTACGTTGAAAACTGTGGATCTAGATCGGAGGCACGAGAATGGATCAATTCTATAGAGTCTGCAGAGTTTTCGATAGACATAAATAGGAAGATGGCATACTGTTTTTCTTTCTTGGAATTCATTCAATCTACAGGTTCGCAGTATCATACGTAGATTGAGACTACCTCGTTAACTTTATGATTGATTTCTTGAGTGAACTACCGCAATAATGCCTTCCTACGCTATTACAGGTGCTAGTCGAGGACTTGGGGTAAGTTGCAAAGGGTTGAATTTCCACGTCGATACATGCTGACCATTGATCCTCTGATATAGTTCGAGTTCGTCCGCCAATTGTCCCAGACGCCAGGCAATGTCGTTATCGGCCTGGTCCGGAACAAAGCCACAGCGGATCTAAAAGTCCAAGCACAGGGACTTCAGAACGTTCATATCATCGAAGTCGACTACACTGACCTCCCGTCTTTGAAGGTATAGGGCACCATAACAATTACCTTTTAAGAGTGCTAATAAAGAGATGCAGAAAGCGGCCGAGGAAGTAAAGGGTCTTACTGGCGGTGGTCTCGACTACCTAATCAATAACGCCGCCCTTGTATCCCATATTAGCTCTTCCAAGACATTGGCTGATTTGTATGTCGTCCTGGTCTCCAAGATGGAAAGTACACAGTCCAGATTCTAACATTTCACTCAATAACAGCGATAATGATTTCTCTACCATGGAAAAAGATCTCCGTGACAGTTTCGACATCAATGTCTTAGGCGTCATCAAGACGATTAATGCCTTCCTCCCGCTTATCAAGAAGGGAACTGTCAAGAAAGTCATCACGATATCTAGCGGAATGGCCGATCTCGAATTGATTAACGACCTCGAGATACCTGTCGGGGCTCCATATTCTATCAGCAAGGGCGCCGTGAATGTTGCCATGGCCAAGTATAACGCTGTCTTCAAGCAAGAAGGGATACTCTTCCTTTCCATCTCACCGGGTATGGTGGCGACAGAGAGAGCAACTGAAGGTTAGTGATGGTCCTTTTGCTTGAGATTGAAGTAGTCGTTTGGAAACTAAGACAATTGCATAGAAGTTTCCGAAGAGGAGAAAGAAGGTTTTGGTAATTTGGCTGCCAAGTTCGCGGCATATGCGCCAGACTTCAAGAGGCCACTGACGCCAGAAGAGTCCGTGAAAGCTGTACTCTCCGTGGTGGAAAAGGCTAGTGTTCAAGGTGGGTATGGAGGACAGTTTATTTCTCACCTAGGCACGAAGAAGTGGCTGTGAAGGAACTGGTGGCTGCTAGGAAGATTGACTTTGAGGAATAAAGCCATGAAATCGAATCTCATTCTCGCCATATCAGGTCCATGTATTTCATTCATAATGAGCTTATTTGTTGCACTGGAGGATCCAGTATGAGTAGGCGGCAATGGCTGCCGCCTTGTGTATACAGTAGTAGACCAGTTCGAAACTTAACTACCATTATTAGAATACCCTGACAAGAGCTCAGCTTATCGTTATGTTTCCTGGAAAGCTCTCGAGAGATTGGTAATTGGGTCTGAGAGACAAACAGCAGTGTATACAGGTGAAACTATTTCAACTATCATGACACATTGGCAGTCGTATGGTGCTGGAGGCTGAGATGGCACTTGACAGATCTAGACAGTATTTACGCCAGGTGATATAAACCGCGAGCGATTTATGCATTCAGGACTAGTTGTTTTCCCGGACAGCTGCCTGGCCATCCAACCACTGCCGGAAACACGTACGGAGTAAAGATATGGCCACACGAAAAAGGGGAAGATCCTCAGTCGTTAAAGGAGAGAAAAAGCTATGACCGACCATTACAGTATTACCCAGTGCTTCCAACCTTTCTGAGTCACGTCTCAGTAGTTAGTTAGCTTTTATTTTTAGCAGTATGCCGAAGACGCATCCTATTCTTCACGGGTAGATCACATGCTCAACTGCTCGAAGAGGAGAGGCGAACATTCTCTACTGATTATGATACCACAATCAAAGGTATAAGTTGTTTCCACATGCTTTGAAAAAGAAGTCAATAGAGCCATGGTCACTTATCACCTTAACCTAGGATCATCTCACTCCCAGTAACTCGTGCCGGTTGCCTATTGACGAACTCAGTGTGCGGGTAATCCCTTCCAATTTCACTTTTCTCTCCGTTTTCCTTTTCTTTACCTTAAATAGTACCTAGAAGTCTCCCATCTTCCTTTACTACATACTTCATCCGAGTACAGAAGCATCCTTGACGAAGAATTGGTTAAACATCCGTTACAGACAAGCATGGACAGCGTTAAGGTGAACGTTAACCTTCTACCGTTCGCAGACGTCCAAGATTCCATCACCAAAGCTAGGAACGAGTGGACAGAGACGAGAAACTTTAATACGGCTCATCATACGACCGATGAGATATTAGCAGTGGTTCCGGAAGAGAACGGTCTCCGTCACGTTAAACCGAGTATCTACCCGACAAGGACTAGCCATTGGCTCGGGTTGATTGCTTCAACTCAAGGAATGAGGACATGGCATGTTTTCGAGATATCGCGCTATTTAGCAGAGGAACTCGCTTCGCTGTATCTAACGTGGTGTTCGGGCAGACATTTGGGCGATGACACTCGTCAGGAATTAAAGTCCTTGTTCCCTAAGACTACAACAGTCGGGGTTAAGGCAGAGGATGTATTTCAGGGGGATAAATGGTTCCTGCGTGTCGATTACTGCAGCGCAAAGGACAGTGAAGCGGGTCATTCTGTCGTGGAAAGTTTAGATAACCTGATTGATCGCCTATACACGTCTATGCGGGCAATCAGGGCTATTACCGATATCCTCGAAGAGGACCCTCGCGAGAAGCCAAAGATCTTTTTGATACCTTTCAATGCAGCCATGGACTGCTCGAGAGAGTGCCGCGTTTTCTGCCCACCTCACAAGAACCGCGTTGCCGCGATCTCTCAGTACCGTTGGACTGAGCCTTTCATCTTTAGGGATGCAGCTACTGCCCAGCAAGAAGCCCACGAGATCTATTCCGCAGCGTGCATCCTGCATTCACAGATTCTCGAGCATGCCGAAAGGACAGCTGACGCTGAGACGCGCAAGAGAATACAGAACGAGGGCTTTACCTTCGATATTTTGAGGCCAACTTCGGGGGACATCCAGTTAGTGGAGATTAACCCCTTTGGCGCTATGAGTGGATGTGGAAGCTGTCTCTTCCAGTGGATCCGAGACGCTAAACTACTTTATGGGTTGAAGGAGCAAGTGGAACTGCGGTTCGCTGTTTAGGAGAGCATCCTTTTGCTGGAAAAAGAAACGTGTTTTTAAGACCGTTTCGAGTTTACACTGCTTCCATGCTCGATCTTGCGATGATGATTGAAGTGTGCTCCCGTACCATATCTCGATCACTTGATATCCCCCCGGATTGCTTGGGGTTTGTCGAAAGAATGGGGCACAGCCACCACCAACCAACAGTTTTGAAAACCTTGGCCGCGTTGCTTCAGGGATCACGCAGCATCTGGAGCATAGGGTATGCAAAGCCCTTTGCCGTCATGAACTGATATTTTGCCAGGGTCCTGTGGCGGCCTTCCAGTGAAAAGCGGAGCAGCCATTTATAAGCGTTCAAATAGCGCCGGTAGCTATGGCTTCGTTTGACCTGCGGAGAAGTGATCTGCATGTCTGACTTCTGTTGTACCACGTAGGAGAAGGGACGCCAGGATGAAAACATCGTTACTTGTTGCTTGCTGGTCAAGGTCGCCAGGGACAGTCGGTAGCTCTGCGCGTTGCGGATTCGGGGTCCAGACGGGCAAAGCAAATGTGAGGCGTCATACCGATATACGGAGTAATAATAAGATAGTTAATCTGAATATCCAGAGGTAGAAAAAATAATAATAAACGAGAACCCACTCCCAAGGGTCGACCGGGGCGTACAGTGGAGACGGTCATGGAATGAATGGAACACGCCGCCGAAGTCGACCGAACGAAAGGAAGCTCGTGCGATAAGACGTGCAGGGAAAAGGAGACGATGCTCGTTGGGCCTAGAATAGATTTGAAGACAATCAGGGGCCGTGCTCCATCACGTGTGCCCTTGACAGCGCCCATCTTAAGAGTATCACCATCGAACGTTGTCTCATTTCTCTCTTTTCTTTTCCTCCTGCCTCTGCATTATTATTATTATCATTGTTGTTGCTGTTAGCTTGATCCCCTGGCCTTGTGCTACAATTCCCAAATCGGTAATTGGGAAACACTGTTTCTACAAACAACTACCACAACACTACACCGCAATCTCGCTTTTTTCTTTTCTTTTCTTTTCTTTTTTTTTCCCGCAGTACGATATCTTTCAACTCTCTTCATAATGCCTGGTGTTCGTAAGTACTTGACTTCCTCTCAGTAATTCTGAGTCTCTGAGCACCTCTTTGCTCCATGCGGATCTTTGTTGACTCTTGGGAGAAGCCCCAAACGCATTTGCTCAGGTGAAGAAGAGCTTTAAGAAGCTCTTCAGCCGCAAGAAGAAGGGAAAGAAGGCGGACGGCCAGGCTGCTGATCCAGCCGCTGAGACGAAACCTGAAGAGCCAGCGGCCGAAGGTGGTGAGTCACCAGCGTTCCAGGCTCATTGGTCGTTTTAAGTCGAGAATCTCAGCATGCTAATACTTATATCACAGCTGCCGGTGCAGATAAGCCCGCTGAAGAAGCCAAGCCTGCCGAAGACAAGCCCGCAGAAACGAAGCCAGAAGAAACCGCTGAAGGAGCTAAGACTGAGGAGACTCCGGCGCCAGCAGAATCAGCTGCTGCTCCTGCCGCTGAGCCTGCTAAGGGTTCGTGTTCAATGCAGTATCGACAAGAGTATTAGAGCCTTGCTGACTGTCCCAACAGATGAGCCCGCGAAATAAGCGATCATTTCCTATCCCACGGTTTCTCTGAATAGTCATGGAAATTTCCGTCATGAGTGTTTAAGACTCTTGGCTCGTCGGTTGATCCTCTACCATCGTTTCCGCTTTCCTACATACCTTAATACTTGTTTGTCCTTTTTTTCTGGACCACAATACCCAAGCGCGTTCTCACGCTTTTCATTTCATTTGCATAATACCCTATTTTGAGTTGACTTTGAAGCCACTTATCAGATGAGAGTACCGAATCGAGCCTGTGGTCTCTTTTGTCGTCTTCAATATCCCGGAGACTTATGTCTCTTCGCTTCTCATATGCTTTGCTAGTTCGAACCTTACAAATGATTTCGGGGAAAGATACCATGTATGATTGCGATAGCTGAGCTATGAAATAGAAAAGAAAACCATAACTCAGGTTCTGACTTGATTCCCTTGCTCCATCCGACACTAAAAAAATACGTGCTTGATACCCTGTAAGTTGAGAGCCAGGAGCGTGCAACCTTTTAGATGGGGCGGACTTCCCGTTACAATTCACGATAAATATGCGAGTATAAACCATTGTTGAAATCAGTTGGGCCTCTGATATATCTTTGGAACTTTTGGCTTCTGTAGTCCCCTGGATCGTGTGTACCATAGAAAGGTTGCGAGGCGGCTGCGGAGACTACTTAACTTAGCAACGTCACCGCTTGGGCACCAGAGCTTCCTTGTGTGGGACATCGATGACTACGGTATGCAGCTCTCAAACAGGACCAACGTGAGACCAAAACAACTCGCACGGTCTGTTAAAATGACTACAAAGCTTTCCTAATGGACTACGCCACGATGGAGACGTTCGATGTGTCCGTCCCCCATGAGCCCCGTTCCGACGTGGTCACCGTGGGGGAGCGGACGCAAGAGGCACAACAACCGAAACCTGTATTGGACCTGAAGAAATCACCATCGGCGCCTGTGGTCACAGCTGGTGATCCAGCGGCATCTCCAGAGATTCCACCGCCAGCAGAAAGGCCAGCCAGGGCCAAAACGGAATTAGCGGACCTCGAAGATGTGCCAGAGACCCCGAAGGGCGCGCCTTCGTTTCCAGAGCTATCCTACAATCCGCCAGTGCCTCCAGATGCTGCGGATGAACAGGCGGATGAAGGAGACGAAGAACCGCCAGTTGCGACGTCCTTTGAACGAGGTGCTTCCCCGGTAGAATCTGTGCCCAAGAACCGGACTGCGCTCTATGAGAGACTCAGCGAGGATGGCATTGCGCGGATGCATAAATTCTCTCTATACGAGACAGCCACCCGGTATTATATGGTTGGCATGGATTTGCTGGATACGCGCTTCCGGATTCTGAAAATTGATCGCACTGCAGATACGGGAGATCTTAGTATCGCTGAAGATGACATCGTCTATACGAAGAAACAGATGAGTCAGTTGTTAGATGCTATCGATGACGGCAACAAGAGCTCTGGCGGTTTGAAACTGAAATGCAGCGCTTGGGGTCTTCTCGGTTTCATTAGGTTTACTGGCGCGTACTACATGTTGCTCGTCACCAAGAGAAGTCAGGTGGCGATGATAGGCGGCCACTACGTTTACCAGATCGACGGCACAGAGCTGGTATCATTGACAACGACTTCCCGATTCAAGCCTGAAAAGTATCCAGAAGAGGCCCGGTATATCGGGATCTTGAATAACCTTGATCTGACGCGCTCCTTCTATTTCAGTTATTCGTACGATATCACGAGGACTTTACAGCACAATATCTGTCGCGAGAGACTCAACCTCCAGAAGGGCTTGCCACACACTGCCAACCATGATCACAATTCCATGTTTGTCTGGAATCAACATCTGCTGAACCCTGCTGCTGCAACACTGAAGAATACTTATGATTGGTGTCTTCCCATTATCCACGGCTACGTCGACCAGTCCAAGCTATCTGTATATGGACGGCTGGTGTATATCACAATCATTGCACGTCGGTCCAGATTCTTTGCAGGCGCACGATATTTGAAGCGAGGAGCCAACGATCTTGGCTATGTCGCCAATGATGTGGAAACGGAACAGATCGTATCTGAGATGACAACGACATCTTTCCACGCTCCTGGCCCGAAATTGTATTCGAATCCGCAGTATACATCCTATGTCCAGCATCGAGGCAGTATTCCACTGTACTGGACTCAAGAAAGTACTGGAGTTACTCCGAAGCCAGACATTGAGTTGAATCTCGTGGATCCGTTTTACTCCGCAGCCGCATTGCATTTCAACGATCTGTTTATGAGATACGGTGCCCCCGTATACGTCCTGAACCTCATTAAAGCAAAAGAGAGAACGCCACGTGAATCAAAGCTTCTGAAGGAATACACCAATGCGATCACTTATCTCAACCAGTTTTTACCAGACGACAAAAAGATTATCTACAAGGCATGGGACATGAGCCGAGCGTCGAAGAGCCGCGACCAAGACGTCATTGGAACGCTGGAAGACATCGCGAGTGACATAATACCAAAGACAGGCTTCTTCAAGAACGGAGAAGATGCGGAATCTGGCCTCCAACTACAGAATGGTGTCGCTAGAACAAATTGCATAGACTGTCTCGACCGCACTAACGCCGCCCAATTTGTCATAGGGAAACGAGCCTTAGGGTATCAGCTCCACGCTTTAGGAGTGATTGATGTGACTACGGTCGGTTACGATACCGATGCAGTTAACCTCTTCACTAACATGTGGCATGACCACGGCGACACGATTGCCATCCAGTACGGAGGATCCCACCTTGTCAACACTATGGCAACTTACCGAAAGATTAATCAATGGACAAGCCAGTCGAGAGATATGGTTGAGAGTTTCAAGAGATATTACAATAATTCGTTCTTAGATGCTCAGCGTCAGGAAGCATACAATCTCTTTTTGGGGAATTACATCTTCTCTCAAGGCCAGCCCATGCTGTGGGATTTGTCTACGGACTACTATCTCCACCATGCTGACCCACGAGCCTGGTTAGATCTGAAAAGGCCTAATTATATCTGCTGGTATAACCAAGAATTCCTGGAGAAGCGTCAAATGCCACCTGCAGTGTGGTCGCAGAAAACAGCGAAGGAGCCGATCGAGTACTTTGACGACTACTGGTTGGAATACTATAGGCCTCTAGCGTTGTCCTCATACTCCAAGATTTTCTCGTTCAAAATGAACTCCACGCTCCGGTATCTACCATTCCGCTGGACCCAAGGTGGTCGATACGATCTCAGCCCTTTCGTCCCTCGGATACTGCACGAGTCAGTGAGTCGTGACGGACCACAACCACAGCGGAAAGGAGTGAAGATCAAAGAGCCCTCCGACAACTCCAGCGATTACTCTAACGGATCACGCTCAGGCATCATGACACCGTCCGCCCAGGCATGGAGCCACCAGCCGCCTTCAGCAGAGAGACGTCCTCCACCTGCGGGTATCATCAAAGAGCCCGCGTTTGAACTCTCCAACGGATCTATAATCCCAACGATGCCATCATCTACCTCAGAGTTATCCACCACACCTAGCAAAGCCCAGATTGCGCAATGGACTCTCGGCCAACTCGTCACAGACAGCCTCAATCCTTCCGTTACCTCCACCGAAGCCGAAGAGTATGAACGGTACATCAACCACCCACTCAAGGTACCTCTAGTCGTGACCTCCGAGGCCGAAATGACCGCTACCTCAATCCGCGAGCGCGTCTCCAACATTGATTACCTCGAGTACATCAACAAGTGCGATCTCGAAGACAGCAGTCTCGACGGCATGGCGGAAGAAAATTTGGCAGATTATGTAGAGTTCCTGAACGTCTCAGAGGAAGGATTGACGGTTGTAGCGGAGGACTACGAGAAGAAGAGGTATAAGCGCTATCGACAGTGGTTGAGAGGGAAGAGTCTGTTTAAGCAGCGTGTAGACGTGTGATGTGATATGATGCTCTCTGTTTTTGTCTTTGGCTTTCTCTTAACTTTTTTTAGTATAGTACCCTTTCTACGATTGATGTAATGATACCCTCTTCGCATGTTTAACGTCTGGGTCTACGAATGGAATGCGGACGACTCAGGAGTTCTTCAACTATGTTCTACTATGTTTGTTTTCGCTCAGTAGTTAGTCGTTCTCGTTTCCTAGATCTACTTTTTTTAAAAAAAAACTCAGACATTACAAGCCATACAACCGATCTATCTATCCAAACAGCTCCTCAACACCACCAGGAGAGATATCCACAAACAACAACCCCCTCAAATCCTCATCCGCAGTAACAAGATCCATAAACTCTTTCTCTACATCAATATCCTCAGTAAGACCCAGCCAATTATCCTCCTGGAACTTCCCATCTACTTTGACTTGTTCCGAGACCGAAATCAGCACCACCTTGAGCAGATAAGCACAGCCTTGAAGTTGATTCTTCAATCGTTCAAGTTGCGATATTCCGTTTTCGTGTTCTATCTGCTGTGCCGAGGGAGAGATATCCACGACTGGACGAGTTTGATCTTGATCCTTCTCTATCCGATGTGCGATTTCTTTCTCTTCCTCAAGGACATGTAGCCAGCACGTGCATATTCCGCCTAGGATCTCTCCACGCCAGCGCCAGATGCGCGGATGCGCGTTGAGAATAATGCTCCTTGTTGCTGTCGTCGCGGCCAGGAGGAGGGGTATGTATGCAGTGCCGAAAGGGTTGGTTAGCGTAGAGTAGAGAAGGGGGATGATATCCTGTAAGTGTTTCGTGAGGTGGATGCGTACTTCGTTGGAGATGATGCTCAGTTGTTGAAGGAGGAAAGTGGATAGGCGCGGGTATGGGAATGATGCGATGGATGAGGACGCGGTTGGTGTGTTGGAGCTGATGTGGTGGAAGGATGGGATGAGGCTGATGCGGAGGATTTGCGTTATGCTATGGATGTAGGCTGTCTTGTCGTTCTCGCGAGATTGGCTCTTGGTGGAGCTCGATTGTGAGTCGGTTTGAGGGTAGCGAGTCTTCAGAACCGATAGGAGGGCTGAGTAGGCGGCTCCAAGGAGCTGGAGGGACTCTTCTTCGGGGGTGATTGTTGGCAGGGAGAGGAGACATGGTGTGATGGCGTCTTCGAAAACGGAGGACAGGTTCGTCCGACGGAGGATGTCGGATTTGCCTTCTCGGAGAGGAACGAGTAGTTTGGAGAGGAGGTTGCAACCGCGAGTCTTGAATGATATGTTTTCATCATCGATTAGTGAGAGAATGGGTGGGACAAGTAATGGGAAGTGACCCTCGACGCGAAGGGTGTCTGAAGGCTATGATGAGAGGACTTGTTAGCGGAGAGTAATACTATGGAATTGGAGATTTGGGATGTTTTGATAATGGCGAAAGCCACACACACGTACCTGATAAATAGAAAGAATCCATGAAAAGACTGTGGTACAGTATACATCACGGTACTTCCATGGCTTGGTTTCTGGATCCAGCGAACTGTAATCAAACCGAGTCGCAGGCATAGGATGCAGATTCTTGCGACCTGTCGAGGTAATTGCTGGATTCTTCGTCTTTGCGAAAAGAGGCTTGATTCTCGTTTTGAGAGTATCTTCAAAAGTGGACCATAAACTGGAAGCATCGTCCGATCGCCTCCTCGAGACATATGTATCTAGGACTTCCAGAGCCTGTCTACAGCTTTGCTGAGTCGTCCATGGATCCCTTTCAGACGTGAAACTAGCAAGAGTCGTAACGATGTCGACGACGTTACTTGCTTCTTCTATGGGCAAGATAGTGCTCAGACTCGAGATCACAGAGATTCCTAGTGATAATCTGAATCTACTATCCTTCAAGCTGTCTGTAAGAGGCTTGTGTTTTTCTTCTGTTGTGAGAGTCAGATCGTGCATAAGCTGCGTGATACAAGGGCCAGCAACGTACTGTCAGCCGAATAGGCCACCTCCAACGCATCTGCAAACTCTGATGATGGTAAAGAAATCCGGCCGAGCCATCCGTAGAGATCATTTGCAGCTTTTCTATCTGTCTCAGAGAGAGATTTAGAGCCCCAGGCTCTCAGAGACGCCTGTGCCACAAGGAGGCTTTCACATGTCTAGAATGCGTCGTTAGCAGCGTCGTCTACAGAACTTAGTAATTGGATGGCGGCCCTCACTTCTTGATGACTGGTTAGATTACGGTCTAGGATATCTCTAGACAGAGTGTCCAGTCCGTCTGGCAGGGCAACTCCATCGGGGTCGAATTCCGGACTGTTCTCTCGGTCTGCCTTTTTCAGATATTCACGTGCCGCACTGCGGAGTGCGTCCATGACAGGTCGAATCTAGGAGATTCCAAGGCGATGCATTCACAACGTTGGTCTTATATGCGCTCAGTCATGCAAATACAATAAATTGGTGGGTATTTCATTAATACAATGGATGAAGTCCCGCGATGCGGAGAGATTTTGATGGGTGTCCAATCAAGGACGTCAACTATTTAAGTACGGACTACTGGCGATTTACCCGATTTTACTTCTGAGCCTGTCAACCAGTTCCTCCACAACTCCCCATAAGCCTATCTGGCTGGCTTGAAATCAAGCTCTGACTTCCTTTCTTGGAGCATCTCCAGGGCCTTCTCTTTGTCAGAAATTTCAGGATGCAGAAGCTGCCATTTTATCACCATCTCCAGCGCCTTGCTCATCCAAGGTCCCTTGGTAGCGCCCAAACCCGCCATGATCTCTCCTCCATTTACAATAGGCTTTAGTTCACAAGCCCCGAGAAGATCTTTACTGCTGATGTACGACAAGAATTGGTCGTACTCACGGATAACTGCGGATAATTAGCCGCTATCTACAATGCACTGGAATTCGACGAAGGGAAACGGATCCTCCTTACCTTCGTCAAAGCTTCGGCCCTTCATAATCTCTAAAAGGATAGACATGACAACGCATAGCCTCCAGTCCTTTTTCCATTCGCGGATCTTTAGGCCAATTTGTTGTCGAATCTCCGCTTCTGTCCCGGGTATCAATCCCGCTAGTAGAGATCCCTTGGTTTCGATGATTTGAGCAGCGCTGTTGGCGGCATCAGTTAAGATGCTTGCAGTCTTATTATCTGCCCGTAGACTATCCCTGGCTACTTCAGTCACTCGAGGAGGAGGGCGCTTCTCCTTGTTGTTTTTTGGCTCACGCCCTGGTACGGTAGCCCAGGGCGCAAATGCAGCGATGATCCAGCAGTAGTATGCCTCTGATCTGTCGCTGACGAGGGTGTTCCGCACTCTTTCCACAGACTGGCCGATATCTCCTGCGCTTTCATGTGAGGGGCTGAGAAATCTCTCCAGAGCATTGTAGGCCAAGGACCATGACGACGTGTCAGCTTGCGCCTCATCTCGGTGATTCGCAAATATCGTGCTATATAGTCCTAGCCGATCGATGTATTCTAGGGCACCTCGGGGATCAGGACCTGGAATGCCAGTTAGCCGGTGTCGAAATCAGAATAGAAACACCAAAAGAACACACCTCGAAGCATTTTATCCAGTTCAGCTAAGACGCGCTCTTTGCTGATTTTTATCTTTAAAGCTTCCTTGATATCATCGTTTTGCATGGCTATTTCGGTCTCCTTATCGATTACGTATCCCAATCGGCTTGCGAATCGGATCAACCGTAGAACCCGCAGGGGATCATCCTTGAATGTTTGGTAAGGCTCCAAAGGAGTCCGAATGATGCGGTACTTCATGTCCTCGATACCCCTGCCAGTGAAATCCTCGACTATTGAACGGTTCAGATTGTAGAAGAGGGCATTCACGGTAGCATCCCGACGCATGGCATCCTCTTCCGCAGTTCCAAATTCCATTTGAGGGTTGCGACTGTCTTCCGAATACGTCTCTTTTCGTAGATTAACCAGGTCAATATCCATCCCAAAAATCTTTGTTGTCACCGTTTCCAGATGCTTCGACTTCTCCGGATTTGCTTCGATCTTATGAAGACTGACGATTGCATCGCTCAACTCGCCGTCCGGAAGGCTCCTCTTGTACTTTTCCAAGTTCTCTGGCACGTCGAGGTATTCCTTCAAGGCCATACCGAACTGATATCCCGTCATGCTGCTAATCCCCACATCAATGTCATGACTGTCAACCCCTAAGAGCTTATCCCGCACCCAACCCCCAGTAAACCGTAGTACCATCTCAGTCTCGGCCGCCGCATTATCGGTACCTTTCTCCGCGGCCCGCTGACGAACGTATTCTGCGACATCGAGTAGAAGAGCCTTGATCGTATTCTCTATAGGCGTAAGCTCGATTTGCGGTAAAGGTTGAGGGATTTCCTGCGGCGTTTGTGCACTTTTTGCGTGATCCATTGTCGATGGAGAGCTTTCGCGCGGGGCAGTCGCAGTGGATATACGCCTCCTCTTTGTCGCTCTTTCCGCAGGAATTTCGTCGTATTCCCTACCTGGCATGGAACAGTAAGGAGAATGGAGACGTCGAAGCGGGAAAATGGCTTGTGTTGAGGTCAATTGGCTGTTGCAGCGTATTGTATGACTCTCTGAAGGCCTGATGGCGGGATGGACTCGAGCAGGGAAATCGGCCGCAGCGCGTGGAGTCGAAAAGCGGCGGAGACGTGCAAGCTGTCTCTGAGAACGAAGAAACCGCATCTATGGCGATTTCAACCGACTCATCGTCCACAGTTGCCACCCTTGAGGTAGGAAGTGATTCAGAGCAACTGAAGCAGCTTTGCGAGTGCTGGAGTTGGAGTTGGAGTTGGAGCTGTTGACTCACGTGTTTGAGTCAGCGAGATCACCGTCTTCCAAGGCTCACGGATAGTGTCAATAAGTCCAGATTCACGATCAAAAGGTTATGAAGATTCGATTCGAACTTTTCCCTCTACCGTAATTAACATGCCCTTATGCTGGCTGGTTTTTTACAAATACTAGACGTTCTATGCAACTATTCTAGGCGCGCGTTTGTGACGCAGGCAAATATAGACTTCCAAGGCGCATTGAGGCTTGAGCTTTTGATATGAGTAGGCTGAGAGACGTAAAGACTCCCTCTGCTCCTACATGCGGTTCATAAAAGACCAAAACTGTCATAGACGTGCTGGAAAAGCACGAAGAAGTGGGCCGACGTAAGAAATTAATATGTAAATTGATTCCGGACGCCAACACAGCCCGTTCCCGACTGACTGACGTTACTTACACACGGGGCGCCCTCTTGATATCCAACTCTCCGCCATAACTTATCACTCTTCACCCCACGAGATCGCGTTCTACAATCACCAACCACTTATAGATGCGGACAGCTAGCTTCAGGCACAGAATTCCAGTCAGACGTTCAGAAGACAGCAGGTGTCCATGACATCTCCCGGAGATGCTGCTCCGGTCAAGCCTCTGCCGTCCTTTGCGCCAGGAGCTCCGATCGTTGTCCCCAAGACCAGATATCCAGATGAAGTCGAGTCTTCTAATTCATTAAATTCGAACCTAGCCGACTCTAACATCATACAATCACCAACTGTGCCTTTCTCTCCGGAGCTCCCGTCGCGCTCAGCATCTCCAATCTCGAGGGTGTCGACATCCACCCCCCGCCTTAGCAGATCATCGCTTGGGTCATCTTTAGGAGGTCCGCTCGATGGCGCAAATGATATCAGATCACTGATAATCCGCGCTTTCTCTCCTACGATTGGTATTTACGCGTCAGACGATACGAATGAATTGGTACGGCAGAAGGGTTTCAAAGACGGTTTCTGGGAACTGGTCCGGCCGTTTGGAGAGAATGTTCCGGGCAAGGTGGTGATTCGAGACAGCATTGGTTCTAGTCGCGGATGGGAGGATTATGGAGTACGCTTCGCTGAGCTACCATCAGTAGGCCAGTCTCCTAAAGCCGCAGGCGGTGGTCCGGAGTCGCCGCTGGGTCAAATAGAGGAGATCTTGGAAAGACAGTTGGATTCAGCTGACGAGCCTTTGGGCGGGCTGTTTCGTCCTAGTGATATACCTTCGGGAAATGTCCCGCCTACATCTCCTTTCTATAAACTATTTCTCCGTCGATTGCTCTCGAGCTCCACTGCCACGCCGCATGAGACATTCAGACACCCTGTTGCTTGTGTCATTGCCATCAGCTCACGCAACTCATCTCCTCTTGAGTCATTACGACAGCTCTATGCGGAAACCAGCCAAGGAAGCCGGCGGCCTCCTCCTTGGATGCATCCGGAATACCTCAGATATTATGTCTTGGTTCACGATGAGGATCGAGATGATATCACAGAATCGACCAGGCTTTATGATCAGATGAAGCGACATTTTGGGCTGCATTGTCATCTACTGAGATTGCGGAGTAATCAGTGCGTTATCACAGATGATGATAGTGTCCAGGTACCGCCTTGCGAGTGGCTGTCACCGTCGGAGGATCTGTCGAGGATGGGTGAAACACGTAAGGGACATTCGCCGATCTCACCACGGGCCAGGCTAACTGTAGACAGAGACATTGGTGGATCTCGGAACAGAGGCCCAATACCTTTTTGAATCAGACGTGACAGCCATCAAGACATTTGTACGAGAGTTGGTTGCGCAGTCCGTGATTCCATACATGGAAAATAGGGTAGCAGTTTGGAATGATCAAGTAGCATCTCGACGGCGTGGACTGAGCGGCCGCTTTATGTCCATGTCTCGGAGGTTTGCTGGGTTCGGTGCCGGCACCAGATCGACCTTCATAGGCTCCGGGTCGGGCTCTACAAGTGGAAATTATGATACCACTCAGGGTTTCTATCAGCCGGATTCCCCAGAGGCCCTCTTGCGGAAGATGGCGGATTTTGCATTTATGCTTCGCGATTGGAAGTTATCTAGTTCTACCTATGAGCTCCTCAGGTCGGACTTCAATAACGACAAGGCTTGGAAATACCACGCTGGGGCGCATGAGATGTGCGGCGTAAGCATGCTGCTGAACCCACTTGCAGCCACTGCGAAAACCAAGCTGGAGAGTATCGACCAGATGTTCGACATTTCATGCTATTCGTACCTGACGCGATGCTCCGATGCGCCCAACGCTCTCCGAAGTCTTGCCCTGGGGAGTGAGCTTTTGAAATCTCGAGGCGGTTCAGCCGTTGAAAGCGCTGCAAAGTGGGCCATGAGGGTGATGGACTTGGGACTGGTTGGCTCAATCGGTCAAGTCCTCTACATGGAACGGGTTTCTGCTTGCTACGCATCGAAAACCGGAGCAGGTCCTGCAAAATGGGGCGCTCGTCGACGGAAGGCCGGTATGTGGTCTATCCTTGCTGCCGATTCCTGGATGAGGATGGGCAAGCCAACCCTCGCATCGGACTGTCTTGAAGAGGCAGAGCGACTATATGCAGAGGTTCTAGAATCCGAGGGCACCTTCCCCCTCCCAGAGATGCAAAACTTCGTTGATAACCTGAAGCGTGCGGTCAAGGTCGAGTACCTAGAATCCAGGGGAATCGACACAACTGACGAAGCTGCCACGGCATCCCAATTGGGCACTGAGGAGACGAGCGAGAAGCTAGATCATCGCCATCGCCGCAACAAATCTACGATTGGAGGAGTTGCACCTCATGAGACGGGCCCTCTTAGCCACGCGAGGGCGACTAGGGACGATAACGACACTCGTGATGATGACTTTGAATGAGCTAAAATAAACAGGGCTTTGATACCGGGCGTATAAAGAGGGCATTCCACTATAGAGCTAGGATCCAAAGTGATGTCACGGCATCTATTGGACGGAGTTCAAAGGGAGGTGTATCTACTATTAGTCTCCTACAGCTGTTCACGGTGAATATAATAATACGACAGAAATATCCATATTATGCTATTTGACCTACATTAACTGTCTGAACCTCGAAATTTCAAGGGAATGTGCCGCGCAATCCTTGGAGAACTGAAGAGTACTGAAATCTATCGACTATTCACCTCCTAGACTATTCACGCTATTGGACTTCATCCTAATTAATTGCTACCTAGAGCACCCCCGCCACTATTCATAAGTATTTCCTCCTTCCACAGTGTCTTCTTCAATCCTATACTGGTGGAAATAGGTGGCTTCACGTTGTTTGTTCTATACATTCTATATAGCATGATAGTGGCATTTTGCAGCTCGCCCCCGATACTTATAGCAGTCGGGTGCCGATGGACGCCAGCTTTCATCCTTTAGTAACGCGAGAGCTGTCTCAGCTCAGTGGCACCTTGTCCCCGTCGCCATCGAATCCAGATGAGGCACATGCGCGACAAAAGCTACTTATACACTTATTATCCTCATTCGTCGAGAGACAAGATCGTTGACATACTCAAGAATTTTATAGACAATCTGCCATCTGCTGGCAGAAGAACAATTTGCAGATACATTCTGAGACATGTCATCCAAGATTCTCCATTTCGCCTAGGTCAATATCTGTACTCTTCCATCTTGTGCCCGAGCAAGTTCTTTTCTTTTATTTATTTCCCATTCGCCTAGGCACGAAAAGTAATATCTTCCGTTGACAATATTGGGTCTCTCTTCGGGTTTTCTGGAATATATGAATTAATGGAGAAATGATCTCTTGGGAAATATCAGCACTGAAAAGTGCCAAAATTAATGATCCTCTCTCCGAGTGCTCAGGCGTACTGGGATAAATCTCTGTTCGCATTAAAACTACGTCATTCTTCAGCTGATAGGTTTTATATCGTGCTATATATCTCGTTCTCGGCTCGAAGGTATGTCATGTTGAGGATACCAACTTCTGACAACTTCTGAAAGCGAGCGATCATGCTAAGTGATTTGTAGGGCCTTGTTGAAGTAAATAATTCAATTGACACTTTTGTTAAAAGCTAGGGTGCCTTTTGATTAACGATATTTCTCTCTTGTCTTCCTCTCTCCCTGTCGCTGATCTGTTGCTTCTCCACTCACGTCATCTTCTTGTTCTCTTTTCCCTCAGCTTGCTGATAATAATCGGCTACATTTAATCATCGGTCTTAATCTTGGAAGTGCCGTAACGAGCCTCCTGTTTGTCTGTTACATATCCTGAATTGTGTTACAAAAATGCCTCCCCGGGGTCAGAAACGGCTCCCGGACAATTCTACACGTTGACCCTGCTACCCTCACACGAGATCAAGCCCTGCGCAGGATCATAACCTGGAATCCAATTGCAGCATCCGTAACTATTAATAATCCTATGAACCTAGACTTTATTTAGATCTGCAGGTGTTCAAGATTATGATAAATAACTATTGGACTAATTGCTTTAGGGGCTAACCGCACGCGGATTAAGGACCCTTATATAGGCGCTACAACCCCATCAAGTGGCCTATCGACTCCAGTCTGGAAGAAACGGCGGTCTTTTATAGAGGATTTTCCCCATAACCCGGCCCTGCAGCCTCCGGATGGCGTCCGATTGACACGAGTTGAACGAGCATTGTTACTCCAGTCCTCTCAGAGGAAGTTGATTACAGCAATTAGAAGCGGGACTAGCCTTCATGAACTATTATCGGAAGTTTGTCCCACACTTTCCGCAATCGCAAGACCGCTAAATATGCTTAAAACAAGAGGGTTTGTCGGATCCCCGAAGAGCGGACGCGCGCGCCGAAAGAAATGCAGATGGTTGAGTAAGACCCTTCACGAGTGCAACTCTACGAAAACGCGGTTCGTACAGGAATTCGATACTCGTCTATGTCAAAGGCGACGAGAACAATCCTCGTAAGTGGTTATTGCATCGTTGTGGTTGATTGCTGACGGTTGTAGCCTGTAACGGTTGCCAAGATCTGCGCGATCTTGATATGTAGGTATGTACCTGTACCAAGGCTTCAGAGGTTCGGTCGCTGGGCCTTCACGTATCGCTACGATTGGCCTGAGAGAGGTATGCGAGGTTAACGGCCGTCACTTTTCGAGGAGAAAGGGCACACAACAGTGGATCGAATACCAACCCGAGGTCCGTACCGGCGCTGCGTGTCTGTTGCGGACGTCCACAATGGTACATGCTCGAATTGTATCCACTATGGCAAGCAGTCGCACTGCTCATTAAGTAAGCTGTTGCCTTGTGCCTTTTGGGATGTGCTAATTCCATGTAGTTCGTACAACTGTATGTTGTTCTCTCTCCTATTACCTGAGCCCAGCTTCAAGACGATTTCTGAAGTGAGATCCTGCACTCATTTTGACGCGATCTCTTCTTCATTCGTCGAGAAATGATCCTATTAAATAAGATTTCTCAGTTAAGAAAGTCCGATTGTAACAGGGGGCAGGCTGTTGATTAGGTGAGTACACCCGATAGGCTAGAATTCGGTATCCTTAAGTGATATATTGCCCTAATATCTGAAGAGAAACCAGGAAGCCTGTGCAATCATACACGCCGACCAGGTTGTTGTAGCTGCATATATATTTGGCAGCAAGCAAGGGTCACGGACAGAGGAGTCTACCGCCTCTGCTCCAAAAGCACCCAGAGAGCCTACGATACCCCGTTTGACGAAGCAGGATAAGGCCAGGCTTACCGAAGGCAACAGGGCTTTGTATGTTGCGGGGGGCGAGCTATTTGTTCGTGCCTCATCAAACTGCCACCTTCCCACTTCTCAATCATTGACCCAGAGCCAGCGGCCAGCTGGGGTTAGACCGTGAGGCTAACCTATACTCTGAGGTATCAATCGCGGGCAAAGTAAAACCAAGCAAGGTGAGTTTTTGAGTGTCCGGCCTTATAAGTGCCTCATACCTTCTCGTGGTGCCCCCTGTGGGGTAGGTGTAAAAGTCTTGCGTATAGGCAATAATGATGATCAACCGCTTACCCCCTACGCAGCCCCTACTGGCGGAACCAAGACACCTCCTATGCGGCCAATTGGACAATGTATGAAACCAGAATGGATCAATGAGCCAAGAAACACGATGATCATATGGGAGCCACTGAGGAGAGAGTTCGGATCCCTCACTTTTACACTCGAGCCCATGGTTAGTATAAAATCAGAATCATATAGATGAAAATTTCATGCTAATTAAACCAGGACGAGCCAAATTTGTACAAGGTTAGAACATTCGACGAGTTTCCCCACTGGTATCTGGATGTCTAGAATGCACCTTCCAACGACAACGGAGAATGACTCGTCCGCTTCACAAGGCCAGAGGGCAACCATACCGAGCTACCAAGTCCTCTCCTACTCGAGGTCCATGCCGCCATCGCGCGCGCTTTCCATGCCTCTGGAATGGCAGAGACCGTAGATGAGATTCTCAGAAAACGGGAATCCATGCGACAGCTTGCGCCAGATGGAAGCACCGATGTGAGACAAGTTTTACCAGTTCTTTTAGCCCCTCACAGGACTTTATAATGCTCGTGACTTTGAACTCAGTTTCGTTGGAACCCGCTTGAATTAACCGATCGAAACTATCTCCTCACCGAGTCTATTCCTCTTTGATAATTTGATAATATGCTACAAGCCTTCGAACAAGAATTGTCTTCCAAGGTTGCACTTTATGTATGTAATTCCATAGCTTAGTACGTCTCTATACCGTATGGGAGGTCACCAGGGATACAGACTTCGCCTGTGCCGCAAGACGTTATTAATACTACTACTACCATTCCTCTTTGATTGACCCTGTCATGGTTACTCTTCCTCCTTCCTGGCGACGGACATAGTGTAGAAAAGATCCGAAATACTTAGAACGGATCAAGATAGATGGCCGGTCTTTCATGCGGCCTGTTGTCAAGGAAAACTACAAATGCTCAATCTCAAACTTGTAGAGTTCCATTTTTATTTCCTCGAATCACAGAAGAACCCAAAATGAATATAAGCCTGTGGTAAGAAACAATAGTTCTCACCCGATTCAACGGTGACGTCCCATACAAGGTCACGTGCAGCGTGTCATAGCGCGTCTTATCGATATCCGATTAGCTCCAACCTCAGGCCTTCCTTGTCGGAGCCTCGAATGGGCCAGCTGGATGTACTGTACGAGACAAGCTGGCCAACGCCAGGCCCAGTTCGAATCGTTGCGCTGCTGGATCAACAGACATTAGTTGTGTCATACAATCTTCATTAACGACTTGACTGCACTTGATCCTGTTACCAGACGGAAAAACGAAACGATAACCTCTCACTTACCCCGGGGAAGCCCCTACGTCCAGCGTTTATTTCATACTCAGACAGCGAATCTCATTTGCTGTCGGGATCACTCGCTCACCATGAGTGACCTCTTGACATACATCCTCACTCACGAGGATGCGTTTCGAAAGTAAGTTTCATTGTTTGAACTCCTATCCCCTGCAACTCAGGTCGGGGACCCAAAATCTCGCCGAGCAAAAAGCATATTTGTATAGCTAGTTAACATGTTTCTCACATCTTAGGAACCGCCTCCCATCCCTCTACTCAGACTTCGCATTACAAAAGAGCACCAATCCGGACGGATACGCCGTTAACGTCGCAGCGTGGGAACATGCGCTCACGAACGCCGCGCGAGCCGGACAGCTCTCCTCGTTACGATCCACATTAGGCTCCGGAGGGGGAGGTGAAAGACAGAGGAAGAAAACCGACCATATCGTTCTAAGAGCCGATGAGACGCTTCTCAGGGAACTGGAAAGTCCCCAGTGGGGAAGGCCGGTTGCGTTGGCGAGTGTATTTGTATGTCATTGCTGTCTCCTCAAGAAGCACGGCATCATTTATCTTACTGGATGGGCACTAACATTCTGTTCTTCTTGGTGCAGGACGAGGCGATTCAGAAGCGGAGTATGGTTCCGTTGCAATTATATAAAACTAGCGGGGCGAGTCTGCAGAAGAAGCAGTGGCAGCTCATTGACCCGGGGATGTTAAGTCCTTGGAACGTGATGAGCTGGGGTATCAAACAGCTGAGGGGGATCGTTGTGGGGTCTGATAGTCTTGAATCTTCACCGCGATTACAGGCTCAGGAGCTGGTTTTGGTTGAGAATTTGAAGGTTTGTTTCAATGCTTTTTTGGCGATGTACTGATGCGGGACTTGCTAATACAGATGATAGGAAGCTGCAAGTCGAGTAACAAAGCAGGCGCTGAGTCTAAGCTCCTCCAAAGTCGACCTGATCTACTCTAGAGAAAGCTTTGTGAACGAGTTTTCCACCGTGATGGACGATACGACGGAATTATCGGAAGCTGACTTCGATGTTTTGCTTATATATCTGTCTCGAGACAGTAACTCCATTGTGTACGACGGAAAGGTAAGTTATGCGTATGCACAGCCTGAGCTTAACATAATATAGTATACTAATACATCCGTCTTCAGACCGTCAAGTTCAAATCCGGCAATGATACCTCGACTGAGATAACGCAACAGGATACCACCGTAGCGTCAATCAAAACATTAATTTCCAGCCTGTCAAAGCAGGTATCAAATCTGGAAGGGAAGATCAACGAGTTGAACAATACTGCAAAGGTAGCCCTGAATAACAAAAACAGGCTATCTGCCCTATCAGCGCTGCGGTCAAAGAAACTCGCAGAGCAAAATCTGAAGCAGCGATCAGATACTCTGGCTCAACTTGAGGAAATCTATACCAAGATCGAGCAGGCGGCTGATCAGGTTGAGATTGTGCGTGTCATGGAAGCCAGCACAGGAGTCCTCCGGGGACTACATGCCCAGGTCGGCGGCGTCGAAAAGGTAGAAGATGTGGTGGAGGAATTGCGTGAAGAGATGTCCAAGGTGGATGAAGTAGGAAATATCCTCAATGAAGCAGGTCCAGTCATTGACGAGGGCGAGATTGATGAGGAGCTTGAGGCTCTGGAGAACCAGGAGCTACAGGCCAAGGAAGAGAAGGAAGCAGAAAAAACCAGGAACAGGCTTGCAGAGTTGGATAGCATCCAGCAGGCAGCAGAGGAGGCTGCGCGCAAGGCCGAAGCAGAGCAAGGGGATATTGCCTCTGACCTGGCAGAGAGTATTGGAAAGTTGTCCCACATGTCCATCGAGGACCGCTCCGAGCAACCGCTGGAGTCAAAGTGAACAGTATCCAAACCCGCAATGCCTGGAACAGCTGTACCTAGATCAACAAGACATTAAAGTTGACAGGTTCTCATTATTACCCAGCCGGGGTTCCGAGAATCGGGTTTTGGCCGCTGTCTTGTTCAGCATGTCCGTTCCCCTCAGCCGCTTTCCCATCAGAGATTTCCACCGAGTCCCGGACGGGGTTTCTGGCCTCGATGATCTGAGGCAACGCCTCCGCGGTCTCAGAAAGTGATGAGCCCTGATCTTGTTGCTGTTGGGCAGACGCCTGAGGGATCGTTGTCCGAACAATCGCATCACTCCTCTTCCGCGCATTGGCGATCAGCCGCTTGAAGTCATCATCGTGGCTTGAAGACCACGCTGCAGCATCAAAGTCCTTCCGCATTATAGGGTTAGATGCAGCAGCGGAAGATGCTGATGCTTGTCCGCCTTGCGTCCTTTCCCAGATATCCAGTTCGCGTAATAGCTCCCTTTTTGGCTTTGGGACCTTGGAGTCACAATTGGAATTCCATAGATTCATCCATTCTGTATGGCGCTTTTGTAAAAGGGGTTTTGGACCCCAGTCCGGTATTCCCATATCTCTGAGCTTTTTCCGCAGGACGCCCTCCTTCAATATCGAGTAGTTCAGATGGGGTAGTCTTTCCAGTCGTTTGGTCGAGGAACTGTTATCCCGTAATACTTGGTTCAGAGGTTGTAATGATCTATAACAATTCAGTCCAGTTCCTCTGCAGCTACTGGGGGCATAACCCAGGTCTTACCCTAGTGACGGTGCGGGCTGTTGTGCCTCTTGGGGCCCGGTGCACTTATCTAGGTGCGGAAATACAGCTTCATTCTTCATCCGACGGTTGCAAATAGGGCACGCGACCATGCCGTCATCTAGTCATCTGTTAGATCTAAACACAGGAGACAATTCCGGTCTGGGACGAACCTGGCACAAATTCCTCATCTCCGCTATCCTCTATAACCTCCACAGCCGGTGTGGCGGCCTGGCTTTCTGTTCTCCTACTCCGAGAACGAGTCTGCCTGCCTTGTAACTGAGCATCGTCCTGCGACACGGCTTCGCCCTGTCCCGGTTGCTCCAGTTTCCGTTTCTTCGCTACCGGCTGCTCCGACTCATTTTCCTCTGCGGTTCGCGCGGCATTCCTCGCAAGTTCCAATATCCCAGGACGGGCGTTCTTGAAGGAGTCGACCAGCTCCTGCACAGCCCAGTTACGACGTAGCTTCAATTCCTGATCCGAACTCCGACAAGCGGGACATTTCCCTTCCGTACTTAGACAGCGGCGAATACATAACGAGCAGAACGTGTGGCTACACGACGTGATAACTGGATTGTCAAAGAAATCCTTGCACACCTGGCAACGCAGTGCAGACTCCAGAGGCGCGACGAGGGTGAGCGGCGTGTCGAGCCAATCGGTCGAATCTGGTATATCGAAGGACTGATCCATCTGGGAGGGAAGTTGAGGCGGAACCGCGCATTAAGCAATAGATGAGACCGAACCGTACAAGAGGTCGCGTAGCCCGTCCTCCCGGCGGAAGAAGCAGAGATAAACCGTTGGCAGTCCAGCACTGAACCGGGACTGCTAGTATGAGAGTAAGACTTAAGTTGCCGCCGTCTTTCTCGATCCGCAACCAAAAGATCTCGCGGAGATGCCAAGACCCGCTGACTGATACGCGTTAAGTGGTTTGGAGAACGCGTCGGCCGTCGCCCGCACATCAGAGGCTAGTCATCCCCTTCTATTAGTATTCAGCACGAGAAAACTGCCAGTCTAGTTTTTTTTTTTTTCAGAATGGCGGTGGATTACAAGAGATATCTCGCTGAGAATGTTCTCAGTGAGCGACGTACTGTAAGCTTCGTCTGGGGGTCCCGATACGGATCTTCTATGTCACTGATTACAGTATAGGTTACATATCGCCTGCTGAGTCGGGCTCTCAGAGTGCATAGCAATCTGGCTAAGCAGTAGGTGATGCATTCTTCGAGACATATATGCCACGGTGGAAAAGATCCAGACTGATTGGTTTTTTCTATGAAAGGATGCTGTATGACTTCCACCGGAGTGAAAATGCAAAGAAGGCCCAGAGCGTCAATGCAACCTATGTGATCACCGGTGTGCAGAAACCGCCAGAAAAGCCAGCTACCAATGGCCATGCCAAAGATGGGGAAGACGAAGTGATGCAGAGTAGTCCCTTCATGAGCTCAATGCCTCAGCCGGAAGTTGCTGAAGAAGAGATCCGAACCACATCTATGATCTTGGTCCGGGAAGAGGACCTGGAAGGTAGGATTCTGATTTGTTTTTTATGATTTATCGACAATACCGTCCGATAAAGGCTTACACTGTACTTTAGATGCCAAAAGTACCTTCCAGTCCATTCACTCAATCCACATTTACAGCTTGCAGCCAACGATCCTGCAGGACCTCAATGTGCTGACTGATGTTGGACGCGAAATCTCGTCTACTTATGCTAATGAAGATCCTTTGGAGCTTGGACAGCTATGGGGGATGATCCAGAATGAAAATGTGAAGGTGTGTCTCCGAGATCGTACGGAGCATCTCGACAGCGACTGACATATTGTTTTGAAGCGGAGAAAGGGTGTTCGACCACCGCCTGCTCCAGCAAAAGCTGCTGCACCAAAGCCTATCCCTGCTACAACACCGTCTCTCAAGAAGGAAGAGCCTCCGCAGAAAACGAAAGACGAGCGAGCAGAAAGGGCGGAACCAAAGCCACCAGCAAAACGAAGCACGGAATCAAAACCGTCGGAGAAGCCGACATCACTGAAACGCGAGCGATCTGATATTTTTTCATCTTTTGCAAAGGCTAAACCGAAGCAGAAAAAGGAACAATCGTCTACAGCTGCAGCTTCTGGGGCGGAATCTGTAAGTACACTACTAGCAGTTACACGGGACAACTTCTTCTCTGTGCTAGAGCTAACTTGACATAAGGCTGAGCCGAGCGGAGAAGACGGTCGGTATTTTTGGTATCTCCTTGTTGCACCGCACACTAAATCTTTGCAGTTGTTTTCGACGATGCCTCGGAGGAGGAGCGTGAAGACCTTTTCCTGGACTCGGGTAAACGCACGACGACGCAGTCTCGTGAGTCTAGGAAGGAACGAGAGGAGAGGCTGAAGAAGATGATGGAAGAAGAAGGTGAGTTCCTCCGCAGAACCCTGGTTGCTGGACCCTGCTAACCCCAATAGATGAGGATATGCCGGATGCGCCGCAGCAGGAAGAGCAGACAGAACCAGAACCAGAAGAGCCGCAGCCTGAGGAGACTTCCAAGCCAGAGGAGCCAGCAGAGCCAAAGGAAGAAGTCGTCGTGCAGGGCGGTCGCCGCCGAGGCAAGCGGAAAGTGATGAAGAAGAAGACCATCAAGGACGAGGAGGGGTATCTTGGTATGTGCTTTCTCCTCTCTGGCAGACTAACTAAGCTAACAGATCACTCTTTAGTGACTGTGGAAGAACCGGTCTGGGAGGAATTCTCCGAAGACGAGCCAGCTCCACCACCTAAAAAGAAGCCAGCTATCAGCGCAGGGCCTAAGAGTAAAGGCGGTCCAAAGGCAGGCCAGGGTAGTATCATGTCGTTCTTTTCGAAGAAGTAACTAGCAACGGTGCTGTACTATGTGTCAGTGCGTAAAGTTCCAGTTACCGTGTGACCTTATAGACTACTCTAGACTTAGTGATGAAGGCAAGAATTTAATTCCTGGAAAAATTGACCGCGATGCAGGGTGTCTTTTGCGCTGCTAATCATATATAATGTCTTAGATAGTGGCGTCCAATTCGACCGACTAGGTACTTACCTAGTTAACTAACTAGCTTAATCAACTTAATCAACTGTGCCTTGAACTTTGGCCCCCGCTTACCCCAGCTTTTCTGCCCGGAATGCGCGACGCTTAAGTAGATCACCAGCACAGCATCCCTTGATTCTGTGCTCTTGCACCTTCTCTCATCCAACCGTCTGTGGTGCAATTAACCGACAATAATGGTCTCCTTGTCGGTGAGATTGGCCCTTGCGGCCGTGCTGCCTCTACTCATCAGAGAGAGCGTCGCGAAGGAAACGCGACCTCAGGTTCATGACGATCCCGTGCTCTTGCGGCGCGCATGCCCGGACTATACTGCCTACTCCGCAGTCAAGCAGTGAGTACACTTTCTGGTGTTTTCATCAATTGTATCGTGAGATTTATAAATTATTTGCTAACTCGCTTCTTGCAGCGCACCGTACAGCGATGGCCCATTGAAGCTGCCTTTCCAGCGCCCCGCAGAGGAATGCCGAACGTTCTCATCTCCCGCCGTGGAGAAAGTCATTAAAGATATCACCGCTCGTATGGTCGACAAGGACCTTGCTCAGATCTTCCAGAATGCTTTTCCAAATACCCTGGACACCACTGTTCGATGGCACGTCAACAGTTCTGCAGCAGCAAAGCTGAAGACCAGGAGAGACGGCAAGTGGCAGGGAGCGCAGACATTTATTGTCACGGGTGACATTGATGCAGAATGGCTTCGTGACTCCACAAACCAGCTGGCGCAGTATCAGGCCCTGGCTAAGACGGATGAGTCGCTTTACAGCCTCATTTTGGGCGCGATCAACACCCAAGCGGAATATGTCATTGAGTCTCCTTACTGCAATGCCTTTCAGCCGCCTCCTCCAAGTGGACTGAGCCCGTCGAACAATGGACAGAAGGATACTGTTCATCCCGCATACGAGCCTTCGTTTGTCTTCGAGTGCAAGTACGAACTCGATTCCCTGGCCCATTTCCTGAAGCTCGGTAACCAGTTCTATGCGAGTACACGATCTACTGAATTCGTGACCAGCAGGTGGTACACTGCGCTGGACACGCTGCTGGGCGTCCTGGATGCCCAATCGCAGCCGACGTTCAACGCGCAGAATCAGTACGTCACGAATCAGTACACCTTCCAGCGCGAGACCACCGCAGGCACGGAAACCCTCAGCTTAAGCGGGATCGGCAACCCTTTGAACAGTGGGACAGGCCTCATCAGGAGCGCATTCCGGCCCAGTGACGACGCTACGATTCTTGGGTTCTTCATCCCACCCAATGCCATGATGGCTGTAGAACTGCAGCGCACGGCAGACGTGGTTGAAGCTGCAGGCGGGAAGGCTGATCTTGTGAACAAGCTACGGACGAGAGGAAAGAATCTCGAGCAGGCTGTCTGGGAACATGGCGTGGTCGATCACAAGAAATACGGCAAGGTATTCGCTTTCGAGGTGGACGGCTATGGCTCCCGAATCATCATGGACGATGCCAACATGCCTTCCTTGCTCTCCCTGCCACTGCTGGGCTTCGTGGACAAGAACGACCAGACATATCAGAACACGCGCAAAATGATCCTCCAAAAGGACGGAAACCCTTACTACCTAACAGGTTCTGCCTTCCATGGAATCGGTGGACCACACAGTAAGTCTCTTTTTTTTTCACATGCTGTATCTCTAACCCCAGTCCAAAAAATCAGAATCTTCTAACCAAAACACACAGTCGGTCTCGAAAATGCCTGGCCAATGTCCCTCCTCGTGCAGGCCCTGACCTCAAACTCAGACGACGAAATCGTCGCATCTATCAACCTCGTCCGTAACTCCAGTCTCCTCGGCCTCGTCCACGAGTCCATCAACGTCAACAACATCACCGATTATACCCGGCCCTGGTTCGCGTGGGCCAATTCCCTCTTCGCGCAGACTATCCTCAAAATCGCCGCCACGAAACCCTATCTACTCTTCGGAAAGGATGCGCAGCCATATGTCATTTCATGAGATGAGATAATCATCTTGAACTTCTCTCGTTCGTGTTCGGATGCGGTGTTGTTTATGAATGAATGGGTTTAATATCCGCTCTCCTCTGCTCTTGCAGCTTGCTTGCTATTCATGTCGCTTTTTTTTAAATGTTTTCTACACCTTCATGCTACGCAGGAAGCATGGTATGCATTTTGCCATCGAGAATGCATTAGGGCGGCGCTTTTTTCTTTTTCTTCTTCTTCCGGGGGATTCAGTCAATCAATCATTCATGAAAGGGTTATGATTCGGCATCAGAAAGGAAACACAGGTTGTGAACCTGATTGGGTATTAGTTTGGTTATAGTTAAGCTATACTATTATATAATGATTATCGTTATTATCACAGTCATAGCATCAGTGTTCGTGTTCTCTCTGGAGAATGTAGTCTTCATAATAATAATAATAATAATGATATTGGTATCTATGAACTTCTGCCAAAGTATTCGACACATCTTCATAATGCACTTTCAGAGCATATTCGTCGCTTTTTCGGATTCTTTAAAGAGACATGTATATATTGGATATATATTTCTTTCGTCAGACCAGGACTCTTCTCAACCCCTCCGTTCCACCAAGGACTCTCCGTCCCGTAATCGGACATCTACCCTGTCCACTCTCCCATTTGCCTTCTCGACTCCTGCCTTTCATGCCGCTCCCACCTCCTTCTTGCTCTGCTGCTGTTGAAGTCTTCTCATCGTCTGCCCCAGCAGCGGAATTACGTCCGGTTTCATCAACGCCGTCTTCGCCTGCTTCATATTCATCCTCCCATGCAGCGCCGCCTCCTTCACCGTTCATGAAATCGATCTGTCGCTCATGCTCGCCGTTCAGCCAGCGGAAGATGCAGACGTAGCAGAATACGTAGCCTGTTTGGCAGGCAGTTGGGTTGACTAGCTGGTTGAGACAGATGGGGCAGGTGTTTGTGCTCTCTGGATCTGCAGGCGGGAGGGCGATGGTGAATATGGGAAGGAGAGATGAAGAGGAGATTGGAGGTTGAGCGCGACGACGGGGGGTCTTCAGGGCGGGTTTGAGATCCGTCGTAGATGCAGTCGGGGAGGGAGAAGTGGTGGGTTTCTTCTTGGAGGGCTCGACCTGTCCGGATACCACGGGGGCAGGGAGGTCGAGTGTCTCGGTGGCTTTCCAGGTGAGTTGGCGCGAGAAGTCACTGGCGTGCCACCATTCGAGGAATTTCAGGGCGAAGATCGATGCTGGGAGGAAGAAGCGCAGAGATGAAAGGAGCTGAGGATATAGATTCTGCGGGCTGAACATGCCCAGGAGGGAAGAACCCGGTCGAGATCGAGCATTGCTACCACCAGGACTGCCGCCGGGCTTAGGAGCCATAGCAGCCGCGATAGCACGATGATCCGCCGGTCCCAGACGCCGTATCCGGGTGCCAATAAGCCAGAGGAACGGCGACGAATACTTCGTATTATCAAACAGATAGGCTAGATTGAAGGCCAAAATCGAGAAATAATACGCCGCATTCACCGACGGATATACGTTTCTCAGGAACCATTTATAATAATAAACGAAGCGCTGCTTGAGGGTCGGCCGTGGCGGAAGGTCATCGCTGGGGTTATATCGCGGCCCGCCGCTCATGATCAGTGACGCCTGCGGCGCTGCGTGGATGTCATATCCTTCATCTAACTTGCGCTTCAAGTATGGCAACCCGACCATGACCAGCAGGTTCTTCCATACGTCGGACGTGCGCAACTTGAGCGTCTCGCGGACGGGGCCGGCAGCGCCCAGCTGCGCGCGGGGGATCTCGCCATTCTTGGTTCGAAGGACGCGCTCGCGTTTGAGGGAGTAGAAGTTCTCAGTAAATGAACCGCCGAAGGTGCGGAGGTAGTATCGTTCGACGATGAGTGAGAGGACCGCGTACACCTCGTCGAAGGAGTTGAGGATGCGGAGTAGATATCGCGGGTGTCGGTGTGTGGCGACAGCAAGGAGGTAACGGATTGATGGCGGAAGGAGAGCTGAGAGCTGCTGCTCTGAAAGAAGTTCTGTAGCAAGAGAATAGGGATATTAATGGCTATTCAACAGGAGGCGCATGGAGCAGGGAAACTGGAAGTGCTCACCGAATAGAGAGGGCTTTGAATCGTCAAAGTCATTCTGCAGACTTGACATGTACTCCATCTTCACGACACAGTCAAGCCGTGCATCCTCAGGAAATCGAGGATTAGCTGGCGGAGGGACTGGTGGTGTGAAGAGAAGATGTCGATGTTCCGTTCATCTGGAGATTGCGGAGAGCTGCGGAGCCGAGGCTCGTTGGCCGCCACTCCATCGTCATGTTTAATTACTACTACTACTACTACTTATGGCACCCTATTCATGACACAACTATGAAGACCTCGTTTCTGCTACGACTGGACTTCTCTACTTTCAGACATCTGCAGAGAATGTTGCAAGATACGATTGGGACACTGGGTCTTGTTGTATTTAATTACACATGATGGTTAATCTTTAAGACATTCTCTGGCAAACAATATTGTACTATAAGAAAGCGGCCCATTACTCTCTATGATCCAGAGCGGCCAGGCAACGGTTCCAGAGCGCTGGAAATGCTGACGCGGAACCTTCCAGCGCTTTATTTTCAATCGAAGGGTCGACCACACGGAGACATGACAGGATGAGCTCTGCCAATTTCCCAGTGAGCGGTATTCTGGGCTGTTCTCGCTCCATCATAGGAACCCAGGATAAGATACAGTCGCGCGTCCGACGCACATCCTCCAGCTCAGCATGCAAACTGAATAGCAGCTCATAATCCGCGGCAGATCGCCGAATTCCATGAAGGGGGATTTTGTGCCAGAGTCTCCAAAAACCGTCAATGTCACCGTTGCGAAACTGGAGGGCTAGGAGGATACGTGCTTGAACCGGGTCAATATCAAGATTTAAGGCTTCGATGACCTTCGAAACCCGAGTGAGGTTCAGATATTGGAGCTCAGAAATATCCTCGACAGACGCGACAGATTCTGAATGTTGTACATGTGTTGAGGCCGTTTCTTCGTCTGAGCTGGGGAGGGAACGGCTAGCTGCTTCGTAGATAATATTGAATACACGCATGTTAAGCACATCCGTACCTTGGAGACTCAGATAGTCCAAAACACGCAAAGCAAGCTCTTTGTCAGATGCTGGCAGCGAGTCGCCGGATTGGCCGATATTAACATCGACACTGCACGGCGTTAAAAGAGCAGATACAACATCAAAGCCCAAATTATCAGAGACGGGATAGCCATACGAAGTGTATTCTTGGAATGTCTCCCAGAGCCGGTCTTTGCTGTACAAAGGATGTTGCAGAGATATTGCCATGCACATCAGTCTTAGTTGAGCGGCGATCATCTGTTCCGGAGGGAAATTATCGGGTCTGCCATAGAAAAGTCGCAGAAAGAGAGTCGAATCACGGTCATCCGGGCCGTTTCCAAACTCGTATCGCAGCATCGCGTCTGGGAGTCCGGAGAGGCTTTGAAATAATGATTCGATATCTATGGTACACCCTGATACTATTTGATTCGCTGGAACAGCAAAACTATTCCCAGGCAGGCCATCTTCACCGGAGATATTGGCGCTTTGAGTGGGCGCTCCATTACTGGGGCTACTGCTGGATGTGTGGATGCTTCTCCGTCCTAAAATAATTGTCGCTGGGGTCCTAGTAGTCGGGGGAATTCCACGGTCAGATGACGATTGGTCGAATGTTTCTGGGGAAGCACGAACCTCTTCGGATGCCAATTCTGGATTGACGGCGACGTCCTGGTATTTTCCTTGGGCTTTCTTTTCCAGGGCAGCGCCCCAGAGTCCTTCGAGATCGATCTCTGCTCGTTTCTCCTCGGTGAACATCTGCACAATGATCCTTGTTCCACCAGCGGTCTTCCCAAAACCCTCAAAGCTTTCATCTCTTACTCTCGACTCGCGGAGCGATTCAGAGTCTTCGACGATACCCGCGTTGACACAGATCCAGCCTGTGGTAATACCGTCATCCTTCTGTTCCAAGGTCGCTCCCGAACTACTGGCAATACGGGCCCGACGAGCCTTTCGCCGGAGTTTAATCTTTAGTTCGTTCCGACCCAGGAGCCCATCGGCATAGGGGCGCAGCTTGTACGTGCTCCGTAACCAGCGACACAGGCGGTCAGCTGAGACGTTGAGATGCTTCACACTGCGTGCAGTCCCGATAATCATGATCACATTGCCGCCAAGAGCCGGAGGCGGATCGAGCCCACGGAGGTCAAGAAGAACTAGATCGTCAAGACCAATATCCACGGAAGTGTGTTGTAGAATATCCTGCAGAATTGGAGGTGGGTTTTCCGGAAGTGGTGGTAGTTGTTGCTTATGCGCCAGAGGATGAGCCTCCATGGGGGTAGGCGTCTCTACCTGCAGGTACCAGGGAACGTGCACATCTGAATTTGGCCCTGCGGTCGTTTCCTTTGATCCTGGAGAGTCTGTGGACACGAGAGTATTAACATTATTGGAGCCCGTATGCTCTGATCTCAGCCCAGCGGCAGACGAGAGCATGCGTCTATGATAGAGGGAACGCGCAGGAGAAATGGCCGGAGTAACAGAGACGCCAGAAATGGCCAGAAAAGACTGCACCACATTGTGGCGGCAAGCACGGCACAGAGGCCCCTTGAGTAGAGCTCGACTCATGCTGAATAAGTGAATGAATCAATGAACAAATAAGTGAAGAAATGATGGATGTTGAACTTGTCAAACTGGAAATGGAAATTCAATTGATCACCTGACAAACAGTGCAAACCCGATTGATAATCAGTGCAAACAGCGCAAACACTCCACCTCCGCCGCAAAAAAGTAGGCGGAGGGGCAAAAGTTCAGTTGATTAATTAATTCAATCAATTCATCCCCAAGAGTCTCAGACTCTGCTTTTTGTTATCAGAGATCATCGACACGGCAGTTGCAATCATGTCGATGGACTTGGATGCTCCCGTGCCCATGGCGGCACTGCAGGAACAGCCCACTGCAACTATTCTCTGTTGCAACTGTGGTGCGCCCATCGATGGTACTACCGCTGCGGGCGCTCTTTGCACAGACTGTGTGAAACTCACAGTCGACATCACCCAGGGCATCCAGAGAGAGTCTGTCCTCCACATGTGCAAGGACTGTGAGAGATGGCTGCAGCCGCCGAGCAGCTGGGTCAGCGCCGCCCCAGAGTCGAGAGAACTGCTCGCCTTGTGCTTGCGAAAGCTTCGCGGATTGACCAAGGTCCGGATCATCGATGCTAGCTTTATCTGGACCGAACCCCATTCGAGAAGAGTCAAGGTGAAGATCACAATTCAGCAGGAAGCCTTCCAGGGCACTATCCTGCAACAGACATTCGAGGTGGAATACGTGGTGGCGAGTCAGCAGTGTCCAGACTGCCAGAAGTCATACACGGCCAATACCTGGCGTTCGTCTATCCAAGTCCGACAGAAGGTGCCTCACAAGAGGACGTTCCTTTACCTCGAACAGTTAATCCTCAAGCACAACGCCCACCGAGACACCATCAATATCAAGGAAACGAAGGACGGACTGGACTTCTTCTTTGCACAGAGGAACCATGCCGAGAGGATGGTTGATTTCTTGTCCTCTGTTGCTCCCACGAGAGTGAAGAAATCGCAGGAACTCATCTCCATGGATGTCCACACGTCCGTCAAGCAGTACAAGATCACCTACTCCGTGGAGCTGATCCCCATCTGCAAGGACGACCTGGTGGCACTTCCACTGAAACTGGCTCGATCGCTCGGCAATATCTCACCCCTGACTCTCTGCTATCGCGTCGGTACCTCGATCAACCTCCTCGATCCCAACACTCTCCAGACTACGGATGTGCCGACAGCTGTATATTGGCGATCGCCATTCAAGAATTTGGCGGATGTGCAAGAGCTGGTCGAGTTTATCGTCATGGACATTGAACCGGTCGGCCAGTCAAACGGTCGTTTTTCCCTTGCCGAAGCCACTGTGGCGCTTGCATCCGACCTGGGCGTCAATGACCAGACCTACTTCACAAGGACTCATCTCGGTGGTGTCCTCCATGTCGGAGATTCCGTCCTCGGCTATCACCTGACGAGAACGAACTTCAACAACGAAAACTTCGAGGCCATTGAGCAGAGCCACCAGTACGGATCCACTATTCCCGACGTGGTGCTGGTCAAGAAGTTCTACGCCCGGAAGAAGAAGGGCAAGTCCAGAAACTGGAGACTCAAGCGCATGGCCCGCGAGGAAGAAGAAGGAACAATCAACCGCAGACAGCAGGAACAGGAACGCCTCGAAGCCGACTTTGAGCTGTTCCTGCGGGACATTGAAGAGGACCAGGAATTGCGGAGCACGCTGCAGCTTTACAAGGCCAAGAACGCTAAGCCCCGTCCAGAGAGAATGGAGGGTGTCGAGACCGGCGATGGCGATGTGGAGCAGATGGAGGAGGACGAGGAGAGCGACGATGAAAATGTGCCCCAGATCAACATGGATGAACTCCTCGAAGACTTCGACGAGCTCAACGTGGGTGACGAGGAGTAAAATCATTCTTTTCTTATTACGACGGATAACGGCGTTCTTAGCGGGTTCTGCATACGTATATCACGGGGCTTGAAAAGTACATAGATCTCTAAGCTCACGAGCTTTTTCTATCTCATAGTTACTCTTTCGAACAAGTGGAAAATCGCTTTTGTTCCTCTGGAAATACGCGCTCATATGCACATGGTAGTAGATATCCGTAGACCAAACACACAAAAACAATAAACGAAATAGCAGCAAAAAGGGACTGCCTTTTTCTCAAAAAATCTTCCCCAAAACCCTCTTCGTATCTTCTCCCAACGCACCCTCATCCCGATTCGCCTTCGCACGAACCTCATTCTGCCGAAAGACTCTCCGCACCTGCAAGTCCTGTACATCCTGCGCATCCCCATTCTCCGCCGCCTTAGCCTTCTTCTTCTCTTCCTTCTTCTTCCGAATACCCTCAACAACCTTCCCCTTCTCCACACCAGCCAAGAACGCCTTCTCTTCCTTACGGGCTCTCGCATCCTCAATTCTCTGTTTGGCTTCCCTCTCGCTGCGCTCCCGCTGTACCTGCTCCATCAGGTCCGCCCACTTGAAGCCCTTCAGATACTTCATATTCCACACATCATCGTGGTACCAACCGCCCTTCTTCCCGCCGACAATATTGGCATTTAGTGTCTCGGCGCAGATCTTGGCCGTCTTCTTCGACGCGAATTCCACCCAGCCATCTGTGTAGGTTTTGCGACGATTACTCTTCTTCACGCTCGAGGATGAGTGCACGGCGGGAGTGAGGAAGACTTTCGTAATAGGACCGAATCCGCGGGCAATGAGAAGGGATTTCAAAGCGGACGGCTTCAGGTACGGTGGGAGAGAGGAGAGATAGATGACGCCGGTTTTGTTCTTCTTCTGCTTGAGGAGTTTGGATTTCGTCTTGGATGATGTCGTAGATGATGCGCCGTGGGACGTTATGGAACGCGCATCATCGTAATCGACTTCCTCTTGCTCTGTTGTTGACTTTGTCTTCTGTTTGGATTTCGAGGTTTTCTCCGTGGCTTTCTGGTTCCCATCTTCATCTTCCTCATCCTCTCCTTCTCCTTCCGCCTCACTTCCAGCATCGTCACTACCCCCCTCATCCTGAGAATCGCCCTCTTCACCGTGATCCTCAGAGACTCTCCTCCTCTTCGAAGCTCTCCCCCCAGCATTGCTCGCTCTCCCCTTCGTTTCCTCCGCCGCCTCGGAGTCGTAGCCGCGATCATCGCCCGCTTCGTCCTCAGACTCAATGTCCAGGAACTCGTTCCGCTTCCGAGTCGTCATGGTTGTGCGTGTGTGTGTATGTGTATGTATCTGTATATGTGTACAATAGAGACGCTATACAATGTTGCGGGGGAAGAAAGACAGAAACAATTTTTGGTTTTCGTCGCGATTCGATCTGCGCTCCGATGTTGGATCGGGGAACTTTTTTCTCGGGGCGGGTGGTCTGTGCTTTTCCGCCCCGCGGATTTGCCTCGTATATACTTGGTTGTCGCAATGGTATGTCTCTTGGGACTGATTATTGCAAGTAATGATACAGGATAGTAGGGAATCGCCGGAAGCACGTTATTAGTCAGCTCTCTATCGATTTTATTGGCTATGGGTCTTGTATTTTATCTTTGTCTCTTTGTCACGGTTAATGCCCATGACTTACTGTATGTAGTGCTGGTGGAATACAGGAGCCTTTGCACCCTGGATTGCAGCCCCCAGCTAGGTAGGTACTCACCAGGCTGAGATTGAAAATCGGCCGGAAAGTTCTCTCAGTGCATGGGCCGACAATCACTTATGACCTGTGGCTTCGCTGATCGTAATAGTGTCGCTGTGCGCTGTACAAGGTGGTATTTCCAAAGAAGTGCGAGGCTGGCCAATTAGATCGTTCTCGAACACAACTCTACAATAGTCCATGATGATTGTGATTAGTTTTGAGTAAGGATCATCTTCTTCTGCGAGTTTCTTGGCGTAAAAGTCGCTCATTCAGTGGACTAAGGATTCTATAATCTGGCCGACAGTTTTTGTTTGAGTAAATGGATTCACAAGTGCATTTTTAATCCCAGTTCAAATCCAGGCAAGTGCTTGGTTAAGAGACATTTAGATAATGTATCTAGGTAAGTGGACCCCATCAAGTGCATTGTAGGTATCTATCCTAGAAAACCAACATGAGCTAGCTGGTTTAGCGGTGAGCTATTGGCTACTTACTTATGTTCTGATCCATGCAGTGTGTAAACCGTTGGTTTGACACAACCCATCTCTAGAACGATAGCGCTTAACTGAACTATTACGAACCTCTCCCTGCAAATTGCCCATCTATTACTTCAGATTCTCCTTGAATTTTATGCATATCCGTTTCATTCGAGGCACATTGAAGGGTACAGATACAAAAATTAGGTACCTAGGTATGTAAATATAGATGTTACGGTTTAGGGTCCACAGATAACTCGCAAAGACTATGCTACTCTTTGTTCTTCAAGTTTCAGGCTATGTTGATCTCGGATCAAAGGTCGCTAAATGAGACGGCACTGGTTTCAACCTCAGTTCGTTTACTTGATATTGTTTTGGGGTGTACTCCGTAGTAGTATCGTCTACTATCGGAAATTGCTGCCAATGACTAACTATAGGGGCTAGTTTACAACAGATGTATCGTAAGTAGTATGCGGCGCAGCAAAATCTGGTACCTTTTTCAGTAGGCTGCAGATATACCGAGCCAGTGTTTAGAGAAAATGTACCAGTCCATGTCTAAAGCCTTGTCCTAAGATTTTTTAAGGGGTGGAATATCTTAAAGACCCGTATGCTACCCAGAAAAGAGGATACTGTACATACAGCTCTCGTCGTTCGCTAGAATCTTGGAGCATTTTAAAATATTCCTACAACCTTATCTAACAGACAATACCCTGGTGGTCATTGAAATTTGTCTAGAGATGCGGTTTATTTTTTCAGTCTTCGTTCTTAGCTGGATCACTTTTTGCGTTATTTCTGCCGATTCGATTACCCGAGATGTTCTTGTTGATACACACCAAATCGCTAACAACTTGAATGCTTTCCGGAGAAATGTCTTGGGAGCACCGGTGAAGAAGAGAGATAGGAGTTACAGCAACTATACCTCCATCGAAAAGAGTTTCCATAATGCAGTTTTATTTGCCCTGTATGACGATCAGTCTAGCCTGTATGAGACAACCAAGGTGCTATCTTCTAACATTTCTTATAGCAACGAGAGTCAAACCAACGTGGGGATTACCTGTCGGACATGTTATATCCTGGGCAATGCCTCGGTTCACTTCTCGACTGATGGTGATTTCAACGCTAGCGCTGCAGTCGATAGTATCGCACAGGATGTTCAGAATACAATCATCAATATAACAGACGCGGTCGAACAAGCCATCAAGGACACCGCCGAGAACATCACACAGATCGCTCAGCACCTTATCCACGGCGATTTTGAAGATGTGACATGGCCCACTCTACCTGTCGACTTTAACATGGACATCCAGGGCATCCCTCAATCCCATCTGACGTTCCAGTTTGACGATCTAGAATTATATGTGGAGCTTGAGACTGCAATTGCCAATGGTTCTTATACTCTGAATCTTTATCGTCAGCAGACACCACTTGGAATTGGACTCGCTAGTCAAAACCTTGGAGTCTTCTTCAGCGTTGATCTCGTTCTTAGTACGACAGCCGAAGTTGACATGATTAGTGGATTTCATATCAAATTTGATGATAGTGTTATCATCAAAATGGATTTCTTCGACACCAATTTCTCAGACATCACCTAGTAAGTCAAGATCTATCTTTCCGGTCCAGCAAATGAATTTCAGAGACCTGTCCTAACTGACCTGTGGCTTACCCCTCATCAAGTGGAGGGGGTCACTATGAATTCCTACCCGTAACTGTCATGGGTAGTATAGGAATACTCAATGCTGTTCTCCGTGTGGGAATCAACACTGGATTTAACGTCGGTATCGGCAGCGATTTCAGTGTAAGCATACTTGATGAGCCTGTTACTATCCCCAGTGCAAGCATTGGAACGGCTATCAGCGTCTTCGCCGATATCGCCGAGTTCACCACCAACTTAACTACAGACAGCGAAAGTTGCGATATCCTGGCAAGTGAGAAGTTCAAATTCGGTATCGGTGCTGGAGCTGGCGCAACCTTGGCTATCAATGACAATACATGGGGACCGACTCCTTCTGTAACGACGGCGCTTTTTAAAACTGACCTGGGTGGCATCTGTGCTACCCAGTCCTCCTCTACACCGGCAACTACAACAGTCGAGGTCGAGAGAAGGCAGCAAAGTGATCTGAAATCAACAACCACCGTAGTCACGTTTACTGGAGTGGCATGCGAGACGCCGGGAGTAGCCAACTGCCCTGTCTCTATCAGAAAACCTACAAGACCACCAGTACATTACACACTTTACTGCCTTCCGGATCGACGTTCCCGAGTACAACGTCAGACACAGTCTCAAGAATTGCGTTTGGGGATAATGTCAAATCCATGGAGAAGACCTCTGGCAACGCCACGCCGTACATTGCGGAGTCAACGGGCTTCCAGGAGTACAAGAAGATTATCATCGGTGTGACTATCCCGGTTGGAATCATTCTCATTGCAGGATTCTTGTGAGTTCCTTATTTATGTTCTCACCACAATACTCACCCTCTGATTTCTCTTCCTTTCATACCCTCCATTAGCGTGAAGCCGCACAAAGATGGCGGATGTTGAACATATATGCTAACAGATAGCATCGACAGTTTCCTCCTGCAGTATCGCAGAGCCTGTCTCTCTCGCCAGCAGCCGGATTCTAATAAATAGTATAGATTACGGACAATATTGGTTTTAAGAAGAAAAAGCAGCTTATTTTCTCGATTACTATAAATGTAGGGTTGAGTTTGGCTATCTTAAACTCCATAGCAAGGCAAGACAAGGTAATCAGAAAAATCCCCAATAGAGTATCTTCAATGACGCCAGGGGGACTCTTTAACATTGTCTCAGCTTTTGCGTTAGCTGGCAATGAGCAGGGATGATGGGTCTGAAGACAGCCTTTGAGTGCATTGCACATCCAGGTCTCCGCGATCATGAGCAAGTGAAGAGGAGAACATGGATTGCATTACTGCAGTGCTATATCTGGAGCGAAGCTCGGTGAGATTGAACTCTCTAGCAACTAGCTCAGCCTATTTATCTCTGTGGGTGGAGGAAGGCCTGCATGTAAGCAGGCTCCGACACTATAAACTAGGCAACTGCCATCATAAAAGAAGGCGTAAGAATCTGATCAATGAGGGCCAAGGTTTGGAAGCTCTATTTAAGACTGGCTTTTCCCGAGAGTGCCAGATTTTGCTAACAAGAGAATCTCAACTCCGTTGCATAAACTTGTCTGAGCAATAAACCCGGCAAAATGGACGCAAATATCTTGGCTGAAAGGTTGAGAAACACTCATTTGAGCATCAGACCTGGCGAGAAAGAGCAGTTACTATTTAAACCTCGAGCAGATGCCGAATTAACCCGAGATGTCCTTTGCAATATTCCTAGATATCTCTTTCGCATAGTATCTCCCCTTTCCGGTGGAGAAACGGACGGAATATGGATGCGTTCAGAAGCAGCTAGTCGAAATATGAAGTCTTCTCGCGAAGACATTTTCTTCGGCTTGAATTTTGAGAAACGGGAAACTATAGCCCGTACAATCAACGTCCATCTCCGATGGCGGCTAACGGATGATTTCGAAGGCAATTTTGTGTCTTGGTCCAGCTCTTTACTCTATGTACTTCAATTCATCTACTACCGGCACTTGAACCGCAGAGACAGATCGAGTTTAGAAGAGATCAAGTTGTACGTCATCGATACAGAGGAATTTCCTCCGGGGACATTTATTCGGGATTTAGATCTGATTAACGCTTTCTACAAATTCGACGATCATCATCCAAGAGATCTACGGGATTTCCGGAGCTTGCGAGAAAATACCGGGTATTATTTTGGGGAATATCTTTCTCAGGGATCACTGAAGATTGAAGGTAAATACCAGATGATATCTGCAAAATCGCTCTTTGATGCGAATCGATTGTGCCGTTTACAACCTGAATTCGGAGATATATACAGCCTTCTGGCAGAAAAAAAAGAACCAAAATGGGCGAAGGAGGTTCGTCGTCTTCGCGGAATCGTCTGGTCAGCTGCCAAGTCTGTGCCATTGCCATCACAAGAAATGCTTGACCGCATGGAGGCCATCTCAGAAATCATAGAGAATTTCGACCCTGGTTGGAGATTTCCTATGGCTATCTATTTTGCAGCCCTGATCGGCCCAGAACCAGAAACGGAAGAGCAAGGATCAGCTCCTGATAACGTCTTCTATGCGTGCTTTCGATCCAAATTTGCCGGTTCGTCCTCCAGACTGTTTCATTAAAAGGTCTTTTTCTTTTGACCTTTGCTCAAGAAGATACCTACCTATCTGACCAAGATCACGAGTTATCTAGAAGAACAAAGGTATTACGGATCTCCAAAGTTCAGAGTCATCGCCCCAAACACAATGCCCGAATTAAAGCGAGTCAGCGAAATATGCAAGTACTTCCAGCTAAGAGAAGCACTGGGTTAGTGTATTCGCAGTGATCGAATTCACGGGTCTTGTCTTGTTTGCTAACGCAAAAGAGCAGAGTTTGCCAAGAAGGCTGAAGCAAGTCTTCGCAGGTTGCGTATGAAAAATGGAAGCTTCCTTCAAGTTGCCGACTCGAACGAAACGTTGACTGGAGCTCGTCGGACGCTTTTATTGACACTTAACAAGACACAGAAGCTGTGTGAGCAAGTTTCTCAGGCCATCTCTCCCTCTAGTGCAAAGAAGACATAACTTGGGAGGGAATTGTCCTTTTTAACACATAACTAGCAATAAGGAATGACTCATCTTACAAGAAAAGAATATATATTCCGTGAGAAACTTAGGATGCTTAGTATTAGCTTCGAGTAGATTCGTGATATTTACTCAATGAGAGCTCAATAAGTAACTTAACTAACTATGAAATGTTGCTTAGTGACCGAATCGATTTACTGTTATATAGACCTTGAAAGGCGCAACGCAGGATAGAAGAGGAAATCGAGAGGCCATTCAATAAGCACATATTCGCTACATGTATCCTACCCATGTATCAAGTACACTTGTCGAATAAGGAAAAAAGAGAAAAACCCATGTAATTCTCTAATAGAGGCAAGTTGCAGAAAAAGACGATATCATGACCAAACAATGGCCCATGGGCCGGTATCCTCTGTCCCAAACGCAAGCGAACGATGCAGAAAAAAAAATATGAAAGCAAATTCTGTATATACATAGGCCTCTTTTTGTCCAAGTAGTAAGAGGAGGCAAAAAGAGCCCTTATAGCATAAATGGATCTGACAGCCAGAACCAAACGCACGACCCCCCAAGACCAGATGCAATGCAAAGGAGAAAAGAGCACGTCTATATTCCCAACCACCATTTTCCGCGCTCGTAAACGAAGAAACTCGTTGCGCCCAATGGCACCACTTTCATATATCCTATTGTCAACCCCACGAAGAAACCACGGATTCCCTTCTCTAGCAGGATCCGGCGTCCGGTCTCGACGATGCCCATGTGGTGGCCGTCTCCTACAGCACCAGCAACCTGCATTCGCCGTCGGATAACTTCCAATGGGTAGGATGACGTCTGCGAGACCACACCAGCAATAGCACCGGACAATAGCTCTGCGGAAGCAGTGAGCTGGGCACGACGTGTTCGCTGTTTGCCGCCTCGTGGAGAGGATGTTTCTGAATTCGGGATTGTTGTATAGGGAGCCAGAGCCGGCGAACGCAACCAGTCTCCTACTGTGTCATGTGTGAGGAATGATACTCCTGCATAAGGCAGCATTCCGAGAAGGGTCGGGGCAAATCCGCGATAAAAGTTCGCGAGTCCTGAGCGAGGAGTACTTTTGGTGACAGCAGCAGAAACGGCCTGCGCAGTTGCCGTGACCGGAGCAGACTTTACTTCTGCAGTCGACGGAACAGCAGCACTGGGCCGCGACGCTTGTTCACCATATATCTGCCGGCAGATATCCCTTAACGACGATCGAGAATCTCGTTTGGTTTCAAAAGCCAGCCTGACACGAATAACCTCCAATGGATACGTAAAAAACACAGACGTGATTCCAGCCAAACTGCCGGACATTAACCGCCGGAAAGGTGTCTCCTTATCCCGCGAAGGAATGAGTACCGCTCTGACCTGTTCATAGGCAAGGAATTTGATAGCGGCATAGGGGAATATTCGCAGCAGAGTGGCCGAGTGACCCTTGAAGAGACCTCGTACACCTTCATTGCGCTTGATATCGCGCATTGCAGTCACTAGACCGAACCAACTACCTGCATATTTCGCAAACTGTGGATTCGAAGCCTGGAATAGAATCTTGACCCGGTCGAGCGGAGCCACCACGGTTTTGGCCTGGAGTATCGTAATCAGCACTATTCATCCTACGATACAATGTCCAACGTGATCCAGCATATAGATATAGTAAAATGAGGACTTTCAAAGTTCTCAGAGGGCCAACTTACCGCACAGCCCGCCATTCCCCCTGCAAGCCCGCTCCGCAGAATATAATCTAAACTGCGCTTATCCACCTGCTTGATGGCACCGCTGCCATCTTTCCTTGCAGCTCCGATGGCTTCATCATCTGTCGTCGCAGCTTTCATCGAAGCCACAGCCGTGGCTGCGCCCAGATTCGACTCGTGCGACGGACCGACCTGAACAGCCTTCTCCATCTTGCGGTAGTCCGAGGGCCGGTCTGGCCCTATAGAATCTGAGCTCGAGGTTGAGAGAGATGTAGGAGACGAACGGGAGACTGTGGACGAGGAATGAGGCGCATGGTCCGGGAAAGTGGTGGACATTCAGCGTAGAGGGAGGGTGGTATAGAACGGGATGTCGGTTGAGAAATTAAAAGATGTGTTGTCCTGGGGTGTTGGAGTATTATCGAACGGACGCTGCCATGGACGGCATGGAAGTCGATCGTGGATGTTCAAGATAGACTGAGAGCATCAACGCCAGTGTCCCACTGGGGATGTCCACGATAGAGAAGAGCGTCCCTGATCTCACGAGATTCTTTTCTCTGCCCGCTGACGTCGGTCTAGGAAGGCGGAGAGCCTGCGCCGAGGACGCGGAACTCCGGTCTGATGCCGTGCCGTGGGCTGGAAACGTGCCGATACACGGGATCCCCGCACAGATCGACGGTTATTACCGTCACATTACGGTTTTGCCCCTGGACCGCGGCTAATCACACCTCCGGCTTTAGTAATTATACCCGGAGATAATTGGTGGTTCGTTAGAGGTCCCGTGACTTACTGGATCCGGAGTCTCATACATCGTAGATGGTTGATATTATTAAGTGGTTTGGACATAACAGAGCAGAGTGCTGTACCAATAACTTTTCTATATTTCGAAGCTATATAAGATAAGACGAGATTTGCAGCGTCTCCCGTGATCGGGAGTGCACCAGATCCCACTACACCAGACAAAACCAAGACACCAATCTTCAAACACGCCTTTTCCGCACCAATACTTCGCCCAAAATGCACAACACAATAAAGGCGCCACCTTGTAATGAAGCAAAAAGACAATTCAGGTGTACAGGTCCCCACTGACACCGGGTACTGGAAACCCCCGTTCGAAAATGAAAACCCCGCAATGCCCAACCCCGCGTGGTCTATGCACATGCGTCCGCTGTTGAAAAGTCTGTATCTATGTAAATTCTCAAAGCACTCGTGGGTCTCATGGCTCATGCATAAAAAAGAAAGAAATCCTCGCAGTACTCGCTGGATGACGCTTGCCTCGTTGGTCTTGCGATAGGATCCGGCGACAGACGGAGCTGACGGAAAGCCGTGGAGGCGAAAAATACGAACATAGTAAGTATTAATAAGCCCAAGGGGCTGCTATGGCTTAGAAGTGATACCGCGAGCCCTGTCTGGTCAACGACTTTCCTTGACGGTTGGTTGCCTTCGTCTCCCGCGTGTCGTCGGCGGCTTTTCTTGCGCGCTTCGCAGGCCGTCCCGGGTCTACATGGAGATGCCCATTCTCAGAGAGAGCCGTCGTGTTTCTCCACTTGAGACACCGATGTTTGGGATCTTCGATGTAGGTCTTGGTACGGGTTGCCATTCTCTTGGCTGGAAGTTCTTCCGACTGCGCCCTTTCCTCGGTCTCAGTGAGATATTCCTGGCGTTTCTTCATATATTTCACGATGTTGTCTCGTTGTAGAATGAGTTCCTTGCGAAGTTTCAGCTCTCGCACACCACGCGTATCGAGCCAGCTGATGAGCTGATCCATCGACTCTGGATCGTCGTAGAAACCCCAATGTCGCGCATCGGGAATACTCGTTGGACCTTCTTCGCTCTTCTTCCTTTCCGCTGGAGTCATCTGATGGTCCTTCACGTACTGCTTCTTCAGATCTTCTGAAACGTCGATAAAGCCCTCTCGCTCCATATCATCCGGTCCCTGCACCCATAACCGGCCATTGGTATAATGAGCCTCTGCAGTGGAGCTGTTGGGCAACCCCTCGTAAGGCATAGCATTGCGTTCGAACCACCAGTAACGGTTGCAGAAGCGATCCTTGCCAAGGCATCTTGTTCGAGGGCAGTCGGCCTCCCTCAAGTCATTATCCACAACCGCGATCTCCTGCTCGAGTTTGGCAATTTTGGCCTTCTCGTCTTCGATCTTCTTGAGCACTCGTTGGTACTGTTTCGATCCTTTAGGTTGCTTCGCCAGCTGTTCCTTTCTCTTCTGTTCTTCTTCCTGCTTTCGTTTTCGTTCAAGGATCCTGTCCATGCCCCCTCGTAGTGAGCGGCCTTCATGAGGCTCTTCATCTTCAGTATCCATGACTTGATCGGAATCATCGTCCACAGCAGTGACCTTTGGATCATTCAGTGCCTCCAGCTCAGGCACAGGGGACGGTGATTTCTCTGGTTCTGGTTGGAGTTCCTTCCGCTCCTCGTGCAACCGACGAAGTTCCTCGAGTCTAGATTATGTGATGTTAGAGGGGACGTTAGAAAACAACGGGGAACAAACTTACGCTGCTTTGCGAGCTCTCTGATATTCGATCTTCTCCTTGCGGAACTCGGTCATTTGATTGCTGCACTCTTCCATATAGTTCTTGATGGCTTTTGTTTCCAAGGTCAACATGCAGATTATCTGCAGAGCCCGAATACGCAGGTTAACATCAAGAGTTGCATACTGAGACTGTGCAGTCTCCTTGGTCGGCTCGGCATCAAGTGGCGCCAGATGTTTGAGAATCTCGTCGCATACCTCTTCCATGCGCGGACGAGCGGACAGCTGGTGCAAAAGACCGACCATGATGAGCTCCCAGCCCCCATTTCTAAAGTCCCTCTTGCGCAGACGATCAATCCAGCTATCTTCGACGAACATTTCTGCGGCCCGATGCGACTTCGCCTCGACGGAATTCTCGCGACTCGCGTTGTCTTGTTTCTTTAAGTTCTCAGCTTCCGCCTTGGCCAGACTGCTCCGCGTGGTCATCCGAGTGAACACCGGCTCCGGCTCAGGGGTCGGTTCCTCTTCCTCTTCTTCTTCGTCCTCGTCCGACCCATCATTCGGAAGGTCTGGGAGCGATACCTGAATCGCACCATCGTCATCATCCTGCGCATTGACCAGCTTTTTGAGAACAGCACAGTGGGCTTCCACGAAGAGTTCACAATCGACATCGTCTGAGGAGAACCGGATGGCTTGCACAAAATCATCAAAGGTGAAAGAATCCAGTTGAAAGACCTCACAGTATACGTTGAGCGTATTCCAGATTTCAAGCAAGAAACCGACTGATTCTGGCTTGATATCAGCCGGCAGCAAGTTGGGATCGTCTGTGATGGCAGCTTGTTCATCGGTCAAGAACTTGAGCGCAGGTCGATGCTTCCCGTTTCGAGCCGGAGGTATGTCGAGATCTTCGATTGGATATTTGATGGGAGGGGGAGGGGGAGGTTTAGGTGTCTCAGATTTGACAACGACAGCAATTTGTGCTTTCTTGTCCTTGTCCGCGTCCTGGGATTTCGGCTGCCGACCAGGCCCACCAGCAGATTGCTTTGGTAGGACGAAGGCGGGATTCCCGTTCAACGAGCGCTGGTACTCTAGATACTGCTCTTCTCTCGATTTTGCCAAGTCCTGCGGTGACGGCTTTACCTTCTGGCCTTTGACTGCTGGCTTCAATTCCGGTAGACGTTGTGAGGCGAAAAAGCCAAAGAAGCCCTCCTGGTCCCCTTTCTTCATAGCCTTCTTCTCAGCCACTCGAGTTCCGTACTGCAAGTGTTTTGGCACTTCGGTGGGGATCTTGTATTCTTCTGCAATGCTAGGCTTTACTAGCCATGGAGCTCCGCTCCAGGCCTCCCTCGTAACGTTATTTTTGATGAAAGCACGCAGCATCTGCTTTGTAAAAGCCTTCCGATCACGAGTCAGATGTTCTTGGTCGAGTAAGGCCTCTTCGTTGGGACGGTCCAGGATCTTCACCAGATACCTGGCGTATGCCGGGGCCTTCACCGTCCCATCGGGGTTTAGCTGTTCCGGGAAATTGGCCTTGTCTCGAATCATGCCGTGTAGACGGGAATTATCCGTGAGTAGAATGACAACTTGCTCCCCGGGATAAAAGTCCTGCTTGAAATCCTGTCTCCCCAGTTAAGATTGATGACCAGCCCTGGTTTTCACTTGTATGAGCTCACCTCGTATACTTCGTCCACTAAAGCAAACCTGTTAGCTTGTATTGATATTACAAGCAATGCATTTGTCAGACTTACCCAGATTATCTATCCGTGACACGGTGGAGAACTGCACCCTGCGGAGGATGGGCTCCTTGAGAGCATCGGGGAAGGCATTATTCAATTCTTTAGACTCATCCATCTACGAGTTGTCAGCCCCTTCAACCAGTAAGCGATACAAAAACTGGAGAAAACATGCGTACCTCACTCTTCAATGCTTCGAAGAACGTCAGACCCGAATGCCCGGTTATCTCGCAGATGAACCGCCTCTGCTTGTAAAAATCCATCCTCTGAAGGTATGGCTCGTAACTCGTGAAGACCTCATTGGTCTCCGGTATGACCCAGACCTGCGTCATGCTTGTAAGCCATATTGTCCCGTAACGGTGGACCAGATAAGATGATCGGCCCGTACCTCGGAGTTGTCATCGTCTATTGTGGGCCTTGGGAGGTACTGGACGGGTTTCCGCTTGAACAAGACCTATTTCCGCCACATCAGTACATGCTCGTTCTGCCGTCGACCCAAGAATCTCGTACCATTATCCAACACAAGCGGCGTTACCACGCTAGTCAGTCATAGATCGCCTAGGGATATGCGCGCGGACGATTTCAATTCTAATAGGGACATGGTTAGAATCTGAAGTAAGACGCGCGCAGAGGCCAGGTTCATGAAAAGAAAACACTGTGACGGCGCGTAGCAGATGTGATTTGTAGTTTGTAACTGCGATCCTAGATGCAGAGCTGGCAGCTCCTCTTCAAATTCTCCAACTTCCATCAGGAGCCAAGAGAACGGCATTTAGGCCGTGCGGAGTATATTTTCGCGCCATACGCCGAAGAGGAGCTATATTATCACTGATCCGACCATAAAAGCAAACAGACGTACCGGAAGACGCGTCCTGCACCCGTTTCCTTTGCCCGCCTCTGAAAACTGGTGCGCGAAACAATAATTGCGGAGTCAATACGGAGAAGCGCGCTTGTCGATCGCCTCGTCGCAGAATCTCCGCAGGCTGGAGGTCGGGAGTTGGGTGGATTGCGTAGCGGAACAGACGCCGTCTTTGCGTTGAGAGGCGAATGACGAGAAGACGATCGAGAGGAAGAAAGAAAGAGTCGAGAGGAAGCGGTCGAAAGAATAGTCTAGGGCGGGCAGCGGCAGAGCCGGCCCAGGAGCATCTGGCGAGTGGTGGAGGAGGGACGGACCCCCGGCCCAGGGCGCCCGGTGATTGGTCCAGACGAGGAGAAGAGCAGCAGCACCGAAGAAGCTGGCCCAGCGAGAGCACGCGGACCGGCGGGACCTCTCAGTGACTTGCGGACACCGCGCCGCTACGGCCACAGCAGAGGTACCGCGTAGGTACCTCCCGGCCCATCAACACGCTCTTCCCCCTCCTCGCGGCCTGCTACCCCCCCAGCTGGCTTTGCCCAACTCTCCTAACCGCTCTCCCCCACCGTTCCCCAACGTTCTGCCATTCTTTCTGTTCCGCGCAAGCTGCTCTATCTCGTCAAATAAGAGAGATTTTTTGTTAATTTATCTCCAAGGTCATGCCCGCTGGTAAACATATCACATCTCGATCTAGATCGCGACGCGGTGCGGAGAAGGGGTAAGGAGACAACTATACCCCAACGCCTCCGCGACCGTTCTGCCCTGTCTACCACATACGACCCTTGAGTTGATTTCTATCGACAAAAAGTCTTCTGAGTCGATAATGTCCATCCGCTATCCCATTCTCCCTTGTTATTTCAAAGCTAGCAGCTGATCTGATTCCTACGGGGATTTCGAAGTAGGTAGACACAGAAACAGCCGACCCCTTGTCTTGGCTATTGGGATCATTCAACGATGACCATGATATGTGAACCTCACCATGATTTAGACAGATCTATCGATGGGTTTATTATACCCTTGCGCTTCCCATGCGATTCTATTGACAATCTGTGTTCTCATCAAGGCTATACAAATTCGCTGGCACTCGTGACCGTCTTAATGTCCTAGTCTCCGCACATTGATACCTGATCCTCCCACTGCAGCATCTTTTTTTTTTATCATTTTTATATGCCTATCATCAATCCGAGTTATGTACGTCTTGTCGTCTACTTCTGAGGTGCAGTTTTAGTATATGCGCTCTCAGGCAGCGCACTAACCTTCCGCTTGTTGACGGCAGCTTCCCCCCCCTTATCATTTCTTCCGTCATGCAGGATCGACTTTTTACGTTATTTTATTTCTTATCTTGTTTATTGGACAAGTATGCGCCGCTCACTGTTTCAAAGGCGTTCTACGTCTCCGACCTAGCTTTCACAGTGACTAGAAGCGGCTATGTCGACCACGTATCGATCTCAACCACTAACTTGGCAAGTTTTACGCCAGCACCCACAGATACACATACATATAAAAGACGCAATGGCCAAAAATTATGAGCATGTGATACCGCCGTATTGAACCTCGTCAAGAATGAAATGCAAAGCGTACATCCTCCACGTTAACCCCAACATCATCCCAAAGCAAAAAAATATATCATAAAACAACTATGGTACTAGGTGGGTTCCCCAACTACGTCATATCACTTATCGATAACAAAAAGAACCAATCCTGCATATTACTGCATTGGCCATAATAATCAAAGGCAAATCCCTCTCCAGCCCTTTCGGCTGCTCGTAAGTTGTAAATACCCAACACCACCGCGCATACCACCAAGAAATACTCTAAAAGCAACAACGACGGGAGTAGGTACCTATAATAGGTTAATACCATCTCCGTACTAGGCGGACCCATCGAAGGCGGTGCGGTGCGCGTTCCCACTTTTTCCTTTTGGATTTTAGCGCGGCTTCTAACCCACGTGCGGATAAGCGCCGTCTCGGCAGAAACGGTTTTTTTGTCGTCGCTCGCTGGCTCGGTGGGTCGGAACTACATACATAGCTAAAGTTGATACGGAGATGTACGAATCGATTAATTTATAGAAAAGTTCAGAGGACTATATGGTTCTATTGTATATGATTTTCTATACTCTAGACGTTCTTTCGAGTTCTTTTTTTTAAGAGATAATTGAGTGTTATTTCAGTCAGTGATGATATGTATCAGAACTAACTATTCTAGAGCTTCTATACTTGTACTGTATGTACAAATTCGCAGCGTTCATCAGGACACCATCTACGTGCATATGTTTCATGGCAGAACAGGATGATATTTTCTAATATCATTCTACTCTCATATTGGATTTTGCCCTTCTCAGTTTTGAGTAACCCCAGCACTATCAGATGCAATTTTTCAAGTACAGCAGCTAACTCTAGCGCTCTATCAACCTGAATAATGAAATGAACTTGGTAAGGTTTAAAAAACGACAGGTATATAAATAGGAAAAGAAAAAGAGAAGAAAAGAAAAGAAACAGTGAAGAAGACTATGCGGTGAAATACACCACCATGAACCCCACCCAGCTCCCTACGACTCCGAGAGCAGAGTAGCTGCTCATGAACATCAGCGGTAAGAACTCGTATCTACCGAATCCGAAAATGAGCTGATGAACAAGCGAGCAGTACACGATGAGCGGGATGGCGATCGTGATGTAGAATAAGGAGAAGCGGTCCAGGAGGAAGACCCGCGGCCGGGTTGATGGCGGAGCCACGTGGTCGAAGACAAATAAGAAAAGGACCAGCCATAGGATCGTGTAGACTGTCTTGACGGGGAATTCGGGTGCAGTGAAGAGGAGCGGGAAGAGAGAGACATGGCCGGCCACTGCGAGGGGTTTGAATGCTCCGAAGTATCGTCGGTCTCTTATAGCGATTAGGCTGAAGGGGATGATGATAAGGAGAACGGCCTTTTCGTGGACGTGCCATCCGAAGAGGAAGGAGGCATATCCGCAAAGCGTGAGTGCGCCAACAAACGTTTCCCAGTCGGGTCGGAACCAGAGTTTGATCAAGGGGAGCTGTTGGACGAGTCAGCAAAGCACTTGATAGTACAGATACCCGGGTGGAGAACACACCAGTTGGAAAATGAATGTCAAAGCAAATGTCTGCTCCTTGGTAACCTCCGGGAGGACTGCGAACGATGTATCTCCAACCAGACCTCGGGTGACGCTGCTGAGGGCGTCGTGATTGACACTGAGTCCCAGGCGAGGCGCAACTGTTATGGATGCCCTGTCAGTGTGACATTTACACAAGATGCAGAAGATATCACGTACGTGGAATGAGAACGCGATCCGTAAATGAGTACATCGCCCAGATGTTAGGTGCCCAGTACGCGTGACACAATCCCCTAGAGAATGGGAACAGACGATCTTTCAACTGAAGCAACTGGTTCCAGTACACAAAGGGTCCAAATGCGGCAGCGAAAACGCCTACAACTGATACGCCCAGCTTGATGATGTTACCGAACCGTGGCCGGAAAATAGACCTAGGGTCGAGACAGTATGCTCGCAGTAGGTAGACGAAGTAGGCGAGCGAGAGGTAGAGGTAGATGTGCTTGAAGCAGAGCAGGATAGCGAACAAAATCCCGCTGTAAAGGAGAGTAGACTGCTTGCGTGCGAGAACGATCGACAGAACGAGGATTCCGTAGAGGAAACCATTGTACTGGAAGTGGATGTGGTCGATAATGAGCAGCCCGGGAGAGAGGAGAATCGAGAGACTGGCAATATGGGCAAGGTGCTTGCTAGCTAAGGGGACCGAAGCCACAAAGCTAGTATATTCTCAGTAACCAGAAATCTTCTAGCAAGCTTATGGAGGTCATACCGATTCAACGCATACAGAAGAACCAGTTCACTGAGTATAACCGTTGTTCTCTGGAAGTAGACGGTCTGCCAGGAATCATAATTAAGATTCTGGACGACCAGCATCAAAGGATCCGCATAAGACGCAGCTTGTGACAGCAGCCATTCGAAAGCTGCGAAGAATGGTGGGTAGTCGAGAGTCCATTCTGACGTTTTCTAGCTCCGACACTCAGTATCCTCTCCGGATCAAACGGGTCGATACCTCCACCTCCACGTACCTCGTAGTACCATTCTTTGGGCGGGAGGGAATGGGTAATGGCCAGCCAATTGCGGTGGACCTCGAAGTCAGTCGACTTGCTGCGTCGCGGGGTAGAGATATCAGTAAAGATCGTCGCCAAGTCCAGGGACGGAGGGTGAATTTTGGGTCTCACGTACTATGCGGGGAAGAGAAGCAGCTTGAAGGCCGTAGCAACCACGGCGGTTTGCGCCAGGGAGGGATAGAGGTCAGCCATTGGCGCAGCAGAGCATATCGAGGGCGCAGTTGGGCGCAGTGAACGACGGAGGATTGATGGCAGCGATGGAAGATGAACTAGTAGTTTACTGTACTCTAGCTCATAACTATTATTTCCGTGATAATAATTAATCCTCATAAAGCTCCGCGCCTTAAACTTTCCGCGCCGAGAGATCGTGGCCCGGGCACGCGCAGGCACGTGACGTGTCCATATCAGGCGCAAGCTAAGCTCAAGGAGAGGACAAGCTGTCAGTTCAAATAACTCGACTACGCAGGGATCGGGAAGACGCTCCACATGGACATGTCCGATGTTGGTGTCCGCCATTCAATAGCTCTCTCTGACTTGAGTGTCCGGCATACCGTGGATTTCTCTTCGTCCGTTGTTGCTACCGCCAGGGAGATTCGCGTCTGCGTGATCGCCATTGTAGTCGGGTGGATCACCACTCGTGTCGTCTCAGAGCTCTCCAGACGAAAATCCGCGGGCCCCTGAGCACGATTGCTGATTGATACCCTGCTGGCGTTCACCACGGAGATTGGATTGGGTCATCTCTCCTAGATCTAGCATCTTTGGATCATCTGCTTGCCATTTTCAAGTTCCCTTCACGAGCCCTGACGGGCGATTTATGCTAGCTGGTGCCAGCAGTTGCGGCTAGACATCGTCTCGAGCACTCTAACATCACGAAGTTTATATTCGCATTTCACGACAAAATGAAGCTCTTCCTTTCTGTTGCATTTTGCATAGCTGCGGCCAAGGCACAGTCGTTCGTCGACAGTTTAAGTTTCGGTCATCAATCGAGGTACGAACTGCATGTCCTTGTTGAGTACCCTCGGGCCAGCTTATCTAATTCCCACTTTAGGATATCCCCAAACAATGATGCCATCCCCGGCTGGGACCTGGGGGGCGATCAATTCAGACCCCAAATAGTAAGTTGGCGGTTCTATTGTAGATCATCGACTGATTGCTAATTCCTATCTAGCTTTCGGACAAAATCATTCTGACCCCGCCTTATCCAGGCCATACAAGGGGTTCCTTGTGGGCCCAAAGTCCGTAAGTTTCTCATTATGCTACTCTTGAGTCATTGGCCCAGTTATACTGACAGAGAACTAAGTATATCCGAGCCCGAATGGATTGCAGAATTCCAGTTCAGAGCTAATGGCCCCGAGAGAGGCGGTGGCAATCTCCAGCTGTGGTACACGAAAGACGGACAATCCAAGGTCGGAACGTCCAGCATCTATACTGTCGGCCCATTCGATGGCCTGGCACTCACGATTGACACCCACTCTGGAAGAGTAAGTCTACGCAACTGACGTTTGAAACGACTGGTACTGATCATTGTCCAGGGCGGAAGTATTCGAGGATTCCTGAATGATGGAACAACTGACTACAAGTCTCACACCAATGTGGATAGCCTGGCGTTTGGTCATTGTGACTATCCTTACCGTAATCTCGGTCGCCCGTCTGTTCTTCGGATTAGGCACACAAACACTCTCCTCGAGGTGACTGTCGATGATAAACTCTGCTTCCAGACGAACAAGGTGAGCACGAACTAGTTCTACAAATACAGAAGGGTGTTTCTGACAGATTACAGGTTGCACTACCTGCTGGCAACACCTTTGGAGTCACAGCAGCAACCCCAGACACTCCAGACTCTTTCGAAGTCTTCAAGTTTCTGGTGTGGACTTTGCAGTCTGGCACGACGAGACAAGCGCCTCCAAGCCAGCAGCAGCAGGGCAGCCAACAACCCCTGTACAACCAACAAGACTCTGGCTCTCAGGACATCCAAGATCAACCTGCATCGTTCTACACAACGTCGGCGCAGCAATTTGAAGATCTTCACGTTCGCCTCCAGCTCATGAGCAAGGCGAGCAACACCATGCTCCGCGAGATCACCGGATTGAGGTCGAAGCAAGAGGAACGCCATCAAGAGCTCCTCCGCAACTTCATCAGCAAAGATCACTACGCCAATCTCGATGCCCGATTGCAGAGAATCGAGTCTCTCCTCCAGGCTATCCAGCGTGATGTACAAGGCAAAGACTACCAGGACCGGTTCGCCCAGCTCCAAGAAGCTCTGAAGAGCTCCCATCTCACCCTGACTGAGAGCCTGCAGACTTCCATCTACACTAGTAAGCCATCCATTCACTCCCTGCCCTTCTCCCGAAAGCAATCACTAGTAGTGCATTTACTAACACCACTCTTCCCCAGTGATCGCCGCCTCTACCCCTAGAATGGGCCTATTCGTCTTCGTCCTCATCGCCTTCCAAATCATGCTCGCTGGATCCTACGTCATCTACAAGAAACGTCGCGCAAACATGCCCAAGAAGTTCCTTTAGATAATGATGATGACAACCAGCCCTACCTACCTCATCCATCAACCTCTTATGAGGTCCTTCAAGAACTCCTCGTTTTTCAGCATGTGTTAATGACGTCCATCTCGTCTTTCTGAAAGAGTTCAAGGAAGTAAAAGAAGAGCACTCTCGATATGATTATGTGTGTGTGTGTGTGTGTGTGTTGCTCATGTAGGCATGGCATGATGTGGAGGGAAGTGTATGTAACATGTAAACTAAATCTCTAGATAAATTACCGTTAGGCGTCTGATATCTTGAAAATTTTCCTGATTAGCAATGCAATGCAATATTCCGTATCTTAACGCATAAAAAGGGTTGATTAGAAATGCAGTGTACCGTATCTAAACGCCCAAGAATGGTTTATAACCAATAAACTACGTAACTAGATATTGATACAGCTAATCACCACTTTAGAGCTAGCTACATGCCTACTAAGTACTACTAGTTATATCATAGCTACGACCAAGAAAAAGACTGAATAATCCAGTTTCTATGAATGATTTTTGCTAAACATACATTCCGTTTCAAATAATTAAATCTACGCTTTATCCCAATCGACCATCAGATTACCATGATGGGAGGAATAGAGGAAAGCGTGATCTATCCTCAGAGGATAAGCAAAGGATAAGCAAAGCAGTTCGTTCCATCAAGTCATCCCGATCGACTACCGCGATTTCGTCATGGTAGGAGGGATGAAAAATAGGAAAACCTGCTGTTGGGAAAAAAAAAGAGAGAAAAGAGATGCATCGGCGGAGAAAAGCAAGTCCATCGTCAGGTAATCCCAATCGACCATCACGGTCTGTCGTGATAGGAAGGGATAGAAGAGAGGAAAGTCCGCTGTTGGAAAGAAGTTGCAAAGCCAATGATAAGTAGGCCCCATCACTTTGTCCAGGTAAATCGTTCCTTATGAGGAAAGGAAACTGAAAGGACAAAAGGGGACCGACAAGGCTGTCCATGAATACACGTTGTTGCAGTGGAAAGAAGGGGCGCGGCCGAAAGTAGAATGTCGGCTAAAGCGCGGAAATGATGACTTCGAAGCATACACCCTGAAACGCCAGTTCGTTTTGAAAAGAGGGGGGTAAAAAGATTTTGAACTCCAACCCAGTCGTGAACCGACCCAATGCATGAAGATCTCGGTAGCAAAATAGCAACATCGCTGTGCGTTCGCCGATTGAAAAGAGATAAGAAGACGCATTTGCTTCAACTTTTTGTTTTCTTCGTCCCTGAGTGACATGAAGATATGAAGAGGAGAGTGAAGTGAGGCGTAAGTCGTGGTGAGCCATAATAAGAACATGAGGTCCGATGATGAAGTCGAGATAGTGGCCGGTTCTCCTGTTGGTATTGTTCAGTCAGACGAACTGCCGGTGAGCGTCTGGATACGACGGTTGATGAGCTCTTGTAGAGCGTGGAGGGACTCAAGCTCGGTCTCTGCCTTGGGAAGGTCTTTGGGAGCGTTGGCTCGTAGCTGGTCAATCAACGTGCCGATCTTGTCAGGCTGCAGGTTCGTCGTGGCCTGGTTCCCCTGGGCAAAAGATGCCAGGTTCATGGCAGCTTCACGATCAGCTGCCGACCGAGAGGCCAGGACGTCTGCTGCGGCGTCGTTGTTGTCGAAGACCTCCGAAGTGGGAGGCTGGGAGGCGTAAAACGCAGTCGCCTGTTCGACGAGATGGTCCAGCTTCTTCTTGGCATACTCACTGTACTGAGCAGCCCCAGCGGCCCGAATCTCGGCTTCCAAGTTCTCGCTGTGGGAATAGGATGTTAGCAAAACACATAGACATTCATCAAACATGCCAGGGAGCATTGACTTACCGCTTGATACGCTCGATGAAATTGAGCTTGAGCCCCTTCTCCGAGACGCGGTACACGATTCCCTGCGACTCCTGCTCCTCGAGCTCCTCCGCCTCGCTGTCCTCCGGCAGGACGTCGACATCAACCACGCGTGGATGGCGGGGCCGGCGGATTCGATGGGCACGCCCATATCCGTTCTCTCCGGGTGCGATCTTGTACAGCTCGTGCTCTACGTGGTTGGGGCACATCCAGTTGTGGTGAGCCTTGTCACTGCCGGGCTTCTGCGGCGGCGGGATCGCCAGTGGTGGATCGACACAGTCCATGTGGAATGCACATGGACAGTAGTCGCACTGGACGATCGGGCGAACCCCGTTCGTGGTACGGCCACAAGCGACACAGACGATCAACTTGTTCTTCGAATCGAATAGCCGCAGACGGTACTGGTCGTCGAGGAACCCGTAACGACCGCCCCTTGCGCGGGCGGTGTTCTTGACACGCGGGTGTACCTCTTCGTACCTCCCATCTTCTCCCGTCTTGACGCCCTCGAAGTAGGTCCGGGTCTTGAGGGGGAGCTGGAAGTCCCTTTCGGGAGCCTTGTCCAATGCTTCCAGCAACGCCCCAAAAGGCCCGCTCATCGAGCATGAGGGGCAGAACCACTTTCCCTCCGGCAAGTTGGCCGGGTCGAGGGGGGGCGCCAAGCAGGAGAAGTGGTAGGAGTTGACGCATCCATCGCAGCAGAGGAGCTGCCCACTTCGGCCGCACTGCCGACAGAAGTCGTTGTTGTCCTGGGACTCACCGCGGCTGCAGAGTAGCGTTAGTATTCATCAGAGTAGATCAACAAAAAAAAAAGAGTAAAAGATAGTACTTACGTTCGAGGGTCCCTGACCCTCTCACCGTTGGGAGTCCCCGACTCCGGACCAGGAGACGACCGGCTCTCTGGTCCCAACGAGGACCGCAGGCGGCTCTCTCGAGCTACCAGATCCGAGAACGTCCGACGCAGACGACTCTTCTTTTCGGCGATGGCCTCCTCCGAAAACTCGGGGTCTTCTTGCCTAGCGCGTTTGCGCTGCTGAGAGGCCTCGCTGGCCGGGAGTGCGGTCGAACGCAGGAGAGGCTCCTTGCCCTTGCCCTTGGGCTTGGGGGGAGGTTTCTCTCCTGCGCCCATGGCCGGCGCAAAGGTGTCTGCGTCGAGCGACTTTGCCGACGACAGGGACGAGGTGGCCGTGGCCGAGCGGGTTCGGGTCCGAGGGGGCGTGCTGACCTTGCCGGCAGACTGCTCTTCTGCGCGGAGAGACTTGAAGGCCTCGCGCATCGCCCCCTGGAACGCCGATTTGTGCTCGTCGGCCGGTTGTTGACGGGCCACCCCGTCGAGAACGGAGAGGAAAAAGCCGTTCTTGTCGCTCTCGGTCCACAAGCGACGAAGACCACGGGCAACTGCCCGGTCCCCAGAAGCCTCAGCCAGGCGGAGAGCATTCTCAACCACCGACTTGATTTTCTCGACGTTGTACTGCGCCGAATGGGGAACCGGGAGTGCCCGTAGGTCGAAGGCGTCGGTCTCCGTCGTGTTCTCGGGGAGCTGGTTGGCGCTGGGCTTGGAATTGGCTGTACCCTTTGCCGGCTCTTCAGTTGACGCTGAAGCAGATTTCGGTCGTTCTCTGACGTGATTGCCATTCGCGACAGTGGCACCAGTGTTGGTCCGTTTCTTTACGATGATATAACGAGGAGTTGTTTTGGTGGTAGATGATGAAAGTCCAGCTTTCCGGAGATCGCTAGCATTAGGCATAGCCCCTAGAGGTCGCATATCTGACAGGACGGGGTTGGCAGAGCTTGAGACGGCTGACCAGGGAGTGTCAACGTAGCTAGGTGCTGCAGCACGCAGAGGAGGTTCAGTCCAGTCAGTGGTTGGTGTAGGTGTCCGGACGTCAGTCGACTGTCGTCCTGCTGCTCCTGGGAGCTCATGCTGTCCTTGATCCTCGCGAGGTTCATCTTGCGCCGACTCGACTCCAATCCGTGAAGTTCGACCAGTACGCCGTTGCTTCCTGGGTCTTGCAGAGTCTGTAAGAGAAGAAGAATTCACGGCCGCTTGCACGTTCAGAGGAGTAGCTGGTCGAGAAGTATTTGACCTGGCGCGGGAGGAGGAGCGGAGGTTCGGAGCCATTGTAGATGTAGACTCGACAAAAGACTGCGGCGCACACCGTTAGCTGACGGGAAATATTTTGAATCCAGGAAGCAAATCATACTCACCGGTGAACGATTCCCAGGCTGGCAAGAAGCTCACCAGACGTGACCGTTGGAACCGTAGCCAGCCCGCGCGTTCTCCGCGGGTTGAGAGAGAGGAAGGAGAGCGGGAAGCTTGAGAGATCGAGCGAGTTTTCGAGGGAACCGCCCCGACTGGCCCTGTCCAGCCTCGTCAAGGGGCTGCACCACCACAAGACAGAACAACACCCGGATCTCCAGGGAAGATTGAGAAAATAGAGAAAGTAGAGGTGGAGAAACAGTGTCTGAAAGACTCCAGAAGTGTAGGAAGAAAGAAGAAGTGCCTAAGACAGTATCTCGGCTCGAGGTTTAGATGCCCAGGGGTCGCACCACTACACAGTCCAAACAACACCCGGAGCTCTAGAGAGTTCTGAGAAAATAGAGAAGACAGAGGTGTAGAAACGTGTTTGGAAGGGTTCCGGACGTTTGTTCAGAAGTGAAGAAAAACGCAAGGCTGTCCGTGAGCTCGAGTTCTGGTGTCCAGGGGAAGAAAAGGAGTAGAGCAGACGCAGAGCAGGAGAGGTGAGGAGGTTGGAGAGGAGAAGAAGAAAAGACGCGTCGAGGGGCAGGAGAAGTGATGATAAACAAAGAGAGGGTCGTCTGTTGGGAGGACTCCCCAGTGCAATGTGTTGCTCAGGTTAATTTTTTTTTCTTGCCTTTTCCAAAGGGTTGCCTGGGGACGTGGTGAATAAACGTGGAGGTGAATGCGAGGCACCCTCCCCTTTCTACATGGAATATGGAAAACAAATGCGTGATAGAGACCAATTTTTTTTGGTTTTATTTTGCTAACTAGAAAGACAAGGGCCTTTAGAGAGAAACCCTTTACATGATCGTCATATCAACCGACATGACTGGATCCCGCGTACTGCTGGGATTCACTGTGGAACTACCAATGCCATATTCCCTCGGGCCGCGGCGTGCAAGTACAGCTCAGGGGAGTCATAGATAGAGTCTTTCCAATGCGAAGCATATATCAGACTGGACAAAAACCGTGTTTCCGCGTCGAGTTTACTCCTCATCGCCGGACTCCTCTCCCTCTCCCTGGGCAGTCTTAGCGGGCTTCTTCTTCTTCTTGTTCTTCTTGCCCTTGGCACCCGTTGACTTGGAGATCGGACGCTCGAGGATCTTCAGGATCTCCTCGTCCTCGATCTTCTTGTCCGACTTGATCTTGGACAGATCAGGCTCGGGAGGAGCAGCAAGCTTGGTGATGCCGTTCTTGGTGATAGCTATTCGACAGGTCAGCCCCACCTCTCATGGGAAAAGAAAAAGCACGTCTCTTTCAGATATCTGAAAGGCAAGAAAACTACTCACCAATGGTAGTCAGGAGTCTGGCCACAGGAGCGTTGTCCGAGTCACCGGCGGGCTCGTACTGTCGGACGACGCCGCCACGGACACACTCAACGACACCGACCTTACCGGCCTTCTCGTCATCGAGCTGACGCAGACTGAAGGGGAAGGTTCCAAACTTCTTGACGATTTCGGACAGGGTCTGTCTCGAGCTAGGACGCTTGAGGATGTATGTCGTGGTGGTACGGCGGTGCAGAGTAGCGCGGTGCGACAAGGTCTTGACCTTTCCAGATCCCAAGCTCATGCCAATCTCGACTCCCCAGACCTCTCCCACCTCGGGGACACCGTCGCCCTTAGTGCCAGAACCGGGGCTCAGGATGATCTTCTTCTTGCCCTCGATCTCGTTACGCTCGAACTGCCAGCTGGTGGTGTTCTCGACAACGTTGCAGTCGTACGCCTTGGCGACCTTCTCGATCAGGTTGGAAATCTGGGTCTGAGTAGGAGGCTTCTCAGCAGCAGCCTTCTGCTTCTCTTCCTCGGATCCGGTGGCCAGCAGACCGGGAGGGACCATGAGTCTCAGAAGCAACTCATTGGCGTAGTGTGTCGCAAGCAGGAGGTCGGCCTCGCGGCCGGTGACGGCGTCCTCAGCCCCGGCAACAACGATGCTGTCACAGACAATGGTTCCGAATCCATCAATCTGGGCGCCCAGTTGGATCTTAACGACTTCTCCGGCCTTGAGCGTCGTGTTGGCCTCCTCCGCGTCAGAGAGCAGAGGAGTGTACGGAGTCACGTAAGAGCTCGGGGACACCGTCGTGGGGTGGGCGAAACCTTTTTTTCGGAAAGAAATCCTGTCAATACAGAGGATCCCATTTACAACGAGCAAGGACCCTTCGCTACAACGTACCCTTGGAGACTTTCTTGCCCTTGTAGACCTTGGCAATCTCCTCCTCGAGAAGCTGGTCACCCTTCTGGCAAAGCTCCACGATCTTCGCGCCCTCAAGGCACCATCCTGCGGCAATCAGTCAATTGAGGCTCCTTTGATACTGGGCCAGAAGGCAATATACCTGAGACGGCTTCTAGGACCTTGTGCGAGATCTGCGCCGCAGTCTTGTACTTGGTCAAGGTATCGGGGTTGTTCAAGGTGTAGTCTGGAAGACAGGAGATAGATTGTCAGTTATATACGAAACGTAAACCCCGTTGGCATCGCGTGTAACCTCCGAACTGAGCGGAAAGACGCTCCGGGGCGCCTCGACAGCGTCACAGCAAATGATCGAAAAGAGACGGGCAAAATCGACAACCTCGCAGGCAGAGTGCGATTAGATAGCGCACAAGTCCTTCCGGATACACTTACCAACCTCGGGGGCCTGAGTCTCAGCCATTGTGTCTGATGGTCCTCGCGCTGGAGGAATTACTGCACAGATACTCTCGGGGTGGATGTGCGAGAACGTAGAGCTATTTCGATCTGCCTTTTCAGGGTCGTGTGCAACCGGTTTGGCGGGGTTTTCGACGGTTGACGGTGGGGTCTGGCAGGGCTTCGCGAGATTCGACTGACCGCCCGCTAAGTAAGGATTTATTATTATCATTCGTCGTCCCGCGCGCAACGTCATGGGCCTCGTCCGTGGTTCTTTTACTTTTACGAGTATCTAGAGAGCTTTCTGGGTCTGTTGCCAGTCTGTTAGCTTAGCTTAGACATGTTGCCTGTCCGCGTCCTCACTCACAACATCCGTTACGCGACTTCGTCTCCGTTCAAGGGCGAGAAGCCCTGGCCGCAGCGTAAACAGCTGCTCCTCAACGAGCTGCTCTATAATACACAGTATCATCACGAGTCGTTTATCTGCTTACAAGAGGTCCTCCATGGGCAATTGCTGGACGTTCTCTGCGGGCTCAACAAAGCGTCTGGCACCAACACTACCGCGGATCCAGAGTGGGCGTACATAGGAGTCGGAAGGGACGATGGCAAAGAGGCTGGAGAGTACTCCCCAATCATCTACCGTCCAGCGGTCTGGCAGCTATTGCATTGGGAAACCGTCTGGTTGTCCGAAACGCCGACGGTGCCATCAAAGGGATGGGATGCGGCCTCCATACGTATTGTGACTATCGGCGTCTTCAAACATCATGCCAGTCAGAAGACGATTCTGGCCTTGAATACTCACCTTGACGACCAGGGATCCAAATCACGAGCGGAATCCGCGCGTATTATCTTGAGCAAGATCCACGAGTACCGCACCGGCCCATACGTAGATGTACTCTCGGGGATCTTCCTCTCTGGGGACTTTAACAGCAAGGAAACCCAGGAAGCTTACACAGCGTTGACGGCGGACACGTCACCTCTCGTGGATAGCCAGAGACTTATAGACCCAGCAAAGCGGTATGGCAATGAGAATACCTTCACGGGGTTTGGCTATGAAGGCGTACCGCCAACGCGCATTGACTATATCCTGCTGGGACCGACGCATAAAACGGAGAATACCGGTCAGGCTTTATCTCTGCCATGGACGGCCACGGCGTATGCTGTTTTACCAAACAAATTCGACGACGGGGTCTATAATTCGGACCATCGAGCTGTTGTCGTCGATGCGGTGTTGAGCTAAGTGTCGTCGATGTTTTAAACATCCTGGCAGTTAAGATCCAGCAGGTCTGTCGCGAGTTCTGTTTGTCTTTTGCGCAAGCTGTTAATCTTATGACTAGTTACATCATTGGTGTCTTTGATAAGGTTGGAATAGCATGTAGTGATAATAATATCCCCTAGACCTGCCTAGTCAGTCAGTCAACGCTCGCATGTGCAGTGAAATGGTAGAATCGAATGAGCAGTGTCTAAATTGAAAACAAGGGAAATCCAAACCTTGCTGTCAATAGCGTAGCAGTGAGATGTGGTTCCGAAATATATAGTTATACTTTTTCCACGACAGAATGAATGTGCTTAAGCCGCTTTAACGTCGACGCCCTGTACGAGCTGTCTCTCTCTTCCTAGTATCTAAGCCTTGGTTATAATAGTAACACCAACTAACTATTATCCCAAACAAGGACGATAGATCATCTATCTAATAATTGATCTAATTGAATTATTTCGCTAACTAGTCTTACTGGTACTGCTACGCACCGCCTCCAACGACCTCTAACCCCCAAAGCGGCTAGCGCAGCGGAGAGGGACGGAGACGGTATCGATACGACACAGTACGATACCGGTAATTTCAGCAGATCGCAGAGAGCAACAAGAGCGCCGTCGATTGCCGTAGGATGGCCCTTTTTTCACGCTGGAGATGTCTGTAGAGACTGCACTGTCTGTCTGGATCTCGTCCGCACGAATGCATGATGAGGATGCTGTGGCCAGCACGGAAACGGCCAGTAGAGTAGGAGTAACGAACAGCAGGATCTACTCTAGTAACGGAGCGGGAGGCGGCTCGTCCTCCTTCGTCTTCGCGCTCCAGTTCCGCGACTCTCTTCTTCTCTCTTTCCAGAGCGCCGCAAGCCAACCAGGAAACGAGAAGCCACCCGCCAACTCCAGGGATTAATTACTACATATACTATAGTTACTTACTATAGTGATAGTTAATTATTTTCTCTCCTGTTTTCTGATCAAATCCCAGCGGCCAGATCGGCCCGTTCGGCGCTTCGGCAGATCCTGCGCGTGCCTCGCGGGAAAAGCGATCGAGCCCCAACCAGCCCAGGACAGGACAAGACAAGACCAGACCAGACCAGACCCCGACCCATCCACTCAGTCGTCCTGCCTGGAACCCTCTGAGTCTCCCGGACTGTTCGACCGCTGGCCATCGGCTGGCTTGCGTTGCTGGCTTTGGTATGTCTTCTTTGTGATCGCTGTCGCTGGCCTTCTGCCCCTGTTGTCCTTTCGTCTGTCGTTGCGCCCGCCCGGATGGCGATGGCTTTTGCTCAGGCGCAACATGCGCCCGTCGCGATGACCTCCCCTCGCCCCCCCCAAACAAGTTCCTGTGCATTGCTTTCCTGCCCCGATCATGTCATGATGCGAGCTTGTCGCGATGGGATCGCGTTCGATGGAGCTCCCAACCTGGCTGACCTTGATGCGCTGTCTCCCCAGGCCCTTCCAATGATGCTATCGTAGCATTCGCCTCGCCATATTTGTGCCCACCAACGTGTCTCCGTGTGAGCAGACACGCATAACTATCTCCTAGAAAGAAACAATGTCATCCGCGGACCTTCCCGCAGGGACTTCTTCGAATCCGGAATCCTCTTCGCAGGACCCCCAGCCGGATGGAGTCCAGAATGGCTCCAGCTCCGCCGTCGTAGACGCCAACGCAGAGAGCTCGAACCCGGCTGCGGACCAGGGTGCCAACGGGACCTCCCAGGACGCGATCGTGGAAGGGAAACAGAACGCGAAGGCGGTTCTGGCAGCGTCAGGGGTCTCTGTCGGAGAGTCTCAATCGGATGAGAACCAGCGGTCCGCATCTCCCCAGTCGAATGGCGCGAATGGCACGGCGTCGAGTAGGAAACGGTCGCGTTCCGGCTCTGCGGTGCAGTCCTCTTCGCCTACAGAAAGCTTACCAGTGCGCGTTCGTGAAACGCCAACAGACAAGATCCTCCTGGAGCAGTATGTCTACCGGGAGTTCCACCACTCCGCCCTGGAAGCGTGGCATAATCCCAGCCAAGAGATTCTCCAGCAGAAACGGGCAGAGCGCGATTATTATCTGGCGTTGCGGCGGGATAACCAGACCAACCCTGCGGCTCTCTATGGCGCTGGCTACGAAGGGTATGGCAATGCGCGGACGGATCTGAGGAATCAGCATCCGCAATTACTCTATCCGTCCAACCGCCGTCGTCCGGGGGGCAGAAAGTCTAGAGAGTTACGGATATCCCGTAAGGACATGAAGGTTCAGAACGAGCAGATCGAAGACCTCGTCCCTATTCGGTTGGATATCGACTGGGACAAGATCAAGATCCGAGATACATTTACTTGGAACCTGCATGATCGAGTGACGTCTCCCGATCTCTTCGCAGAGAAGTTCGTTGAGGACCTAGGTCTCCCTCTTGAAACATGCGTCCCGCTCGTACGCCAGATATCCCAGGCGATCCAGGAGCAGATTGTGGACTACTATCCGCAAGTGTACGTCGAGGATGATCCCCTAGATCCTCACCTACCGTATTATGCGTACAAAAACGACGAAATGCGCATTTTGATAAAGCTGAATATAACCATTGGACAGCATACGTTGGTTGATCAGTTCGAATGGGAGATGAACAATCCCTACAACTCTCCCGAGGAGTTTGCGCTGCAGATGACAAACGATCTCTCTCTGTCGGGAGAGTTCACCACCGCCATCGCTCATTCCATTCGCGAACAGGTGCAGCTATTCACCAAGTCCCTCTACATCCTTTCACATCCCTTCGATGGCCGTCCCATCGAGGACCCCGACCTCAAAACCGCATTCCTCCCGACACCCCTCTCCACGCCATTCCGGCCATTCCAGGCCGCCAAGGAATTCACTCCTTATCTGTACGAGCTCAATGAAGCCGAGCTGGAGCGTACAGAGGTCTCCATCTCCAGAGAGCAGCGACGGCAGAAACGGTCAGTTAACCGTCGTGGTGGACCGGCTCTGCCAGATCTCAAGGACCGCCAGCGCACCATTCGAACGATGGTTGTGTCGTCTGTTATACCAAACTCTGCTTCCTCAGTAGAGGAGAGCCACCTCTTCAAGCGGTCAGGTTCAGGTCGCAGTAGGCGCTCTGTGCCCGGCCAGCGCGATGGAGGCGACGAGACGGACGAGTCTGACAGTGAGGATTCCTCTGCGGGTTCTCCTGCCATTGGCACCCATCTCGCTCAAGGCACGGCTCGGACAAGAGGCATGAGAGGTGCTGCTTCGGCTGCACAGGCGGCCCTTCGGTCCAACCTTGGCCATTCTACGACGCCTGAACCGTCGTTGCACCACCACGAAACGAGAGTCTCTGCCCGAAGACGTGATTACCGAGAAGAGAGCATGGACGAGCCGGATAAGCTCATCGTCAAGCTCAAGATCAACAGAGAGCGGTTGCGCCAATTGCTTCGAGACATGAAGAACAGGAATAGACCCCAGTCAGCCTCTAGTGTCACTGGCCCTACGGCGGCTCCTCAGACGTCCCAGAACAGCACCCCAAGCGCTGCACCAGCAGGCTCAATGCCGCCACCGCAATCCCAGCTTCAGCAGCCCGGCGTAGCTAGACCAGCCAATCTCAGTCCAGGCGCACAACAACAGGGCCCGGCTCAGCAGATCGGTGCCATCGATGCTCCTCATCCTCCACAGCCAGGCGTTCCGGGGGTAAGTTGAAAACAGAAAGAGAAGACATATTGAAGCTCGGGCAACATCATCATCAGATTCCCAATCATGTCCATCCACTCCTACACCCGACGAAGATGAGAGAGGGCTTCGAAGTGTATATATTGGGGACTGTGCACTGACGTGTCGAATAGCCTCCGCCGCCCACCTGGCTCATGTCTGGTCTTGCTCAGCTCAACCGCAACTACCCGAACGACTCGTTTGAAGGCGTGATGCGCTACTCTGCCGTCGATACTGCCACCATGCTGCCTGTCGCGAATGCAAACGCTACGCATCCGGGCCAGAAGTTGAAATACCAGTACCTTCCACGTATCCGATGTCACGACTGTCCTGGAAAGCTGTACACACCTGGCCCCGGCACGACAGTCGATAATTTCGAAGTGCACCTGCGGAACCGACAGCACAAGGAGCGTGTTGAGGAGAGATTGGCGAGAATGGCAGGATCGAACGCTTCTGCATCGTAGCTGTACTCTACTAGGGCTGAGCTGGAGTATTAAGGAGGGGGAGGGGGATTACATGGATCTAGCAGGCGTGTTCTTACTTTTTTTTTTTTTGAACGTTTTCTTTTGTCGAAGGCATCTATCTGCCCGACATGGTACATAGGATATAGGAGCTGTGGGCTATCAGTCCGTCGTTGTTTTTTTTTAAAGCATCTCCCTATTTTCCCTCAGGGCTGTCCTCATGTATTAGCTGATCTACTCAATTCTTGGTGGCGCAAGTTAAGTTCCAATTGGGGAATCTGAGTCTTTTGCCTCCCATATCTGCATGGGAGATTGAAATCCATGAAGATGTTATATTGAGATGAGAACGAGAACGATTTGTTTTTGTTACACTTGAGTTGTAAGCCTTGTGGATAACTAGTTCAAGGTAGTTAATATAGAGACAGATGACTTATAATAATATAATACAGTAACTACCAATCCAAGCATCGTATCCCACCACGGGTAAGATAATTAACATGTCTATTTTTATTATCTCTATCCTTAGAATCTCTACAACGATCAGCCCAAGCAAGGAAAGAAAGAAGGAAAGAAATCTTTCTAATTTTATTCTCCAATTCTCATTCCCATTCAGACACATAATCCACATAATCCACATCATCATCATCATTCTTCTGTTCGTCCCCCCTACTACAACTAGTAATGAGACATTAACTCATATTCGACACATAAATCGATGATGATGATAATAAACCACCCAGAAAAAAAAAATCAATCAAACAAACAAACAAAAAAACAAAGAGGTATATACGGCATCAATAGACCATAGATAGTATAGATAGCATGGGCATGGCATCAGCCAGGATAAATAAATAATAGGGGGAAATGTGAAACGCAAAAACGCCAAATGTAACCCACGAAACCAGCATATACATGTATGTGTGTGTATATATATAGATATATATCGAGAGCTTTGGGGGCTTGCGCATTCATCAAGTCTATATGCTTATGCTGATGCCTTTCTTTCTTTTGGAGGAATAAATGATAATCATGAGCGTTACCGAAGGATTTTCCTTCGGAAGAGGGGCGCGGGGGGGGGGGGGGGGGGGGGGGCGAGGATTATGTATGATTAATGAGAGGAAGAAGGGGGGAAAAAAAGGTTGGGATCTTTTTTTCTTTAAAACTTCGGCGAGAACTTGCTCAAAGAGCGAATCTTCTTTCCGTAGAAGAAGAACAAGATCGGAATCGGGATCATCGCGACGGTGATAAAGCCCAACACGCTAGACGCCCAGTTCACGCCGAGATTGTGATACATCTGCACAGCGAAGAGGGGGAAGCCACCACCAACGCAACTCCGGACGAGCGTGTTGGCGGCAATGGCGGAGTTTGCGAACATGAGGTATACGTCGATGATGTAGTTGAGGCCCTGCATGAAGATGACGAGGATGCCGCATCCGATGGGCACGCCGGCGAGAACTTGTGGGAACCAGTGGACGTGAGGGCTGGATGTCCATCCGAACCAGAACAGACCGGCGGGGAGGATGACGGAGGCGATCATCATGGGGACGAGACGTTCTTCGGGGACGACGCGGCCGTGTTTCTCGAGTTTGCGCGCGAAACGGGTCTTGGTGATGATGGAGATTAAGGCGACGCCGATGAAGACTCCGATTAGGATGCCGAGGAATGGCAGTGCGGCTACACCGGGGTGTTTCCAGCCGCGGACTTCCTGGAAAGAGACGGGGTAGGCTTCGAAGAAGAGGTAGAGGATACCGTAGATCAGGGCGAGGTAGATGGTGATGCAGACTAGGATGGGTTCGAGGAACAGCATCTGGAACGGCCGCAGGATGTATTTCCAGAGGATATCTTTGAAGGTTGGACGGTGCTCGTCCAGGAAGGAGTGGTAGGCCCAGTTCTTTGTCTCATGGCGAAGACGAGCGGCGCGGCGCTGAAGCAGGATTGGTGCGTAGGTCTCTGGCACGATGATCAAGGCGATGAGGCCGAAGAAAGCAGATGCGATGAGGGTGATCCAGGCTGTCCATCGCCATCCTAGGTGGGAGCTCACGATGAAACCACCCCTGTTCCACTGTTTAGTTATCTGTTCCAAGAGGGAGGATGAAAGACAAGATAGAATAACGGTGAAAGATAACTTACACTATAGGACCGGCCGTAGGGCCTCCAAAAGTGGCTGCTGAGAAGAAGGCAACAGCAACACCTCGGTCAACTGGGTCCCAGAAATCCGCGAGAGCACCTCCAATGACTGCCAGCGGTGCACAGCCAAAGACTCCCACGAAGAATCGACACACCATGATCGTCTGGAGGTTCTGAGCGACGGCAACGGGAATCTGGAAGATGGCGAAGACAGCATATCCGAAGAACAGTGGTGGCATACGCCCGTACAGCTCAGACATAGGACCCCAGATCAGAGGACCGACGGCAAATCCCTGTTGAGAATTAATTAGTTCGTATTCTAGGTCTGAATCATGATATCAATCAAAGCCATTGTTGAACTGTATCACTTACAAACACCACCAGACTCGTTCCCAGCGTCGTGACTTCGGTGGACACACCGAATTCCTCCGCCGTCACCAGGGTTGCTTCACTGAACACACTACTGGCGAACGTGATCCAGACGGTCAACGACGACAGCGTCATGGTGTAGACCCATTTCTTCCACTTGGGCCAATTCTGCGGGTTCTCGGGGTCGTCTGGACCATCCCATTCCACCAGGTTTGGATCCTTCTTGGGGGCATTCTCATCCTCCAGGGGCGCTTCTCCTCCGCGCTCGATATCTTCCTCTTCCTTTTCGATATCGCCAACCTCGTCTCGGGCTACCCGCTCCTCCGGTTGCGGGCTCTCCATGGCGCGCAGCTCGTTCGTCTTCTCTTCTTGCAGGGTATCACCGGACGACGGATGGTGAGGGACTCTCTCATGATCGATGCTCAGTCGTGTTGGTGTGGTCGCGTTTGAATCGAATGTGGTCTGCTTGTCTGGGTCCATGCTGTCGCGCGTTTGACGCAATGCGCCGGGGAGCCTCGGCCGGTCAGGACGGATGACGGGGTGACTAGAGTATAATCGATACTCTCAAAAGTCTCTAAACAAGCTGTGGCTTCTTCCCAGTGACGCAATTTACACTGAACACGGGCTCGGATATAGACGTTCCTGGAAGCGTTACTGGGATCGCCGGGACAGTTCGACCTTGGAAGTTCCAGCAGCCTACGAGATGAGATCTTCTACACCTGATATATAGGATCTGAAAAAACGGACTTTAGCGCAGTGGATCCGATCCATTCTGTTATCTCCATGCGTACGACCAAAAAGTTTTCCACATCGAGGAGGCCCAGCTGAGAGCTCTGTTGCTCTAGGCCTCTAGGCCAATGGGCCCGTGGAGAAGCCGGCAACGGCGCCATGAGCCAGGCACATAAGACGGAGGATCATGACAAGAAGCGCCGAAGGGGGGGGATCATTGACCATCAGGATTTCTAAGCGTAACTATGCTTTATGCTCTCTTTTGGGAGCATATCTAGTAGTTGAACGCAGATGGCGCCATCACTGAACACTAGGATCGCCGCGGTTAGAACCTAAAGTCCGACATCCTCCGTCCTGTCATCATTGGCGACTGCACGACGGTTGCGTTCGCCAGACATCGTTCTTTAGGGCTTCACGGCGACGCTCGCAGACGGCCCGCTGCAAGTGGTACTTGGACCACTTGGTACGTACTCTTAAGTCGAGAGTCTACAGACGCCACCATATCCCCACTTGGTGCTGATTCCTCAATAGGCCAAAGTACGACTTACGTGCTCTACTCCGTAGTCTCTATGAGGATAACAAGACTGTCATTCCCTATGATTATATCAGGTAAGTAGTTTGCTTTTCAGCAACCATCAGGGACTCCGGAACCCAGAAGCAGCATCCTCGCTAACCATCACTTTCTACCATAGTTCTATCTAGTATTCTAGAATCTACAGAGTTTTTGCTGCAAGCGGTGACGGAAGCTTGGGCCAACTGGCAGCCCGAGGAATGGAAGAGACCAACACCAACAAGGATTGACGATAGTAATAACAATCCCAGATCTCCCGCTCGGAGTGCGCGAAGCCGAGTATTTCTCCGTCCGACTGGTCAGAATCCATGGCACTGGTCTCGGCCAAGAAATTGAGTCTTCGCGTCGGGGTCGGTGGTCGGCACTTGTGCTGCTCTCGGACTCCGAGGTACCGGAAGTAGATCATTATGGCATTATTATTATTATTATAGAGCGAAGACAGGATCTGATCTGATCTGATCTGATATTTGGGTATCTATTATTATTACCAGGATGACTGAGACTTTTCGTCCTTTCGTCGCTCGCGTGGCAAATGAGCAGGATCTCCCCGAGTCAGTTGAGTCATTGCATGCCCGGATGACATGTTTGATAGGTCATAGGATTGCCTGGTCATCTTCTCCTCTGAGACATGATCTGAATAATATGGTAGTTGAGTAATAATGATGAATAACGAATATATTAAATAATAACTAATAATAATATTATTACTATTTTATTATTTTATTTTCATCGTCTTTTTTTCCTGTTTCTGGCGTCATTAATATTCTTCTTCCATGCTTTTCCCTCGGTCGATCGGCGCCTCGAATGTTCCGAGACCCACTTTTTCGCTCTTGGGAACCTCCGGGGACCGCTAACCGTATCAGGTATGGCACCAACACGTGGTCATGGCCATATTCTAGAATCTAGAGTATCTTAGGTACCAGGTAGGTATGTAAGTGGTCTAGAGTAAGTTGCGAACGGTATCATACTCTATTATAGTAGTCAGTATCCTTGTGGATACTCGCGATTAGGCATGTGGAGTAGATACTAACTATCTATCTATCTCGTAGCGGATTACAGAATACTCACGTGCATACAGGATCTTGAAGAGAAGGAATATGGTAGTCAAGTTAATTATTATGCAGATCGGCTGAACTGATCCGGATATATATCGGGAGAATTTCCGCCTTCCTGCTTGAGCGATTCATTATAGCATACTCTACTTATTAATATTACTTTGCTGATTCTAGGGTTGTGTTACAGGCGATGAACGTAATCGCTTGCTGCGGTCCCATGTCTTTTGGTTTAGAGTAGGGCGACTTGAGCAATAATGAATCGTGGGGTTCCTTTTTTGGTGTAACTAGCCCCTAGATAAATCTATGGAGGTCAGGACATTATTGAGAAAGGTAGTTTTAGGTGCCTGGAGGAGCCTTGCTAATTCAGTGAAGTATATAAACAAAGGAGTTAGCCATGTCTGTATAAGAGTCAACAAAATAGAAAAGCCTAAAGTTATTTATTATTAACTAATTGACGAAGTATGCAGTTGCAAGAGACCTTTAATCACGCAGCGTAAAACAGAAGATGCATGTTACTTACAGACTTGAATGCGTACCATAAATATTCTGCTCTATCAAAAAGTTTCTGCCTGAGGCGCCCGCACAACACGCCCGACGCGTCGACGGGCGGCAGTTCAGTGGGCGGTAAGCGCCCGCGCTTGATTCGAATCGATTATTGCTCGTGCCTCCAACTCCCCATTTATCTTCATCTTCGGTCGCCGTCGTGACTTTCATCCCAATTCCAATCTCCCTTGGCGCGCAGCTTCTTCCACGGCCTCAATTCCTTCACGCATCGCCACCGCCTGCGCCCCAACATCGAGCATCTCATGCTGTGCTGATCTGGTCCACGTTCACTTCCCCGCCCTTCTCCCACGATGCCTGCGCGCACTCGGCAAGCTCCCTCCGCCGCGACGGAGACCGTGGAGCCGGAGGAGGAGCAAGGCGGTTTTCAGAAATTAAGATTCAATGAACCGCTTTCATGGCGCGTCGGAAAACCCGCCATTCCTGTTGCAGATCTGCTCCAGCGTCTGCAGAAGCTAGGCCAGGAGCTCCGCAAGCTTGAGCAGGAGGAGACGGACAAAGACTCTTTGCGGAAGGTTTCGCAGGAACTTGCTAGCGCCCAGTTATTGGCGCATAGAGATAAAGGTGTCAGGGCGTGGACGGCGTGCTGTATTGTGGATGTTTTGCGCCTCTGCGCTCCCGACGCGCCTTTTACGGGAAATCAACTAAAGGTTCGAACATGGCGTTGACGTAGACGCGTTGGAGAGGAATTCTTTGCTGACCGACTGAGGACAGGATATATTTACTTGCATCATCACAACTATTATACCCGCACTGGCCGATCCGTCCAATGCATACAATTCGCAACATATCTACGTGCTCAACTCGCTCGCGGAAGTCAAGAGTATTGTACTCTTGACGGATATCGACTCTGCAGATGCTCTGATGCTACCGCTTTTCACATCGTGTTTTGACATCGTCTCGGGATCATCGAAGGCTTCAACCGGTGAAGAGGTGGCCAAAAATGTGGAATACGATATGACCCGCCTGTTAGTGACGGTAATCGACGAGGCACCAACTCTGGCGCCAGAGGTGGTCGACATTATCGTTGCGCAATTTCTACGAGTCGATCCGCGTGTCATCGAACCCCCTACAAAGAAGGGAAAGAAAGCAGAGGCCATTGATAGCAACCAAGACACTCTCCTGCTGAAGGACTACCCTCCTGCATATAATATGGCGAAGGCGATCTGTCAGGCGTGTCCAGAGAAGATGACCAGTCATATCAGCCAGTATTTTAACAACGTCATCATCGATGCCTCAGCCGCTTCGAAGATGGACGGCCCTTCGAGACACAACCGAAAGGTGAACCTGGATGATTCTGACGATGAGAGGGAGGATGTCAAGGAACTGAGCAAGGCACATCGCTTGATCCGCGAACTATGGCGAGCCTGTCCAGATGTGCTGCAGAATGTCATCCCCCAATTGGAGGCGGAGTTATCGGCGGAGTCAGTCTCTCTGCGTTTGTTGGCAACACAAACAATCGGTGATCTCGTAGCAGGAATCGGCGTTGCCGGTCCACCACCACCTCCGCCGATGAACCCTGCGGCATATCCCCCGGTCACATTAATAGGCTATTCTGAGTCCGTACCTCAGCCGAATGTCCTGCTCAGTCCCCTGGCGCCGAAGCCGTTCTCCCAGGCTCATTCCACAGCATACGAGAGTTTCTTGAGTCGTCGCCAGGACAAGTCTGCTTCTATTCGGGCTGCCTGGGCTACAGCAGTAGGGCGCATCGTTCTAACTGCTGCTGGTGGTTCCGGCCTAAGTGAAAGCGAGGAACAAAGCCTGGTGACTGGCCTTACAAACACGCTTCGTGATGCCGACGAAAAAGTTCGTTTAGCAGCTGTGGATGTCCTGGGCTTATTTGGCTTTTCCGATATTATAAAGAAACTGGCCGTGACTGGTGGCCTCTCTACTCCGGACTCTACGCTCTCTGTGCTCGCGGAACGTGTCAAGGACCGGAAACCGCAGGTACGGGAGCTGGCCATGAAGATCCTGGCCCGGATATGGGCGGTTGCGGCTGGAGAAATACAGAAAAACAATGAGTTGGTGGTTCCTCTTCTCAAGGATGCGCCTTCCAAGATATTCGATGCCTACTATACGAATGACCCGGATATTCATGCGCTGATTGACCGCGTTCTGTTTGAAGTTCTCCTTCCCTTGGGCTACCCGCCCATCAAGTCAAAGCCTTCCAAGGGAGGACTTTCAACTCCCTCGAAGAGGCTGAGGGGCTCTCAGAATATCGATCCCGAGGCTGAAGAAGACGCAGACAAGATCCGTGTATTGCGTATTCTGACCCTCCTGCGATGCTTGGATGACAAAGCAAAGAAAGTATTCTTTGCCTTCCAAGCAAGACAACTAACCATGAGGAGTGCGATGACAATATACTTACAGGCGTGTGAAGAGTACAACGTAAGAATCTTGCAACTCCCCTAATGCCGAACTTACTGACTAGAGGGTTAGGGTGGTGTCATCGATAAGGATGAGGAGCGCGTCAAGGCGCAGCTTACGAGAGTAGTTGATGGTGTAGCGAAGACTCTCCCTGACTCTAACCGAGTATCTGCAGATCTATGGAAATTCGCCAAGATGCACGACAGACGGAGCTACCAGCTCATGCGGTTTGCGATGGCTGCTGTTAGCGACTACCGGACTGTGACGAAAGCTTTGAAGGAGCTCGCCAAGAGGATACAGAGCGGTAACAGCCCCTCCGTATTGGATACTATCACGCCGCTCTTGTATAGGTGTAGCTCTCTTGTCTTCAATCGGAGTCATATTCCCGCGATAATCCAGCTCTCGCGGTCCGAGGACAAGGAGCTGGCGAACACTGCACACGAGATGTTGAAGCAGATTTCCTCTCGCAATCCAGAAGTTCTCGAAGCTCAGGTCCAAGAGATGTGCAGGGACCTGGAAGCACAGGCGCCAACGTCTAACTCAGCCGATGATGCTGGCACTGAGGAGATTCTCAAGGCCTGCTCTGGATTTGCTAAGAAGCTCCCGTCGAAACTCCCCAAGGAGCGCAAATTCTTACAGGCCTTGGTGAACTACGCCTTGTACAGCTCGTCGCCCCATTCCGCTAAACATGCCGTATCTATTATCATGGCGGCTGCAGACAAGAAGGAAATGTATGCAAAGGATCTGGTGCAGAAATGTCTCAAAAACTGGGGATATGGAGGTGATCATTTCCTCACACGACTTGCCGCTATTTCCCAATTGAACTTGCTCGCCCCGAGGGAAGCAGATGAGGAAAGCGACCTCATTGTCTCTATCGCCGTCAACCAGATTCTACTGACAAACCGTTCCCCGCAACCCGATTCCGGATATAAGTGGTCTGATGACGAAGACGAAGAAACTATCGCGAAGCAATGGGCTCTCAAGACGATCGTCAATCGACTTCGTGCGAAAGAGGGCTCGGATAATGATGACGATTTCCGCGCTCATGCGGAGCCCGTTTATAGCACTTTGAACAAGCTGGTCACTGGCGAAGGGGAGCTCTCAAAGAAGAAAGACACGCCCGCGAGCCAAAAGCCCCGGCTACGTCTTCTAGCAGCTAAGCTACTTATCAAGCTCTGCGCGTCCCGGGGTCTCTGTGACCAGCTCCTGACTCCCAAGGACTTCAACTCTCTAGCCTTGGTTACCCAGGACCCTCTGCTAGCCGTGAGAGCTGAATTTATCAGCTATCTGAAAAAGAAGCTGGTGCAGAAGACTCATCTCAGCGCTCGCTGGTATACCATACCTTGTCTCCTCGCGTTCGAGCCGTATGCCGATTTGAAAGATAGCACTCTAACATGGCTACGATCTCGCGCGAATTTCTTCTCAAGGCAAAGCGTGGTGAATGGGAAGAGATCCGAAGAGCAGACTGTGATGGAGTCCATCTTCTCGCGCCTTCTGTCTCTTCTCGCATATCACCCTGATTATCCTCCTCCAGATACCGACGAGTCTACCCGAGTCGCGGATCTGGCGGACTTCTCACGCTATATCCTCTTCTATCTCTCCGCCATCGCGAACGAAAACAATTTGTCCCTGATATTCCACATCGCGCAGCGTGTCAAGCAGACTAAAGATGGTATTGCGAAGACCGAAGAGATGACCACGCGTCTTCATACATTGTCGGATCTCGCACAAGCAACCATTCGTCGGTTCGCTGATATATACTCTTATCAGCATAAATTTGCTGGAGCGACCGGCGGCAGCACGAATCTCCTTCAGACGTATCCAGGCAAGATGAGACTGCCAAGCGCACTCTTTGCTTCCATGTTAAGCCACCAGGAGGCGCAGGATGCGGCAGAAAAGAACTACCTCCCCGAGGATATCGAAGACGTCCTAGACCGCATTGTCCGTTCATGGATGAAGCCAAGAAACACGTCCACAGCGCAGCAGAATCAGGCGAAGAAGAGAAAGAGCGATTTCAATGGAAACGCCGAAACCAGCGCCACAAAGAAAGCCAAGAAAACCAAGGGAAGATCTCTTCCCATCCGAAGGTCTTCTGCAGCAGGTAACCCGAAGCTGCCCAGGAAGAAGGCCGACGAAGATAGCTGGGTGTCTGATGATGCCGCAGAAGTCACCTCCAGCGCTCGACGGCGGAGCAGCAGAGGCGCTGGCAGAAAGAATGTCAGTTATGTCGATCGAGACAGCGATGAAGATGACCTTGAGATGGACAAAGAAGGTGACGAGGAGCAGGACGGAGAAGAGGAAGAAGAAGAACAAAATTCCGAAGAAAGCGCCGCTGAGGAAGAAGATGAGCCAAAAGAACAGGAAAAAGAAGACGAGGAGCAACAGTCTGACGATGAAAAGAATGGCGATGACGAAGATGAGGAGATGGAAAATGCTGAAGAACCTCCAGCCCCTCCAGCAAAGAAGAATACTCGATCAAAGAGAACGTCTACTACTCCTGCCAAAGCAAAAGTATCGAAGGCGTCTGAAAACGAAAAGGACGGTAATGGCGAAGAGCAGGAAGACGATGCCGAGATGGAGGATGCCGAAACTTCACCTCCAGCAGTGAAAAGCACCCGATCAAAGAGAAAGTCAACCACCCCCGCCAAAACAAAAGCTACAAATGTAACCGTCTCTGTCTCTGTCCCCAAACGCAAGTCCGAGGTGACAGATACTTCGAGCAAGAAGACCCGAGAACTACCCACGAGGCGATCAACCAGACGGGGTTAGAAGAAAGAAAGAAAGAACCAGTGGAAAAAAATGAAAATGGCATAAATATATCTATTCCTTCTCACTCGTCCTCTTTCTTCAAAAAACCGACATAACCACAAATTGATTGATTCTCGCGCTTTTTCTTTCTTCTTCTTCTTCTTCTATATTCCATCATCATCATCATCACCGTCCTGCATTTCACGAGAGAATTTGCAAAATACCCATTTCCAGTTTCAATGTGAATACCTTTTTCCTTCATCACCAACAGTCTAACTTGCGTAGTTAGTTCTCTTCTCTTCTCTTCTTATCTTGTCTTGTCTTGCCCTGCTTTGCTTTGACTTTGACTTTGACTTTAACCCACCGATCTGAAATATGCATGACGTTTAGGATACAAATGCCCTGTTTCCTTTTTTTTTTTCCCATTCTTTTTTTTCTCTTTTCGTGCCCTGTTCATTCATCATGTCATTTATGTATGTACGTACCGAAGTTACCCTAGTTTGTCGTTGTGGAAATTTGACATGGTCTCAATCCCGCTACAGGTAACCAACCCGTTTTCTCTTGTTCTCGTTATAAGTTTGTTTTCCTCGAGCCCCGCGGGTTCATGTGCTATGGAATGTATGTGTAGGGTAGGTACATAAGCAAAACAATGAGATGTGTTAACAGTGCTCTTTACGTATCGCAATGGTCAATCTACTAGTTGGAACTGGGAGAACGTAGGTGAGAAAATTAAAAGGCTTTGATCCGCTAATACGAATCTAAAAAAGCCCTATGTCGATTATTATTGTCGACATGCCCAGAGATAGCTAGCTCTATTAATTTATATATAAGACAATAGAAGATCAGAATACCACGCTGTGCTGGTACAGGCAATAAAAAGCCCACGAGGGTATCGGATATATCCACCATCCAAATCCGTCACATAAACTCCAGCCAAGGGATGCCTAACCGGATGTTCCCGTGTCCCTGCCCCAAAAAAATGAAGCCCAAACCGGTGGGCAAGATGGAAGATTTAGAATATGCGCCAAACTCGACAGAACGCCATCACATATGCAGGGACTAAAGTAGATCATGAAGAAGGTTCATTGTCGCTACTCGCTTTTTCCTTCTCTTTCCCTTGTTTCAAGGCCTCAATGGCCTTCTTGACTTCGTGATTGGCGATGGTTTCCCATTTGACCTTGGCATCGTGGTCAAGCGATTCGACATCGCCAACACGGTCGTAGAGCATTCGAGAAATGGTTCGGTTGATGTCGGTGTATTCATCTTTGGATACCACCTTTCTGCGGTAGAAGGGTTTTAGAGCCCCGCCAACAAGCTTTTGGATGTCGGACTTGACCTCTAAAGAGAGGCCGCCGCGTGTAGGGGAATTCTCGTTTGACCTTGCGGTTCCTGGACGAGACGACCTGCCTACGGTACTCGAGCCAAGTCTGCGTGCGCTTGGGCGACTCCGCTCGATCTCCACAGCATCATTGGTGTTTCCCTGAGTAGGAGAGACTGATGGAGAGAAATCAGCGTAGGATGGAGAGGTTACCTCGACAGGTGAGGAAAGCTGGATAGGAGAGATAGGCCGTGCTCTGAGGTTGGGAGGAGGTGTCGATGAGGTGAGGTGGGGAGAAGAGCGATTCGAAGGTACAGGTGATAATGACGGTGATGATAGAGCGGGTGTATTAAGGTCCATAGGGGCGGTTGATGAGTGAACAGAAGGGCCATAGGAACTGCTGCGCTCAGGCCTTGAGGAATCTTCTACTTCTTTCAGAAGCGATTGCAGGAAGCTGGGTCCCGCGGTGGTCTCCGCGTTCAATCGGGCAGAGGCCTGTTCCCTTGCCGTCCTGGACGACTCGCCATTTTGCATGGCAAGAGCCGCTAGGTCTTCGGGTCTCCGCGTCCGCGGTCGTTTCAGTTTACGCTGCGGTTCAGTGGGTTCTGGTGAAGGCGATAAGGTAGGTTCTTTCCGTTTCCGTGACGCACTTGGGTCGTTTTCCAGTTCGCGCGCTCTCTCAAAGGCGTTCCACGCTCTCATCTCTTCCAGAGACTCAGGCTCAGGGGTTGGGGCCCTCGGGACTCTTGGCCGGGATGGTCTAGGTGCATCGATATCGAGAAGAGTTGCAGTGTCTCTAAAGCTCCGGGCGCCCCCCTGCCTTTCAGCCACTTGGAATCGACGTTGCCATGCTCGAAACTCTCGTTGGTTTGCTGCCTCCCGCCGCTGCTGCTGGATAACGCGATCCGCGGCCCGCTCATCGTCAAAAGGAAAGTCGAGGTCCAGGTTGAGACGGTCCCAGACAGACTGCCACACTCGAGCCCAGTGAAGGGAGTTGACCTGGTTCCGGCTCCTCACTCTCCTCTGTTGAGCTCGCGTGCGACGCTCCGGGCGGTTTCGTGCCCGCAGTGACCTAATGGGAGAATCGGCGACTGAGTTAACAGCTCGTTGCATTTCACACTGCTCGCAATACCATGACCCTGAAGGCACGTCATCGAGTCCAGTGCAGTAGGTGTGGATCGGAACATCGCAGCCATCGCAGAGAAGGAGTACCTCCTCATTGTCTGCATATCCGCAGATAGGACATGGTTGAGTGTCATCCTCATCGTCGATCTCTTCTATGATCATCGATGGATCGATTTCAGCGACCTGAACTTTGTCTTGTACGACGTAGGACGATAATACGGGGCCTGGGAAGGAGAGAAATATTAGCATCGGACTCAATCCCACAGAAGGATTTCCTTGTGAATCACTAAGGAGAGGATGGACTACTCACCCCCGATCATATCAGTTAGCTCTACCACATTGAAGCTCTGGCGGCAAATGGGGCAGCTGTTCGCCCTTTCTACCCAGGGCTTGAGGCAGTTGTTGTGCAGGTTATGACCGCAGGGGATCAAATGAGCAATCCATCCCGAGTCTTCATCTTCGTTATCGATGGCCACCGGGGCTTTGCTATTGTTACGTGCAGTTCCTGGAGCTCCATCCTCGCCATCCTCAAGTCTTGGCGTCGACTCGGCGGCAACGGCAACAGGGTCGCTGGCGCTTTCGCCAAGGTCTCCTAAGCAAACAATACAGGTGTCCGACATCAGCCGCGGGATACGTGACCAAATTGTCTGCAAGAAGGCTAGTAGAAGGCATGAAGAGCAAGTTGGAGAAACAAGAGGCACTGATGGGAGTGAGTAGTAGGGAACAATGTGGGGAGAGAGCGCCTTTTGAAGGTGGACCAGCCCGGTCTAACGCGAAACAGATTGGCCGCCAACGTGACCGCCGCCAGCCAGTCACAGCGCGCGGCGGACGCTTGCACGAGAATGCAGGTAAAATAATCATAATAATACCATCAGACTAATAATACACCATCAGACTAATAATATTAATATTAAAACCAGTCACAATCTCATGCCTTGCGCACTAAGCACCGCTTAGTGCTACTCGGCCGCCTGCAAGGTGCTGGCTTCTGGCTCTGCGGCAGACTCACCCGGAGCGAGAGGGGAACTGAAAACCCCCTACCTAGCTCCTCCGGCAACCTCCCCAGCTATACCAAGTCCAGGAGATGGGATGGATAGATCGACAGAGGAACACGGTCTACCTTCGAGACCTTCATTACCGTGAGAGTTCTTGGTGGTCTTGCAGTGCCGCCCGCACAAGCTGTAATACGCGATCGTATGTCTTGTCCAGCGGGATCCAGTCAGCTGGACGCCTGTCTCACTTTGAACTGGAAGCCTCTGATTCTCTGGTGGGTCAACACTGATTGTAGTAGTCTTCAGCTGATGGAGCCGAGCCCGTTGAGAGCAATGTTCATCCACAGCCTAGGTTATCAAAAGGCAGTGTTAAGAGGGTCTGAGACGATCTCGATTCATATCTATCTGGTAGGCTTCGATCCGCGAGACCACAATCTCGATACGGAATAAGCGGTATGTCTGTAATAGCAGGTCCGACGGTCTCGATTTGGATCTCATCTATTTAATCACATTTTCTGGCCTGACAACGCAGAGGAAGCAATCTTGAAACATTAGCATAGCCGTGGATACTGACCATGAACCTTGTTCATGACCTAGGCGGTGTAAACCACCTGAGCTGTGGCCACCACGTGGAACCAGTGGCATCTGCTTCTCTGCTTTCTCTCTCGTGTCGCATCTTTGATATGCTATCAACTGGCCGGCAGTCTGGATGCTCAAGTTATCTGGGAGTTCACGATGAGGGAGTTCGTTGTTATTATTGACGGAACTGCGGAGCCGCTTCTCGGAGGTCTTGGCAATGGCATATCACGTGAATACATCTCGGTTTCACGTGCATGATATCGTTTCGGATCATCGATGGTTACCTAAGTTATATCATCAGTCAAGAGTGCTAGACGCCACCTAGGGACAAGGTAGCCTTTCATTTATTCAGGTAGAGTATCTTCCTGGATCTACACATCTATTTGAACCGGATTCATTGAAACACCCTTCGATTGCCATTGGTGATTCGCTACAACGTCACATGCGTTCTGCCTCCGTCTTGTCTCTGACTGGATTGTGAACGATGGCTTCTGAAAACATGTTCGATTTCGTACTTCTCGGCCCTACCGGGTATACGGGAAGACTGTGTGCAGAGCATATTGTGCAGCATCTGCCAACTGATATCAAATGGGCCCTGGCAGGCCGCTCGGCTGGGAAACTAGAAGCTGTGGCCAGGGAACTTCGAGATTTGAATCCAGACCGAATCCAACCTGGTAATTAAGACACGTACGAGGGCGCATTAATAGCATATGCTGACAGGAACAAGAGATATTGACCGTTCAGCTCGTCGAGACAGAGTTGAGACCCTTGGCACAGAAGACACGGCTGATCATCAATTGCGTTGGCCCGTATCATCTGTACTCGACTCCTGTGGTGCAAGTCTGTGCTGAAACCGGTACTCATTATGTGGATGTGTAAGGAATCTGCAGGCAGTTGAAATCTCACGTAACTAAATCTGAAAAGTACTGGAGAAACGCCATGGATCCGACAGCTCATTCCAAAGTACCACGAACCAGCAAGGTTGAATGGTGCCATTGTTCGTCGATCCCATTTATTCTGGTACTTTCAAACATTATCCTACTCACAATATCTCAGATTATCCCATCACTGGGCATTGAGAGTACGCCTCCCGATATTCTCACCTGGTCTCTAGTGAAGACCATTCGAGAACAGCTATCCACAGGAACAAAGGAAGCCATTTCTTGCGTCCATGAAGTCAAGTATGAACGATTATGCAAACCCTGCACAAGTTCCCGCTCTAATATCTCCGCCACAGGAGCTCCGGCCCTAGCGGTGGCACTCTTGCTACAATCCTCACCACCCTCGAGACAACCAACATCACGGATCTCATCAAGTCGGCGGACCCCTTCGCACTAGCTGCTTCCGAACCACCAAAACAAACACCTAGACGCTCATTATCAGAGCTAGTGTCGGGAGTCACCTCCGTCTCAGACCTAGGAACTCTAACCACATCTCCGTCCGGCATGGCCGATACAGCCATCGTGCACCGCAGCAGCACACTGATGCGCGAATTCTACGGCCCACGATTCTACTTCCGACACTACGCACACGTCAGAAATGCATTCGTGGGCGTCGTCTTCCACTACGCCTTCCTGGTCGGGATAGTACTCCTTACCCTCTCTCCGGTCCGATGGCTCGTGAGCAAATTCGTCTACGCTCCGGGTCAAGGTCCCCGCAAAGAAGACTGCGCCAGGGACATGGTCGAGTACCGAGCTGTTGCCATACCTGATGTAGATACGCCCAAGCCGAAGCGTGCGTTGGGTCGACTGATCTACAATGGCGATATGTATACTCTCACGGCTGTTTTTCTGGCCGAGGCAGCTATGGTGATCTTGTATCATGAAGCGAAGATCAAGAAGGTTTCTCGTGGTGGAATGGTCACCCCGGCTACTTTGGGTCAGGAGTTTGTGGATCGACTTGATAAAGTCGGATGTCATATTGAGACTAGACTCGTTGACAACTGAGCTGATATTGTACGTACGTACGTACTATACATGGTTAGTCAGTTAGACTTACGTATAACTACTTAGAGGTCTCCTCAGCTAGAAGACACATAATATAATATCATCTCTCATCCCTTCGAGTATCACAGCTAATTAAACCCCCGTCAAGAAAATTCGCTGGTCCAGAACAGATCTTCACCTACCTACAACTTCCCACCCCCCAACGCAGGCACAGAGAAAACCACATCCTTAAACCACATTTCCAAAATCGCATTAACCTCACCCGGCTTCTCCCACAACGCCCAATGTGAAGTATCAACCTGCTCAACAATCAAGTTGGGAACGAACTTGCCCATTCCCTGACCCATATGGGGCGGCAAGGCAGTATCTCTAAGGGCCTGGATCATGAGGACTGGGATGTCGATCTGCGGGTTGGAGATGGAGAGTTCATCTTTGTAGTTCACGTCGCGGGTGCGGTACCAGTTTACTGTTGTTGAAGGATTTAGCGAGGGAATGGAAGGACGGGTTCATTTCAAAATAAAAATAGAAATCTGCGAATTGGAAATATTATATGGTAAGGGGAGAAAAGGAAAGGAAGAAAAGGAAAGGAAGAAAACTCGAAACTCACAAGGTCCATGGATTCCATTCCTTGAAAACTCATCCACGTAATAATTCAATTCCTTACGCACATAGTTAGCAAAACTCAACATATCCAGTAAAAAAAAAAAAAAAAAAAAAAAAAAAAAAAACAGCAAAGACCCTTCACTAGCACCGCGTATACATCCACATATACATACCTCATCCTCAAGCAACTTCGACGAACCCAACCTCCCCAACCTATCAAACAAGATTCCCTTCTCCGTACTAAATCCCCACTGTCCATCCTCTGTCCTACCCCCATACAGCGCGAGGAGGAACTGCTTGATTTCTTCCTTGGTCTTGACTGCTTTTTCGACCTCTCCGCTCTTGAATTGGAGCTGGTAGGCGAAATTCGGGAGACGGGTCCGCACGAGGTCTTCGTGGGAGATGTATTGTGGCATTGGAGGGATGTAGGGCACGCAGACGGCGAAGAGGTGCGTGACTAGGTCGCGGTGGTATAGGGCGATGCGGTAGACGAGTGCGGCGCCCCTGTGGAGAGTGTAAGTGTGAGTTGTTATCCTTTTCTCTCTTTCTTTCTTATTTTGTGTGTGTGTGTGTGTGTGTGTCTGTATGTGTGTATGTAAGGTAGGGAAAAAGCAATGATCAATATAAGAGAAAGGAGTTTGAGAACGATAGCTCCTGGAAATATAGCTAAGCAGATTGTATGTATGTAGCAAACATACCAATCATGTCCACCAAGGATTATCTTCTCTGATCCCAACTGCTTCGCTAGCTCCTTGATATCGTCTGCGAGCTTTCTAAATCCATAGAGTCGTTCATTCTCTGGTGTCCATTGCGGGGCATCCTGGTAAAAAAAGAATGGCGAAAAAGAGTTAATAAATCTCATCCCGTCTTCATGTTATGCATATATTTGTGCAAGGAAAATGCTTTTTTTTAGAAAGAAGGGAATCATACAGTCCGTCCGTATCCCAAACAGTCAGGAACGACGACTCGCAGACCAAAGGAGATCAGGAGTGGGATTTGATATCGCCATCCCATCGATAGGTCAGGGAAGCCATGGAGCTGTGAGTACACTGTCAGCTACGAAGGAATGACTCTTGGTTCCAGACATTCTTGGGTCCATATAACATCCAGAAAGAACGACAGTGACGAACCAGAAAGATGGTGTCCTTATACTGGCCATTTTCAGGCTGAGCGAGGAGATATCCTGGTGTAGTCAGTTAACGACCATACGTGAGGCAGCATTTTGTATATTATCTGCGCGCAAATACGAAACATGAGTTCTAGCAAAAGGAGATTATTGGCGCATACCGTATGTCTTGCCATTGACTTGCGCCGTGAGACGCTGGACCCTCGGGTCATTGTGGACGTTGATCTTATCGATAGCCATTCTAAATAGACCCCTCTTTTCTCGTTCGATCAGAAAACCTGGTGGGGAAGAATTGAAGGAGAGACCACTGATTATTCTGACAAGAGTCTATGTCGAGATATCATGCAACTTATATGCCTTGTCTTACGTTACATTGTGCTTGGGTAATCTCGACTTTTGCCTAGGTAAATCGCAAGCTCACTACTACTAACTAAACGGAACTCCACCTTTCGGATTCGCTAGAACAGGGATGCCCTGCGAACTGCCGTTTTGGATCATGTGACGAGACAGAACAGGGACATTAATTAAGTATATACTATGATTAGGTACCAGTAATGATATTTTACATATCTTGAACCGGGATTATAGGGTGCTGGTATGTTCGAGATGACATAGCTTTTTTTTTCTGTTTCTGGTTTCACTTGAGCGTTGCTTTTTCATGTCTGCATGAATCCTTCGCCACGAAAAGATAATGATGAACCGGAAGCGAAGATGTCGCGTAAAAGTGCCGTACTCGTCAGATTCTCGTACGGAAATGAACTTGGTACAATCCTTGGCCTAGCAGAACCCTGCTGGGCGGTTGGGGTATATTAGAAAAAGGAAAAAAGGACCGTACTGCGTGCGCCTAGTAAATAACCGTATCCTCCTTATCTTCCTCCACAACCTCACCTCCATCGTCCTCATGTCCTCTGGGAGGCTCTGGGGCAGGGGCCGATTCTGGGGCTGGAGCCTCCTCGGTGGAAGGGGGGTTGTCATTAGTAGGGGCAGTATCAGTCTTCGATTGTTGGACAGTTGCGTCCTGGTTAGTATCAGAACCCACCGTGTCGGGTGCAGGCGCTCCTGCTTCATCAGGCTCTTTGAGTTCTTTCTCCTCAGTATGCTCGGGCTGTTTTTCTCCTTCCTTTTCTGGCTTCTCGCCTTCGGGTTTGCGGTCTTCCTCTACTGGCGGGTATCGATCGTTGAACTCTGCTTCTTCCCTTGCAATCGTAGCTTTGGCTTCCTCGATCTGTCTATCTATGGTTTCCTCGTCTTCCTGTCGTAGCAGCCATGGCTTGTAGTACTATATTCGTACGGCAGTTAGCAGTGAGCCAGACAACTATACACTGGACTCAGACATACCAGTACAGGTTCCGTTTTCGTTTTCAGGAAATGTGCCATAGCCAACATATTCGAGTGACGAAGCCGCATCTGCGAAGATACTGCATCAGTATAGTTCCACATATCTACAATCTTCACATGTGCAGAAGATGGCCAACTTACCGATTCCCTGTCATAGACCCTCTGCTCCTTTCTCCGTATCTGCGTCAACTCTTCGTGCTTCTTCCGCTTTTGCTCGCCGTACTCTTCATCCTGCAGCTTCAGCTTGTCCTGCTGCCTCTTCTCAATATCCGCGCGTCGCTTCTGCGCCGCTGTGGATGAGCTTTGTGACAAGGTGCCCAGCAATGCGCCGAATAATCTCTGCCCACGCTTGCGCTCTTCAGCTCCGCTGTTCTGACGACCCTGTCGGCGTTCCGGTCTGCGCTCCGCCGCTGGAGGAGACGACCGCCGTCGGTCCTGGGGAGATCGGGAGGCGTCATCTTGGCCACTCAGTCGGCGTCTTTTCGAGTCGGTCTCTGAGGTTGATGACTGTCTTCGTTTCAGCCCGCTCTCTGGAGATGTCGCAGCATTGTCCGGCTCGGGCAACGCAACTGCGGATGCGATAGACCTGGGAGGCGGGATTAGCTTGCTTTTGCTTGGGCAGCGGAGTGATGATCAAAACACGTACCCTTCTGCCATTTTGATTGGGCTGCCCAGCTGGCACAGCAGAAAAGGCAATAGAAAAAGACAGAGATGTGACAGCGTTCGAAGGAGAGATGCCACGGACACTACTTAGAGTCGGCGTTGCTCGAGATCTCAGTATGCGCTGCGGGTGGCGCACGGACCACATGACCGGATTATCTGAACGCCAGAGAGGGAAACCTTTCCAGCTTCTTCGATCGAAGCTTCCTCGTCGACTTTCGTCCTGGACCACCAACCTTTGACTCCCTTCACATAAATCGAGACGGCCTGCCTTTTCTTGTCATTTCTTTCTGCATTGCGATACTCAACTGTGCTGCTGTCCATACCCTCATTCGTGAAATACGCGTCTCGAAGATCTCACTACTCTAATCTCGTCTCATCGCAACCATGTCCCGCCACCACCCCGATCTCGTTATGTGCCGCAAGCAGCCCGGTATTTCCATCGGGAGACTCTGCGATAAATGCGATGGCAAATGCCCCGTGTGCGATTCCTACGTGCGTCCAACGACTCTCGTGCGCATCTGCGACGAGTGTTCCTTCGGTAACTACCAGAACAAGTGCATCGTGTGCGGTGGCGAAGGGATCAGTGATGCCTTTTACTGCTTCGAATGCACGCGATTGGAAAAAGATAGGGATGGATGTCCTAAGATCATCAACCTGGGAAGTTCGAGGACGGATCTATTCTACCAGAAAAAGAATTTTCGGAATCAGTGATGGACGACGTCGCGTCTGCTGTCAAGATGGGAGAAGATGGCCTGCTGTCCTGCCTGCTGTCCTGTCTAGCAGTGCTGGTGCGTTGAGGGACTGCATAACAGGTGCCTAGAGTCTATATACCGCAAGACGTCGGCTTTGGGTGCTCCGATCTCAAAGGATATACAATAAAAGATGACAATCTATGGGATATGTCGTGTATCTTACTAAACGACAAGGCATTCTCTACCAGGCGTCTGACCCGGGAATTCACCTGCCGGGGCGTCTAGGTCTGGCGAAACCTCTCCTTGGACCGTCGTCCTGTGGAGGATGGACCTCTTCGTGAAGTCTGGCTTCGGTGATCTCGTCTGGAGAAGATCCCTCGATCTGTGAACGGAAAACTGTCAGTCCAGAGACAGCATTTACAATAAAAATCGCTCATATACGAGTCATACCTTCTTCGCCACGTTCAAACCTTCCGCCTCCGCTATGTCGATAGCCACTCTCCGAGTGCTGGCATACAACATGCGTTCCTTGATGGATGAACCCGAAGGGCAGGTGTAGATGAAGATGATGGCATCGGAGTCGGGGTAGTGATAGAGGGTGTACCGCGGCGAAGACTCGGGCAAGCGTCCGGACAGGGAAGCAGGAGAGACGCTGGAGTCTGAGTCCGCGAGCTTGATGGTCTCCGTGGGAATGTCAATAGCCTGTATTGCAAGATTAGTTATCATCCAAAATGCAAGATACCCCTCTGTTCGCAAGGCATAATCAATTCCGCTGATCTCAGCGTAGACAACCCCCAACACATACCAGCTGCACCATTCCACCCTGCTGTAGACTCTTCAACGCAGCCTTGGCTTCCTCATCAACCGGCATCTTCACATTCATCCCTCCCGTTGCCCCTCCACCACTCGCAGCCAGCGAGCCACCAATACCAACATCCCTCCCGATCGTACCATGTCTCGCCTCCTCCTCTGCTCTCCGCACAGCTTCCAACTCCCTCTCCTTCTCATCCATCAAATCCTCCCTCCTAAACCTCCCATTACCACCATTACTCTTCCCGCTCTTCTCCGCATCCCTCTCCCTCCACGCCTCCTCACCAATAACCTCCTCCTCATCCGTCGCGAAAATCGACTCGGAAAACTTCTCACTACCCAACTCCCTCACGAACGTCGCTCTCGTCGACGCAAATAGCGTCTTTGCGCGCACACCCGCATTCGACGGGATATACGTCAGGGCCGCTAAACTCGCGCCCTCGCCCTCACCTTCAGTGTCCGGACGGCGGAAAATCAAATATAGAGGGGTCTTGGGCTGGAGGACGGACGAGAGCTGTGGGAGGGATGGATAGAACGCGTTTGGGGATGAGAAGGGGATTGCGGGGAGAGGGGTCAGGCTCTCGGATGTGATTGTGATAGGGAGGCAGAAGAGAGAGGAGTCGGATGTGAATGCGTTGAATGCATCGTGGAGTTCGGATGAGACTGTTTGATTTTTGTTTTGTTGGTTAGTGAGATGTTGGTTTGTTTTGTTTTGTTAAATGTAGGTAGGTGGTTCTTGGGCAAGTAGCCAGCTGGTTACTAAATACGGGGGGGAGCAATGGGTAGTTATGCAGAGAGTTGAATATTATAGAATGAATGAATGGAACGTACCTGCGATTCCCGACTGCATGGTGAGTTTGAGATGGTTGTGCAACGGGGTAAAAAAAAAACAAAAAGGAAAAAAAAGATGGTCGTTGTGTTGTCCTCGTGTTGACGGGGATAGAGATGGATGGCGGTCAGGAACAACTGGCGATCTCTCGGAGGGGGAAGAAAGTCAGTCGGAGAGTTTGGCGGGGGCAGATTGACTTCCCCCACGTTTCAGACCGTGGCCTATGAAATGGGACGAGGCCAACTCATGTTCAATGTCGATATACCACCGATAGTAAGGGCAGAAATAAGAGTAGATAAATGCATTATGTTGAAATTCAATACGGTCTGTTTCTATTCATCGTAATCCCGTTTTGTGATTTCCTACTGCGGTTTTTACGAGTTCTGTAAGTAATTATTGGGTCTATCTACTGAATGCATGACGACAAGCCCGGCGGAAGGTCGGAATTTCCCCCGCATAGAAAACGAAGACGGCCAGTCTTTTTGAAATAGCTCAATTCATCTTTTGATCGATACCTGACATGGTATAAAAAATTCCAAAAAAAGAGAAAAAACTTCGATGCATATATATACAGATATAAAAAAAAAAGGATGTTTAATGTACTCCCAGTCATCAACCAAATCAATCGACGTTCTTGTCTGTATCCAGACCCGTGTCTTAACAAGTATCCCCGGCAAGTCGGGGTAAATGTGACGATGATGCAATGGAGACGCCACCATGCTTTTGTGGTATCAAACGCTCCCAACACATACTCAAGAGACCAGAGAGACCCACGGAAATCGTAACTTGAACCAAAAAGATTTACTCTTCGAACTTGCCTCCGCCAACGATGCTGTACTTGGACTTCTCAAGCTTCTCCTTCAGGAACTCGTACACGGTGAAGGTCACGGCCTGACCGGGAGCGACACGCATCACACGAGGCGTGATACCCTTGTAGAAAGCGCGAGCACCCTCCTGCTTGAACATCTCGGAAGCGATGGCAGTGATACGGGACAGGGCAGACTGGCCGGGCTCGGCCTTGGTCTTCTGCAGACGGGTCTTGATCGTGTCAATAGGAGCGTTCGAGAAGGGACCCATAGCACCGGAGATGAGACCGATCAGGGTGGTCTGGTACGAGGGCAGCTGCTTGTCGGCGAACTCAGGCTGGGCTCTCTGGAGGAAAGCCTTCAGTTCCGTGTAGGCAGTGAAGTTGGCGGCCTGGTTGGTACCCTGGCGCAGGGCAGTCAGGGAGACACCACGGTAGAGAGTGCTGAATCCTTCTTCCCGGATAACGGTGAACAGAGCGTGAGGGGCACTTCGGTACTTCGGGGCATCGAGGGGGTCGGCGAGAGAGTGGTGCTGAGCTTGTAGACGGATCTTAACGACCTCCATGGGGTTCACAACGGCGACGGCCTCGGTCACACCAGCAGCGAGACCAGCTGAAAATCAAGCGGTCAGCCCCAGATCTCACAATCATGCCAGGTCCTGTGTACACAGGGAATACATACCAAGGAAGGTAGCCTTGCTAGTGACGACACCAGTCTCCTTGTCCGCTAGGAGCTGCTTGTACCACTCATACGAGGTGAATCGAATAGCCATCTTAGGAATGATACCACCCAACACAGCTCCAAGACCCTTGTACAGACCCAGGGCAGTCTCCTTCTTGACGATCTCAACACCAGTGGCGACGAAACCACGGGGTTTCACCTGAAAGGAACAGTCAGTTACCGCACGGGGTCTGGCTTTCGGACGGAGCAATCACTTACACCAGGCGCTCTGGCTCGTCGGGAAAGCTGCATTCGGACCTTGATTGTGTCCAGGGGGTGGCAGACGAGGGCCTCCATCATACCAGCACCTCCTCCAGCTACTCATAGTTAGCGACTAACAAGATCAGATAGTCCACGTTCGTTGGAAACCATACCGATCAAGTTGGTGGCGGCCGAGGCAGGCTTCTTGCCGCCGGGGCCCTGTGCAGTCTTTGCGGACATATTTAAAAGTTTAGTCTTTCAATTGCTGTAGATTCCAATATCGCTGCTCGAACGGTCGAGCTGGACGTTCAATTGCAATGGAGATTCGCGCTTGGCAGATTCTCGAGGAATTTTCCTTCTTTATAGCCGGGTGAGTTTTTAAGCACCGGCAGTTTGGACCAATGGACCGAGTAGAGCTTGTCGAGTATACAAGTACGGCCTCGGGAGCAACACAAGGGGGAACAGCACCAGGCTTCAGAGAATCCGACGTCACAAACAGAAAGTGAAGGCGGATGGGATTTGGGGTCTCCAATGGTTATAACTGGGGGAGCCCGGAGCGAGGATCTTTACCTTGGTTAAGGTGGCGGCCCAAGACCAGCGACGAGAGAAGCTATGACGGGGAAGCGGAGAGAGCTGTCTGGACGAGCGGAAAGATGGAGAACCACCTCGACCACGGAGATAACTCGCACAAATTTGGGAGAGGATCAAGAACCACGAATGCTCTCCCCACGACCTGGAGGAGACGCACTTTTTGTACTCCATGATCCATATAGATCACATCTCTCTCTCTTAACTCCGAGGCATATGCTTAGAGCCCGTGACCTGTCCTGTAATTTAATCAATTATTACTTTTAACCCTGCGCAGGGCTGGTCGAGCTCCCAGACGTCCCGAGAGGCCTCGGAAGTTCACACAGAATCGATCCATCTGCATCCGTCAAATGAGCTGGGTTCTTTTACCGCTAGGGGGGGGGTTCCCTTAGAAGTTAGGGGTAAAGTGGTTCTCCAGACGATATCGGTGCCAATAAACGATGGAGACATGCCTATTTCACGCCGTTCCTGGCACTCCACGGGAGATCCGACGTCGTCATGGACTTCATCGGCGTCCACTGTGCTGGGTCACAAGTGGTAACTATGGTAAGTTATTATTAAACTGGTAGTTAGAGGATTGGTAATATTGGTAATAATCCTCGTCGTCCTCTCTGCCAGCCGTTATCGGCTCGACCGTTTGCGGGTAAAGCCGGTAATATTCCGGGTTTTGTCATGAAGTCCTAAGCCGAGGTTGCCCCAGCTTTTGGCCGCCGAAGCTCGGAATGAAGCATTCATAGCGGCTAGTAATATATAGATAATCGATATTGCACCTAACTAGGTCCTCTCCAGACCAAAAGAAAAAGAGCTCTCTTTCGGTGGTCCCTGCTGGAGAGTTACCCCATCTCCCCGGGACGCTGTTGATCGTTGTCACTCCTTGATCTTGATCTTCTTACGATGGAACCGTTGCCCAGAGCGTTCAGGTTCAGTTGCTGGTACGGAGGAATACCATTTCCCCGTTCTCGGCTCGAAGCTCAGGAATATTCTCGGGTTACCGGAAACCCACGCTGAGGGCACGCCGTGATCCATGCCGGAGTTCGAGGCCAGGGTGTATTATCAAGCAAACCCATAAAAACAACTAGATAGTTTATAATCGTATTTCTTTTCAGTAGACGACGGAGACGGCGGAGTTATGTCTTCCAAAGACCGGTATAATCATGAAATTGTTTGTAATAATATCGATATTTGACGGCAGTGAGGTGATTCCCTGCCGCTATCCGAGCCCGATACTGTATACAAATTACCATACCTTTCAGTGGCACGAAATTATATACTTATGAGTTCCATCTTCTCGGGCCGTCAATTAGCTTCTGGGTGATCTTTCACGCGGTTGAGGACCGGACTTCTCTGCTCCGGTACATGAATAACGCTTTTCCACGTCCTTGATCGAACCATAGATATCTATGTTATATCTAATTTTGCCGCTGGGTTCTCACAAGCATCCTAATCAGATGGCACGTGCTCATTGTAATCGACTGGACGTGTTTTAGGGCGCGATCACAAGCTGACGGTTGACCTGTGTTAGAACGTGTTTAGTCTAAACAGTTCTCTTTCACATGTGAAGACACTCATCTGAGTACTCAGGTTGGATTCTTGTCGATATACTTTTGTCGAAGATGTTCAATGACGAACTCCTAAGCTGTTATTTGATAGCACCAACCAGCTGACCAAATTGAAAGTAGGAGAAAAAATGTTGATGTGAACACACGACCTCAAAGACTGTACCACTGAAACCTTCTGTCATTAGCACTGCAATGTATAAACGACCAGAGTCTGTGGTTGATGGTGCCAGTGAAGATCGGATAATATTCCAGCGATGGCTGCGGGGGAAAAAGATGTACCTAGCGGACTCCCTCCGATGATCCACCACTAAGATGTAGGCTTATCAGTCGGCTGCTTCACCGATCTCGTCGGACTGCTATTGCGATCGCAATGGAGAGGACAGCTCATCATACTCATTAATTCTCCATGGTGCTCTGGTCCAGATTGGCGCGGTGGACGGAGAACGGACCTTTCGAGCGTGGCTGTTGTGCACATGTCGTTTCCGCATTTTTTTCCGAATCAAGATGGCCAATGGCGGTGAAGTCGCCGGTGCTCATAATGAGAAAAGGAAATCAAAGAAGACGAGAGGAGTTGCTGTCGTGAAGAAGGTACTGTTATTCCTTCTACACCAGTGGCTCCTCATTGGTATGGGTGTGGTTTGCGTACTGGCGTACTTCTTCCCAAATGTTGCAAAGCAAGGCGGCATAATCAGGACCGAATACAGCATTCTATATGGCGCCGTGGCATTGATCTTCCTGATATCGGGCCTCAGCATCCCGCGCCAGAAGCTTTTCAAGCATATGCTTAATTGGAGACTCCACGTGCTGGTCCAAGTCACTTCGTTTCTGTTCATTCCTGCGCTGGTGCTCGCCATTGTACATATAGTGTTGGCCGGTGACCCCTGGGGACATATCGATCGAGCGGTCCTGGCGGGCTATATCCTGGTCGCATGTATCCCGACAACGATCGCTTCGAACGTGGTCATGACCAGAGCTGCCGGTGGGGATGATGCCGCAGCGCTGGTGGAGGTTCTGGTTGCGAATGTCCTAGGTCCGTTCGTGACTGCAGGATGGACGGTCACTCTGATACCCAATACACCTGAGTTCTCAGCATGGAAACATGGGGAAGGTGCACTCAACCAGATGTATCGAGATGTCTTTAAGCAGTTAGGTCTAGCTGTACTCATCCCGCTGGCGGTGGGACAACTGATCCGATGGACCTGGTCAGATCAGACCGCATGGGTCCTTCAGAAGTTCAAGGTAGCGAAGGTTGGCACCTTTTGTCTGTTACTACTCATATGGTATGTGTTGCCGCGATTCTGGAAGGAGCGAAATGCAGTGGATATACCTAAAGCAACAATTATATGCTAACGAGGCCATTTCCAGGACCACATTCTCAACCTGCTTCGCTACAGACGCTCTCGAATCGCTCTCCGCCCAGAGCATCGTCTTTGTAGTCCTATTCAACATCGCCCTATACCTCTTTCTCACAGTGGTCTGCTTCGTCATCTCCCGTCCACCAAAGTGCTTATCTACTCTGCCGTGGGGCCGACGCATTTTTAAAAGAGTCGACCCCGAAGAGACGATTGCTATCTGCTTCTGCGGCCCTGCTAAAACAACCGCGTTGGGAATCCCACTACTGTATGCCATGTGGTCCTCTGTTGACCTGTTTACGAAGGCGAAAACGTCCGTCCCAGTCCTGCTCTACACCACAGAGCAGGTCTGCGTGGCGCATTTCATGGTCTATATATTCCGCAGATGGCATAGCAGACTGCAAAAGAAGCAAGATATGGAGAGTATTGGTGAACCTGAGAGTCATACTGGGACCACGGATGGTCCTGATGACGCATCTCCTTTGGACTCGAAGGAGGTCGGTAGTGAACCGGATCGTCGGGCTACTGAGATAGAATAGTGTCGTGTAAAGGTATACCTGATGGTAGATTGCGATTTAATGATAAATAATAATACGTAGCACTTCCTCGGAAAGCCAGCACTGCGATGAAAGAAGTGTCAAGCTTGCTTTATATGATAGCAGTACAATGATTTTCAATTTCAGATCCAAGCCGACCTAAATCAAGTTCCGTCTCTACCAGACTGTATCCCTATTTATCTATTTACAGTGGAAGGTGTAAGTATACACGTAAGCATGTGAGAGAAAAATATCCTAAGTCATCCGTCAAGCCCTATGAGTCGACGTGGTGTGGACCAGCAACATGCATCAGCAGCTCTTGATCAGATGTAGCTGACCTTCACACCCGCACCCACAGTTCCTCGAACCTTTTGCCAGCTCGTATTCATGATCCTGCGCACACGTTCTCGGACATCTTGTCTACTAACCGCCATGATGATGCCCAGCATGAACAGAAGCATGCGTAGAAGAGCCATCGGGTTGCCGGTCACATTTCGTGCTAGAGTGAGCAGAAGATTGTGAAGTGCAGTTGCCAAGGCGCGCGCCTGTCGTACCATGGGTGGAGATTTGGGCGTCTTTTTGACATTCTTCGACGACTCAGGGGGCGGCGAGAAGGTGGCCCGGCCCGAAGGATCAGTCGTCTTATTGCTTGCAGACTTCTCCGTTGACTTGTTGCCACGGCTTTTGGATATCCCATTGGGATGGCTTTCAATGCCATAGTCAACCTCGCTGCCAGTTCGTTTGTGTCCGTTCTGCTGGGCGCGTGCGGCAGCCGCAGCTTCCTCTGCCCTTCTTCGCTCTTCCTCTGCTCTTCTTCGCTCTTCCTCTCGCGCCTGGCGTTCGAGTTCAGCTTCCCTTTCTCGTTGCAGCTCTGCAGCGCGCAGGCTGCCTCTCTCTTTTTCTTCCTTCAGGCCTTCGAGCGTCAGAAAGAAAGCCTCTTTCCTTTCTTCATCCAACACTTCGCTGAACTGGATAAACTCTCTAGCATAGTCCCATTCCTCGTTTCTCGGCAGAACGTGGAGGGTGAACAGTTCGAGTATCCTCACTCTAGCCTCCAAGTCCTTTGGAGTATCTGTTCCGCTAGCAGCATGTGCGTGGCGGCGTCGTGATCCATGTTGAGACATCTCCATGTGGGCTGCAACGTCCAGATTTGGCTGTCCGTAGGACGACAGGTAGGTCTCAAGTCGCTGTTGGTTGAGAGTCTGCGACGGAGAGTGATTCAACAACAACGTAGCTCTGTAGGACGATGGTTAGAGAAAGAACACTATAGCCAGTAGGGTATCTGACTGACAAGTTATACACGACTTCCGCATCTACTGAGCCCTCTCGTCCTCTGTAACCGGTCTGTACTATATACTCCCAGACGTCCCCATCTCGGACTTTGGAGACAAGAGCCTTCCATTCTTTCTGTCCAAATGTGCTCTTCCCCTCCTCAGGCCCAAGCTCCACAATGGCGCTAAGGAGTGTGATATATAGGTTCCACACCTTAATCCTTAGATTACTCGACGCGGTCGCGATTGGCGCAAGAGAAGACGCAGCATTATCGCCATTGATGTACTGTTCATCTTTGGGCGGCGCGTTGACAATTGGTTCGAGAGCTGTCAAAGCTTCTTGCAATCGACGCGTTAGGAAAAGCTGAGATGCCTTCTTGTAGGTTTGCGAACACAGCTTCGAGGTTGAAGGCGGAGAGGATGTGGGAAGTAATTGCGAATGCGAAGAGGATAGGTATGAGCTATCGTCGGCCATTGTCGGAAGCTCAGGATCCGAAGATCTCGGCCTAATAACGGCTTTTATGGGTAAATACTGAAACAGGACAAGATGTAGGTTCTTTGTCGAGACCTGATGCGCTTTGAGTGACCGAAGACAGGGTTGGAGTTGGAGAGCTTCACTTTACCCTCGGCACGCGTCGCCTGGGGTGCGGGAAGGCTGATGTCACGGGATGGAGATCTGGATCTGGAGAAACCGGCGCCAAACAGGACGCTTAAGCGAAGCCACCCGTCAGTCAAGCGGCACCATCTAGATGCTCTGCTTTGCTTGCTAGCATAGTTACATTGTGGCTGCTTCTACATATTTCCTCCATATTCCTTCTGAGCAGCTGCCTTATTTGCCATTGACATATTGCACGGTGGGGCCGGGGAGATCCCGCTATTCATTATCATGCTTGTAACCGCGCTATGGAAAGCATGATGAGATAGATGAATGAATGCTGAACTGCTCGGATTCAATTACTATGCTAGGATTCTATTGTGTTCTTCGTGTCCCCTCTTGATTATCCTACGACTCTGGACTTCTCACGTCTTCACCCTCATCTGGACGAGAAAGCCCCCTGGGGTAAATATGGATGTCACCTCCCAGTCATTCTATTATCACCTCCCAAGGATTTTAGATAGCATTGCAACATGCTGTTTTGTATCGCTGGATCTTGAGTTTTCTGGGATCGCTACAAATCCAGTGGGATTGACCGGTGCCCGAAGACAAACACTTCAGGAACGCTATGCTGAAGCCAAAGAAGCCGCAGACAAGTATCAGATCTTGCAAATTGGCCTCACGATCGGACTTGAAGATGCTAAGACAGGCTAGGACGGCTATTGATTGCTTATCATTGGTACTATGCTAACATTCAGTAGGAACTTACACACTCAAACCGTACAATTTCTATCTCAGTCCGATCATTGAACAGAGACTGGAAGTCGAGAGAATCTGGTCATACCAGAGTAGCGGTACAATCTCATTCGTATCTTTGTTTGGATGATATATAGACTAATGCCTTCTAGCTGTGGAGTTTCTGGTGGGGAATAAATTTCGCATGGAAGCTCCTTTCACCGAAGGTGTTCCTTATCTGTCTCGAGACGAAGAAAGGATAGCGCTCAGCAAAGCTCACGAACGGAGAGACCGGCCCCGAGAAACTGGTGCAATTGATGTGAAGGAGACAGACACTGAATCTTTGCAATTTTTAAAGCTTGTTCGACAGGGAATCGAAGCTTGGCTCGCTCTAGGTGAAGTAGGTTTCAATATTCTCTTTCGGTTCACCCGACTTATTTAGATATCAGACGAGAGCAGGCTATCTCAATATCCCGCCACCAAGTCATATCGGTGCTGTCAGTGGTCCGAATGCCCTTCCAACAATACTCAACAGGTTCCAGAAAAGACTAGTCCATCGATTGATTGAAGCGGAATACCCGGAATTGAGATCCATCGGAAAGCCTACATTCGTACAGATTATCCCCTATGATGAAGCGCGAGAGAGAGACGTCGCCAATGAAAGAGTGAGGCGAACGGATGAACGCATCTTAAGACAAACAGGCATGAGATGGATCGCTGAGGCCTTGGCCGGGGGAGATTTGACAAGGCTTGACCCAGGATACTTCATGGGCATCATGGCAAACTCAGCCTCTGTTGAGGGCAAGTATTCGTTGAAAGAGTTCGCTGACAGGCTTAAGCTTCGGTTACTGGCAAACAGGCCGGTCCTAGTCGGTCATAATCTTTTCACAGACGTAATCTATTTTTGCAGCTGCTTTTTCGGAAGTTTGCCTGAACGTGTGGAAGAGTTTCAGGAACTGGTTCATGGCCTTTTCCCCGTTCTTATTGATACGAAATACATGGCCACGCACGAGTGTGGTTCAATCAACCCTGCCTCGTCGCTTTCGGAAATCAATGATAGTCTGAAGGACGTGAAGAAACCAAGCATCGGTTGGTAGCTCTTCTCATATATACTGATTTTGTTGCTAACGGGGCGTCGCTAGTCGTGGACCCAACCCATAACAAATACGAAGGCCAGAAACTACATCATGAAGCAGGGTACGACAGTCTGCTCACAGCCCAAGTATTCATCAAGTTGTCTTCCCAGCTACGCAATGGAGGCATACCTATGGATCCACGAGCAAAATCATTCGTCCCAAAGCGGGATATCTATACCGAGATGAGTGAACTCAGCCTGGACAGTTCAGCATCTTGTGCATCGAGTACATCGGGGAACAGCTCTGTCGAGATGACCGGCAAAACTTCTAGAAAAGACCGACCTGCCCAGAAACCGGTCGACTGGCAGCAACGAGAAGAGGTTACTAGGATCCGCTCAGCCTTTGCACATCGGACCAAATATGATCTTCTGACAGACCTGGCTGAAGAGATAGAAGATGTCCCTGAGAGCGAGATACCGGTGAGTGCCAATCCGTTGGCTGGTCCTACAGAGCCTCAGCTCCTGGCCTTCGAGGACGAAGAAGCGATAGCGCAAAAAGTCAAGGATGGAGAGCTCATCCCTCGTTTCGGGGCGTCATTCTGGAAGGTCTATGGAAACAAACTCCGCGTATTTGGAACGGAGGAACGAGTCTGCGTCTTAGGCAAGGTGAAAAGTCAAAGATAAGACTTTCGGCCTCTTTGCTGCTCTGCCCCAGTACACGACCACTTGGTCCTGCACAGATGCCATCCATGGGCTTAGAATACCCTGGACTACGTAGTCTTAGAAGAAGATGAAATGTCTAACATAATCACCAACTAGGTGCCAACTAGAGCTCAAAAAGAGATTCTCTTTCGGCTCAGCATGGGTCAGAATTATGTATGCAGAGTCTATCTAACCGTACGCCTTGATTGAGAAGGTACCGCTAGCGAAAATTGACTGCATATCGCTCTGAGCACCGCTAAATGATCGACTGGTCGTGGAGTAACAGAACGCAGTGATGATAAGGATGGGTGCTGTAGAGAAGAAAAATTGCGAAAATAGAGCAACAAGCGGCGGTTTTGAGTAGCCCGGTCTGGTCACGCGGAGGCTAACCCGTCTGGGGACTAGCGCGTCTTCGGAGGCTCGCAGCGCTCTCAGGCGGATGGACAACCGTGAACTTTTCTTGGAGAGACCGGAATCCACGAGCGCCCAATATCCAGCACTGTCGGGGAGATGGCTGCAGGATCCAATGGTGCCAGGCGCATAGCGACGCTATTGCGTATGTTGTTTCCCGGCCTTCAATCAATGTGTGGGGTGCGCTGTTGCTGATGTCTCTTTTCTCACAGGGCCTTCTGTCTTCGACTCCGCGGTGTGCAGAAGCTGTCAAGAAACACTCGTCCGCCGCAACTATGCTACTGCTGCCGCAGCAACTGCAGAAAGCCAGTCTGAACCTGCTCCTCCGTCCGTGGGTTCATCGAAACCAGATACCGCTGCTACTCATCCGGTCCTGAAACCTACCTATGTCATTAATGCCGGAGTTCTGCTCTCTCGGCCTCCGCAGATCACCCGCGACCTGACGCCGTTTGAAAAAGCATACTATTTCTACCAGAAGCGATTAAACGAGCGTCTTGCTCTTCCTTTCACCAGATACTTCTACTTCAAGCGAGGTACGCCCGCCGACGAAGATTGGAAGCGCAAGTACCGGGAGCGCCAGACTCCTTCCCGCGATATCGGAAAATACAATGCCTATTCCCCGGACGCATGGAATGATGAGCTGCTAGTTGGTGCAGTCGAATCCGAGCCAGAGCACCAGATTGAGATGCTTGTGCGCGATGCGGAGAGTACCACCACCGGCACTCAGGAAGGAACCAAGAAGGAGGAGGTTCCGCGGCCGTTCCCTCGTGTGACAGAGGCAGACCAGAAGAATGACCAGAAGAGCCTGAACCGCGCTCTGCAACGTACACTCTACCTACTTGTCCAGACCAAGGAAGGATACTGGAAGTTCCCGAGCTCACCCGTGGAGGAGGGCGAGAATCTTCGATCGGTGAGTACTCTAACGTGATATATTTCTATCCTGCCTATGATTATCAGCCAGAGTACAGAAACTGACCATGTTTCTGCTATCCTAGGCTGCTGAACGAACCCTCGCCCAGTCTGCTGGTATCAACATGAACACCTGGATGGTCGGCTACCACCCTGTTGGCCACCACGTTTACAACAACCGGAAGCCCAAGGTGGATGAGAAGACTGGAGTCGAGCTTCTGGGCGAGAAGACTTTCTTCATGAAAGGCCGCATCATGGCCGGCCAAGCTGATCTCAAGGCCAACAACCAGGGTCTCCAGGACTTCAAGTGGCTGGCCAAGGATGAGATTCAGTCTCTGGTCCTGCCCCAGTACTTCAGCCACATCCGGAACATGCTGGCGGAGAGGTAAATGGTGAGGCGAAGAGTTATGAGAGGAGGCTTGTACGATGGTGGATTCGCCGAGACGAAAGCAACTACGAGTGCATATCCGTTCGATGGTCTCTTTCTTCCCCTCTCCTGCATTGTGAAGGCCAGTTGGCGTCTTGCTTATATCCGTCTGTAGCGTAAATGGGGATTTTCACAGAAGAGCATATACTTTGAAATGTATAACTAGATACTATTATCAGTTCGCAAAATGATTTTCAAGTTTCTCCATTCCCATTGAGCGCTCCTATAAGTAACTCCTAAAACTCCCAATCATAATACCCAATCTCTTGGACAATGCCATCAAGAAACAATATTACCACAAATATGAAATAAATCATCACCACAACAGCATATCACAAGATCACCCCATCCTACTTCAAATTAAACTTCTGCCCCTGTACAACCGGCTGGGTTGTCGAGGTCTTTGAACTCAAACTCTTTCCACACATCGGACATGCTAGATTGATCATTAGCAACGGACGTGTACCCGGAACCAAACGAGAGCCAGAGAAGATAACAACCAATCAGACTGAAGAGGAAAAGGAGGAAGGAGACAATTCATTGATGCACGTACCATTCTTTTTATACGCACATGTCTGACAGTATTTGCGGCCCTGCTCGACCTTGGTTTTGCATTGGTCGCATGAAGATGCGTATGCAGCGTAGGGGTTCTTTGCCTTTGCACTCAAGAGTTTGTTCTGTTGGCGGTTGTTAGTTATGTACTGCTATGTGTGATCGGCGGGAATTTGGATAATGAGATGATAGATAGATGAAAAAGAGGAATGATATCAGATATTCGAAACCAATCAAAGAGAGGGACGGGTTCCGTAACTAATCTTAACTTCATCCATAGAAAGAACAGGACACGACACACAATATCACAACTTGACATGGGATATTCATGAATAAAGCACGTAAACCCAGAAAAGAACCACAATCTCAATACAACTCACCTTACTGATCCCCGTATTCCCCAAAGTCGGCTTAGACTTGGCATCTCCGCCGCCACCTAACGTAGTAGACGGAGAGCCGTAGTACATATCATTCTTCCGCTTCACGCCCGGAGTAGCCAGCTCAGTCTTCTGGAGCTTCTTCTGGCATTTACCGCAGACCATGACGGGCGACACGACTCGTTGTCTGGCCGGTGGCGCACGAGCTGATCGGACAGATAATACGGGACGGAGCCCGTGTGGCGTCACGTGTACTTGAGAATCAAGTCAAGGATGTTGAGGTCTGAAAAGGTACTCTTTGCTGTGGATTCGATGCTTTACTAGAGCGTACTGTCAAGTTGATGCAGGTTGATGAAGTAATGGTAAATAGGTACTTTCGATTGAAATAGAGGCGATATGTATCCGTTAGATATGGACGCACCGCCACCTGTATGGCGGGACTCGGAAACGCCAAGGCTTTCCATCGAATAGCATTGCCGTCCTTGGGTGTTTGCCTGAGGCATTACTGATGGTTTGTATGTATACATGTGTCCGACCTGTGACAGGGAGTTTTGTAGGAACAATCAGATATATTGAGTTTCACTATATCGAGGATTTTGAGCTCCAACAGGAAAATTATGATAATTGATCTGTCTCTATCAAATACGGACATGTAACGTTTAGCCAGGTACCTAGTAGTTGAGTCGGAAGATGCTACCCCGTTCCTAGATACGGTTCCCCGAGGTGATAATAAAAGTCTGTGAATAGGATGCATGAATACTTTTGGGTCTGATTTTGAATGTTTGGTATCCCACATATCATACATATGAAATCTGTCCACGGCTCTCACAGGAAGATGTACTTTCGACTAGCGGTGGATAGGGCAATTCCTGACCCTGAAGCGTAAAGGGAACCTGATTGGCTGGTTTTCATATTTAAGGCATATTCGAGTTCGTTATAGAGAGCATTCGAACTAACAGAGCTACCTAGGAGCTTCCTCAAGGAAGCAGTCCATCCCAGGAGATGAGAGTTGATTGTTTCTGGGAATATTCAATGCCGTATGAGCATGTCCAGCATCAATTAACGCTATCTGTCGGATTGATCTTGCGTTCATATTGTCAATCCACATCAATGCAGTGCACTTATATCTCGATAGCATTGGTCAGGTCGATGAGAAACAGCATATACTAATGTAGACTAATAAATCCGGCTCTCTGGATATGTACGCATGATATTGTTCTAAGAAATATGGGGAAGTATCACATCCAACGAAGCAGACTAAAACAGCTTATGAATCTGTGTTTGAAGTAGGCGGCATGTAACCTCGTGACCGGGGACGGTGACCTTAGAGGACTCCGCGCTTTCTTTCTCCAGAGTTCAATTGACATCCACACCTGTCAGAAATACTACCTCAAAAACGCTCCTTCATGCTCTCCCACCAATTCCGTTCGATAAGAAGTATGGCGATGTTTTCTTGGCTTAATATTACAGGCATACAGCATGACCAGACAGAATGAGTTCTCCTGTGAGCAACAGACGAGCGGAAGTCCCAAGTCGACTTCTTCTACTAGCAGCAGAAGGCAGAATTGCTGTCTCCATAAAAATCCGTCAGTCCCAAATACAATTCGATTAAGCACAGGGAAATGGTCCACGAACCACCCCTATGCAGACCCTCACTCGATCACTGATTCTTGCTTACAAGCCAATACAGGCCATACTTTATCCTTATCAAGCCTCATAGGACGAACGAGATTCTCCAATAATATATGTAATTCTACCATCAGTGAAACAGATTGGAAGTTCACATGATAGGGGACAACTTAACATCGATTTCCATAACGATCTGATTATATTTTCGACTTGGAATGCGAAATTCTCATGTAATGGTTACAAGCGGGGAATGACATGGACATACTACCTAACGAGTCTGCAACTATCGAGTTACATCGTCGGCTCTCTCATCTAATACTGCGCAAATATTCTTCTCCCTGCAACTTGACGATATGAAACAACATCGAGTCGGAGGTGAGTTGATGTCCTCCCTCAGGATGTATGTCTGACACCTCATGGGACATCAGATAATTCTCGAATTAAGTTGCAAATCTAGACCGTGTCGGAGTGGCCGATGGGGCGAAAAGGACCACTCTCGTCTGAAAGCGAGCAAGGGTCGACAGGGGGCAGGGCAGCCGGCGCCGACCTTGAGAAGTGAACTTAAGCTTCTTTTCTCCTGCGCTGCCTGGGGACGAATGAGGATCAAAAGACCAAGAAACCGCGAATAGCGGTCAAACAAGGATTTGCATACTATGATTTCATAGAATGCCACTCACTCCTTTATCGCTGTACTGGGGGTCAGCCTTAGTGACAGTGACCGAGGACTGCCAGGTGGGCGAAAATATTGAGAACACCGTCTATAGAATGCTTGGTACTACTGTCTGGTCCTGCAGGTGTTCGGGGTATGCGAACAGAATGCGACCAATGGTTCCCGGAAACTCCGAGGCTTCTGCAACTTGACAGTATCTGGCCTATCACAGAACAATGCCAAAAGCACCAGCAAATGTTTCGATCGCGCATGGCGATCAGGTACCGATCACGGATGCAACAGTCAAACGGAACGTGAGCGGCTGAACATCGTGGCTCCGCCGTCTCCAGCTGGCGTCACGATTAGAGCAAATATCATTTGATCTCGAACCCAACAACGACGCCGCCTGTGCCTCAAAGAGCACTGTCGAATCTAGCAGGGACAGGCTGAGAATGGCACGGTAGACAAGGATTACGAATCTTTCCTGCATTCAACTTCACAGCCACACAGTCCCCAACGTCCAACAGATCTCAGACAATAATAATGGAGGCGATCCAGCAAGATACAGCAGCCATGATTGCGTTGTGGACCACTAGCTGGAGAGCTAGGTCGGACAGTGTTCCACGGGGCGGCAAGCGAACAGAGCAAGATGGCTAGAACAGCCGCGGTAGTTGGTTGCATGCCCGTGCTGCTGACACAAACAATATGGTGTCTTCTTTGTTTTATTCGATGCATCGAAGAAGCGATCGCAGTCCTTGGATGGCCATACAGAAGATAGCCCTTGGTTGCCATCTCCGGATTCGCGGGTCGCCCCGAAAGGCCCGTGGCGAACCAAGATCAAACAGATCCGATCGCTCCTTCTGGTCATCGACTAGATACGAGCATTAATTTACTAGTAACGCGGCCACACCTCCAGAGAGGCGGATCCTGCATATTTCAGCTGGCTCCTGTCAAACTTTGCCCGCCGCGATGTCTTTGCCAGGGAACTTTGTCTTGTCTTTGTCCCGTACTTTAATGGACGCTACTTCTCCCGACTGACATCACAGAGCGCGTCTGCGTGATATGCGCGCGCCACTCGTTGACCTGTGAGCAAGGCCATCTCCCTAATCCAGGACAGACATGGAGGCAAAAGAACGGTGTAAAAGGTCGAGACAAACGAGTATGGCGTGCCAGGAACTGTCCCTGGCCGCCCCATTTTCTAAGGGGATCCAGGGCACTAATGCCTTCTCTATAAAGACAGGCTATCAGAACGCACGGTACCACCTTGGGACGGTAAAAAATCAAGTGGTGTTGCCTATAGTTTATGTCTTTCCGTGAGATCTCAAGTCATCTTCTCCCGGCCCCCCTTTTTTGCACTCGCTCTCGTTGTCTCTTTCGGCTCCAGGACAACCGCATTCGGCCTCCCTGAACTGCGCCACGGCGGCTTTTCCCTGCCTTTTCTTCCGCGTGCAACAACCGCGGCTTTAGGCGTGAATGAATTGATATAGAGTTCGAGGTATACATTAACTACCCCCGAGAGACTTAGTCTTGGACTCAGATGACCCCAGCGTGACTGTCTGGTGTCCGAGCTCTCTCTCGTGTCGAAACTTCCCGCCTCGTCTGGTTCGTCCCTTGCCAGCCTCATTTTACAACGGACAGCACCAGAGGTCGAAACTTTCTATCACGGGGTCGTAGGGCTTACGGTCCCTGCGAGCCCGACACAGTCGGCGTGTCATTTTTTCGTGCTGACTTGGGCGCAGCGCCGCCTGCAAGCCATCTTACCTTCGCCTGTCTGGCAGGGCTAGTGTCTTAGACGCGTGGGTTCCCGCGAACTGGCTAAACGGCCATCATATCCCTCGTGCATAGCAGCAAGGCGTATCGTGAGCATATCAAGCACTAGATTTCCAAGAACACAAAAGGGATCCGCATTCAACATGCCGCCAGATCGATCATCTTTCACGGCGTTGAATCTGCCCTCGACGTTTTCTCTGCCCGAATGTATGGAATATTTCACACTCCCTGCCGGCCCTAACACAGACCTCTGGAGAAAACCACCGAATGGCGACACTTCGACGGCTCCGATAGTGTATACTTCTTTACGGCACCCGTTCGTGGTCGCTGAAGTCACGGTCAGCGCTGATTGGGAAATGGAATGGGACCAAGGCGGACTCGTCATTTTCGCCGGTGCAGCGCCCGGGGAGTCATTGCCATCAGATTCTCAAACGCCTTCCGGAGGCCGTACCGGACGACCCGGCTGGAACCACGCATCTCGATCGTGTAAATGGGTGAAGGCAGGCATGGAGTTTTGTTCCGGCACTGTCAACGCGTCTTCAGTAAGTGCAACTGCTGACGGAGCAGACTGGTGCCTGTCACCACTTGCACTGCCAAACCTTCCGACTGCTGTCACCTCGTTGCGCATCAAACTGGAGAGGATAGGCCATTCCCTCTGGATCTGGTACCAGATCCCTTCAGTGTCTCCTTACGCTTTATCCCCAGGCGCAGTCGGCAACACTTGGAAGAAACTGAGGGAAGTGACGTGGTTTTTCTATGGAGTGGAGGACAAGTTCGTCCATGTCGGTGTCTACGCCAGTCGACCGACAAGTGTATCGAGAGGCGACACAATGTGGGAGACAATGAATGCTTCTCGATCAGCGACCTCGGCAGCGGATAACGATTCAGATCGACTGGTGGTCGAGTTCGAAGATCTGGAAATATTTTAAGCGTGTTTATGTCTGGGAACGCTTTGGTTGATAGAGAAAACGGATAGTTTGGCGTTTCCCTGTTGCCTGTCTTTTACTATTTTCTTTCACATTGCTACGACCATTTAAGCCAGTGTCTTAATTCTTTTTTTTTTTCCTGTGATTTTTCCTTGGCTTACTCAACATCCAATATTTGGCGTCGGTTTAGAGGTTCTATCAGCATAACCAAGATTGCGGAGAGTTGTGCATCCGATTTTTGTCTTTTGGAAAGGTCCATTTGCTCTTGTACTATGGTCACGAGCTCTATCCTATTCATATGCTTCTGGGCCTTATTGCCCCCCACTGTGGTTTTTTATCATAAGACTACCTAATTGATCCATGAACCATATCTGAACCTTCGCCTTAGATCAAGTCTGATAGCTTTCACCTTCCTCTTCAGTTGGAACATAGGGGGCACACGATGGTACGGTAAACAAATCTTTGGGAGGGTATTGTCCTTGCTGGGCCCGGAAAGTATCACTATTTCCTCAGTCGAGGCACCAACTGGGAACCTTGCATTAGCCTGCAGACTTCTCATAGGACAGAACGATCGTGGCTGAACATATGAACTTCATCCAATGGGTCGGGTCGTTACCCACAGTGATAGTCTCCCAGCTCAGCCTCAGTGCAGTTCTGAAGATCTAGATCTCTGTAGTACAACTTCTAATTCTTTGTGGCGAAGTACATACTTAACAGTTTGCAGTAATGCGCGACCACGTCACCATACACACACAATGCATGAACTCGCCGATAAGGTACGCGCAGCTGAACGATCTAAAGTAGTTCGTGTAACAGGTAGCATATGGCAAACTTCTTCGAAGCCGATCTACTACTTATGTCGTCAGCTTCTAATAAACTATAGGAATAAGTGCCGGGATTAGCCGCCAAGCCAAGCCCAAACTACGTGATGGAGTCGTTGTGCTGTATGTGCTCGGAAAGTCATAGAGCCCTATCAGAAAATAATAAATGGAAGTGTAATCAGGATGTCAGCTGAAAAAAAAAAAATAACGCTAACAGGGGGGGATGTGCGGAGAATTTGTGTCTGGCAGCAGCTCTCCACGAACCGATTGTCTACTGCAGACGCAGTTGATGTCTTGACTCCTGAAGAGAAAATAGATCAGGTAGTATTCAATAGAGTGTGTGTGTGTGAATACACCAAGCTTCAGAGCCCGGCGAGAGGATGTATTAAGATTCGGAGAAATCAAAAATTATCAGCGCTTGCGTTGTGCATGGACTGGGATAGTTTTTAGCGCAGGTATTCGCTTAGACACCAAACATCATTTCGACGACAACTAAGTAGAGTAATCTCTACTGTGGAATGACACGGCACAAGCAAACACTGTGCGAAGAACAAGTCGCTAAACCTTACCAATAATAATAAGACATTGCTTGTTAGGCCAGAGTTTCCCCTATCAATAATTGATCCCTCCACCTATACAAATTCGAGATAGAAGATTCAGAAATTGTGCGGGGTCCCTGAAGTGGGGAAACTTGTCATCAAGCACCATCAGCTGTCCAGGATACGATCTAAATATAGAGCCGCATTTTACCCTAGTAATATACCCTGTTTAGGCTCATTTGCTGGTATCATCTGTGCTTCTGTTAGTTGAGGGCAGTGGAGGGGGGGGAATTAATCTATGGTATTTAGTTACTCTCCATCACGGCCCCACATACTGATGGAGAAGCTGTCACTCTTTGTGAATCACGAGTCTTTTCTACTGCGCCATATTCCGGTAATTATTGGTGTTACCATGTCCTCTGGGTAGGTAGTTAATGATACCGAGGATCATCGAGCTGGTGGGGGGTCTATGGGTACCCCGCATGCTAATGGGAGGGAGTAGATAGATATAACCTTTCTGCTCTATACGATCTTATGCATTTAGGACCTCATGTGAAAAGTGATATTCAACAGATGATATTCCGCTTACTGAGTTAATGTCAAGCGGCTAACTATGCATTCCCAGCCATCCGTCATCGTTGTATGTACATTTCCTAACTAATCGCGAGGCTAACGGATCGGAATCATACCAATTAACCATTTCCACAGGTTGGCGCAGGTCCCGTTGGCCTTCTTGTCGGACTGCGCCTCGCAAAAGCAGGAATCCACACCACCATATTAGAACGTCTGCCTGCAATCGAAAATTCGCCTCGCGCAGCAGTGTATCAGCCAGTAGCAGTGCAAGAGCTCGATAGGGCAGGTATCCTAGAAGCGTGCCGCGCAATCGGAACGACGGGGAGTAAATTGGCTTTCAGAAAACAGACAGGTGAAGTAATTCTCGAAGTCTCTCGGGTGCCTACTCCAGAGGAGCCATACGAGAACCTAGTTCTGGGACAGCATGAACTGGCGCGTGTTATTCTGGATAATTTCGAACAGTGCGGGACTGCTCAAGTGCTCTTCGAGCATTTTGTCGTTGGCATCGACCAAGATGACACGGGAGTCACAGCTACTGTAGAGACGCCGGATGGGACCAAGAAGCTAACAGCGTCCTATCTTGTTGGAGCGGATGGTGGAAGGAGCTCCGTACGGCAGTTGGTCAATGTTCCTTTCGAAGGTTTTACATGGCCGCAGCAAATTGTCGCTACTAATGTTGTATATCCATTTGATAAGTATGGATATGCACCGGGGAATATGATCGTGTTAGTGCAATGTTCCAATTCCTTGCATTATATATAGCCAGGATACTGATCTGACCACTGCGCAGGCATAAAGACAACTACGCCGTCATCGCAAAGCTGAACAAACAGGGACTATGGAGAGTATCCTATGGCGAGTTGGGCGGTCTTTCGGAGAGAGAGCTCCGGGATAGACTACCTATGAAATACGACGCGCTCCTTCCAGGACCAAGGCCCCTGCGCTATGACTTGAGGATGTTTTCTCCGTATCGAATTCATCAAAAATGTGCGAAAACATTTCGCATCGGCCGCGTCCTCCTGGCGGGAGATGCTGCTCATCTGTGCAATCCGTTTGGGGGGTGAGTTGATCCCAGAAATAGCTTCGAACCAGCGAGCGACGTTAGTTACGGTCTAATGCACCTGGGGATATAGTCTGGGTCTAACAGGGGGGCTTCTCGATGCCGGAGCTCTGGGTGATGCTCTTAGTGCCACCATTAACGACAAAGCGCCGGATAGTATACTCGACAGATACTCTGAGGTTAGAAGGGGCATCTTTCTCAAAGTCATTGATCCGGCATCCCAGGCGAACATTCGTCGGTTGTACGAGAACGACCCAGAGGGTATATAAGGACAGATCCTTTGCTACGAGCCGTCCACAGCGCCGATGAGAAGGAGAAAGAGAAAATGCGAGGCATGCAAACGTTGCGCGTGGAGCTGCTGCCAAATTGAAACTGCAACGAACAGTTAGCTTATATTCATGGTAAGGCACATTCATTAGCCGCAGAATACTCCGTAATATCCTTGTCCGTGACGAATAGTAATAAAGCAAAAGATGGCACTTCTGATTTTATCCTAGATTGGTTACACGAATACCAAGCCTTCCCCGGGAACAACATGCCTTGCATAACTGGCGGTTGGCGGGGAGCTAGTGAAGTTACTTGATCTACAGACAGGAAGACGACTCCCAAAGGACATTCTCGTCACATCCCATCCAGACAAAAACAGAAAGAGAATGATTAATAAAGAAAGATTCATATAATTTATTTCCAAGCCCTTACATGTCTTACACACGCGGTTAACTGGTGACACGTGGTTGGCCCGTCGTACCCACTCTAAGTCCGGAAAAGCCGGTCCGCCTGGCAACAACTAAGTTGCTCTTGTCCTCGGTCCTCCGCCATCCTTTCCATTCTCCAGCATCAAATCAGCATTTATACGTCGCAGTTAACTTTGGATTGATTGAATCTTTACGCTCGTTACTTTGGAGGATATGGGAGTCCAGGATGTTACCCCGTTTTGGGGAGAGCAGACGTCCTATCTGAAGTAAGACCCGTAGTCCAAAGATTGCGCCCCTTCCGTCCGGATGGATGGGATCCTTCTCGTTTGAGAAAGAGAGAGAGAGAGAGAGAGAACAGTAGTGCTAACCGGTGTCTGGCAGCTTTTGCGAAGAGGTGAACTTTACATCAGTTCTAGATCCTGTCACGATGAACGGGTCTGACATGAGTGAAAAATCGTAGGACTATGCTATCACGAGATATATCGCAGAGTTCATTAATACTCTGTCAAGTCTTATTTACAGTAAGTCCCATGGCTAAGGCAATTGATCTCCCCTGGTTCTGAAGACGGGCAATTCTAGTTGTCTATGGTATATATGGCTTGCGTAAAGTTTCCGGCAAGCCTGGAGCCGGACTGCGTTCTCTCGTTTATTACGGATTGATGGGAGTCGGTGTCTGCTCGGGAGCGTACCATTTGAGTTTGAAATATCACACGCAAATGTGTAAGTGACGCTCTTGTCGTGGTTGTTTCTTCTATGCGTGAGATTTCTGATAACCATGACCAGCCGACGAATTGTCTATGCACCTGACGACAGCGCCTCTTTTGCACCGTGTCCTGACCTTTGGTAAGAGTCAGCGGTACACGAATGTCCTTGGTGCGATTATGTCAGTTGCTTGGCTGGTGGGATTTATTATTCATGCCACCATGGACGAGTTTTTGCTCCATGCTGTCAGTTTTGCTGTCTCGGTCTATATAATCGGTATCAAGACAAGCCGGCTGTTATCTGAACGAGTCCGGAATCCTGTATATCGAGCAAAGGCCCAAGGAATGGCTCGGTTTGGTGTCTGTAAGTGTGCTACTGCGGAGTTCCAAAGAAAGCTATTCGTGCGCAGTGTATTGATGATGCAAACCAGTGGCTGCCTCTTGTGGTTACATTGTCTGGCTGATCGATCGTTGGGTCTGCGACAGCCTGATCAAGATGAGAGGGGTTGTTGGCCTCCCCTTGGCTTTCCTATTCGAGCTACATGGATGGTATGATCTTGCAACTCTTCATTGACGGTGCCGTTTCGCGCTCATGGCTAAATCTAACCACAGGTGGCACGTTCTTACTTGCATTGGTGCATACACCTTTATCGCGCTCGTTGACTATATTACGACCGAAGACGTGGACAAAGATCCCGTCGAGCTTCTTGCCTGGCCTTCTTCCTGGGCTGCAGAATCGGTCTTTGCTCCGAAGAAGCATCTCAAAGACCTGTAGGCAAAGGTAACAATGAGCAGCACAGTTTTTGAGATCACGGCGGCTGGATAACATCCATTTTTTTTTTTATGCGACGGCGATATATACCTCGTCGTTAGAGCGAAACACCGAACACGAACCATAAAATCATGTGTAGTACACGCAGGGGATATTGTTAGATACACGTCTATGAGGTTACTTGGGTCAATGGCATCAAAAGGTTATTATATCAAAATTCTCTGTAGGGATGAAAGAGTATTACGCCCTACGACATGTCCGAAAGTTATGGTGGCCAGATTGAGTTAAGTAAGCCAGTGGAGAACTCCTCCCCGCACATGGGTTCCAACTTGACCGATTCGGCTCGAGATAGATTCCATCCTCTGTCGTTTCAATTCGAGGATTTCATCTGTATTCTGCATTATAAAACAGAAAATCACTCCAAGAATCCCTGCTGCAGCCTGGAATGGATTTCGAGCTTCGAGAAAATCATCTCACCGCTGCCGCGGCTACTGCATCCACATACCATTTGACTCATCGATATGATGCTCAGGATGGAATATCGAATGAAACGCTAACTGCTAGGCAAGAAGAGAATGATACAAACGAACAGAGCCATGGAATCAGCTACGACAACAATGAACGGACTCTCAATGATTCCTATTTCCAGCAAAGTGACCATACCAGCCAACAACAACGACAGCTTCCTCGAGCGGATGGGGGGAAAGATGCCTGGTTATTTCTCGCATATGCCATCTCCCCGGTGACTTAAATCTAAACGCGAATGAGAATCGGTAAAATCTGCTGGATATCCGTACTCCCGTCAGCTGAGAGCTGACGCAGGGATTCCCGGTCTTCAAGAATGTGATCGATTGTTTCCGCCCTGCCGGAGGCATGGTAGATTTGAGCTATCGCCGCGTGGGTCTCGAGGAGAACACGACTAGGCAGCTGAGTCCTATTGCCGTGCGGCTTAGAAAAACGAACATATTCTGCGCGGCCATGGGAACGCTTTCTGAGGGCGTTCCGCGGGAAACGAGGGTACGTCTTGATCTTGTAGGTGTGCTCTTCATTCTGGTTTAGTGAGCAGAAATTCTTTTTGTATAATTTTAGGTTTATACTAACCGTGCTTTCAAAAGCCAGCTTCAGTTTGCCCCATAGCTCGTTGAGAATGGGGATCATAATCATCGTATTTGTCGGTTCGTTGATCAGATCTGGTTTTATGACGTCCTCGAGGTCGGGAAACAAGGCAGAAAGCGTAGTCCATATATTAACGACATCGTTTTCCTGAGTATTAAGATTAGAAAGTTTGGAATAATAAGAGATAAGAAAGAAAGAAAGAAAGAAAGAAAGAAAGAAAGAAAGAAAGAAAGAAAGAAAGAAAGAAAGAAAGAAAGAAAGAAAGAAAAGAAGACGTACCTGCTCACGGGTCTCGTACACTCCAAGGGCAAATGGTATTATATGAGATAGGTTGGTAGGATACATGCCATCATCGTACTCCTCGTCCGAGATGTCGGGGAACTTATCCCGGCACTCTGCCGCGTAATGATCAGTAACAACACAGCGATAATTGTCTCTTTCAAGACAGATCTTTTTTAAGTTCTGCTGATCGTTCTGAGAAGAAGATTCTACCATTTCTTGGGCGACATCGTCTGGGCGTCCAAAAGGAGAGGGTGTTACAGTCTGGTTCTGACCTCCGCAGGCTCTCACTAGAATTTTTCAGTGTTAGCCATATTATAGAATTATATGTGAACAATAATTACTATAAAATAAAGGATGAACTTACTTGGAGCTAGAACCGCGGTAAAAAGATGGTGTGATAGCTCCTTAAGAGAAGTCATCTCAGGATGCTCGATGATGTATTGACATATTGTCCGTTTTCCAAGAGCCGGCAAGAAATCGATAAAGCTTTGGATGGTCTTCGCAGTGCAGTCTGTACCATAAGAAAGACAATACTGAGAAAGGATCTCGCGTGCTTCTTTTTCTTCTTCGCAGACACTGGCTGGATCCGATGATAGAGAGGAGATGGAATCGCTTAAATCACTTAGTTCTTGTGTTAGCTGAGACAAAGTCATCGTGAAGGCTTGGCTGCAGATAGAGAATAGGGTCTGATGGTTCTAATTGATCGAAAAGCTAGTTGTCGAAGCGAGGCTGGATGAGTTAGTTGGAATAAAGGCAGTTAAGAGTGTCCAAGGCGAGAACTTTGGTGAGGTCAGAGAGAAGTGTTCCGCGATCCCGTTCTTGCTTACCTATTTAGGTAGCTACCATACCGGTCCTTGGTTGGGACTTTAAATGGTAAGAACTCGGTCGAAAATCGGTAATTCAACAAAAAGGGTATACTACGAAGTCGACATGTTTAACAGAAGTATTTAAAGAACATTAAAATTATTTAACGTTGTGTACTTCTAACGTTAGTTATGTAAAAGGTATACGAATCGTCTTATAATTGAAAGGTAAACGAATTCGGAACGTTACCAAAAGGTTCCTAACGGTTCAGCAAATTCAATGTTCGGACTAGTTTTCGAACGTTTAATCTGTTGCTTAATGGTTTATTCTGTAAACGTTACTACTTCAAAAGGTATTTGGAAGGTTAAGAAACTGTTATAAACGTTTTGCATTAGTAACATTAATTTTGCTAACCGTCGAAGAATCGATTTAAATTGTCAACGCTGCTAATAGAAAACGGTATACGGTCGGAAACGCTAGACAGATTATTACGTAAAAACCGAGGAATGTCAATATTTAAACATGCTCTCCAGGTCAAACCATTGCAGGATCGCACGTTCATCTTGTATCATATTCAGATAACCATACATCTCTAAGATATAACGTCCCATTGTCCTATTCGAATGTTGCATCATTATGTGACATTCGACCCGTCATCCTATGTAATTCGCGCCACTATCGTCATTAGCTCGAAGTCTCAAGATATTTCCACTATGCACTTACCTTATTGACAGTGCGTGTCCTATGTACCTCTCGCGTACCTCTCGCGTACCTATCGCGTACCTATCGCGTACCTATCGCGTACCTATCGCGTACCTTGTTAAAGCCGAGTTAATTCCCAAAAAAAGTAATAGATCTATATCTTATGGTGTTGAGAAATTGAGCGACTAAGGGTTGGCCTTAGCAAAACATTAAGGTTACTTAGTCTGTATAGTACTTTAAGTTAGTTAGAGGTAGTCCGGCAATGTGCGTGCGTAAGAATTTCCTTAAAAGATAGGTATATATAACTTATAGTCGGCAAGTTAAATATTGTTTATATTCATAACATTTTGCGAGTATTAAAACATATATTAAGCTAATATTATTTATCTTATAGTTTAAAATTATATTATTAGAAGTGTAATTATTATTAAGGTTAAGTATCCTAATGCCGCAACTAGTTAGTTATATACCTAGGTATCTTAATATTATAACTAGTTATTATAATAGGTAGGATATTAATATAACTCTTAAAAAATCAAAGGGGAAACTTAGGATTATATATACTCTCTAATTTATCTTAGGAGCTAGTAATCTTTAATATCTCTAATATAGGGTCAGTGTTTCTATCTATAAGGGATACCTCTAAAAAAGCTATTTAGTATTATATTTATTACTAATATCTAGATTAAATAGCGCTTAATTTAAAAAGCTATATATATTAGCCTATTATTAGAGATATATAGCCTATCTTTTATAATCTATTTGCTTTAAATAAGTTTAGCATATAATTATTAGATTAACTTTAAAGACTAACTTTAAGGATTAATTTTTAATATACTTATCTTAAGACTTCTATAATTCTAGATAGTAAGTATTATTATCTCTTTAATTTACCTTTTTAATAAAACGGGAATATATTTATATCTTTTATCTAGGATCCTTTTATTATTATTTTAGTATTAGTATTTAATCTATATTAAATAATTAATTAATACTTATTTTATATAATCTGTATCTTATAATAAGACTTTAACTTATATTTATAGGTATTATTACTATTATTATATAAAAATTAAGTAAAAGAAGAGAGAGCACGCAATTTTAATATATTTTTAAGGAGATAATATATTTTTAAAGAAGTAATATCCTTTTAATAAAGGAATAGCAGTTATTATCTTATATTAAAATAAAGGGAAGATAGATAAAATAGAATTAGTTACTTAAAGTATTTAAATAACTATATAATATTAGATAGATAAGAGAAAAAAAAAAGCTATATTAAGATAAAGAAAAGAGACTAAAAAGAAGGGCTTAGAGAGTAAATTATAAGAGATAAAGAACTGCTATAGAGTAAGATAAAACCTTATTTATTTAATACTTTATATTATATAGTATTTATTATAAAAATATAAATATTAATAGCTAGCTAAGAGTCTCCCCTTTAATCTTATTATTTATATATATAAATTAGTAAGACTATTAATACTACTATAAAAGTCTAATATATTAAATCTAATATATTCTAATTCTTAATATAACTCTATATAACTGCTAAAAAAAGTCTATTTCTTATATATAATTTAATAATTTATCTCTATTAAGCCTAAGAATATTAATTTTATATCCTTAATATTATAATACTTAAGTAATAGGAATTATATATAGCCTTATTATTTTTATAAAAGCGAGCCCTATAATATCTATATCCTTATTATCTATATTATAGATAGATAAGGCTAGAAGCTTATTTATTATAGGATAAGAGGTTTTAAGATATATTATTCTAAAAAAGATCTTTAGGTATTTTTCTTATAGTTTATATATAAATATCTTATCTATTCTCTTAATTCTCTTTTCTTAAAATCTAATATAATTACTATAAGATAAATATATTTAGAATAAATTATCTCTATAATAAACTTTTTAATTAGATATTATTCTTAATTAAACTTAAAAACTATAATAAACTTATTTAGGGAAATAATTAATCTTTTAAAACTATTTTAATAGAACTAATTTGCGTTCTATAATTATATAATTCCTATAATTTAAGCTATATATACTATAAAGAGCCTTTAAAAATAGATTAAGAATAGGGAGAAGAGATAAATAAAAAAAGATACCTATCTCTTTAAAGATAAGCTTTAAGGGGATTAAATTCTAGATTTATACTATTTTGTATTTTACTATATCTAAATTAAACATATTAATATTATCTCTATTCTCTTTAACTAGATATATTTATAAAAGATTTATAAAGAATTATAGATAATTATTATAAAGATTTATTATATACTAAATAAGCTTAGATTTAATATTATTATATATCTTTTAAAGAAGTAAAAGTAATATTCTTTAAAAACTTTCTTATTATAATAATATCTTTTTAATATCGCAGTAATTTATTTAACGCATAAGCTATTTATAAAACCTAAGGAATTAAATTAGATTAATTTATATATATATATTAATTCGGAGTTATTAATAGGCTATTTACCTATGTTTATCTTCGCTAATTAATACATTACAGTTATTAGGGACAGCATATTCCTTTGCTTAATTAACATAATGTAATCTAATGTGTATATTTGGCCGACACTTAATAGCGTAATATTCTTGGCTTTTCTTTATTTCCTATAGGCGACTTATCCAAATAGAAACCTCTAAGCCGGCAGGTAATGGGCTTCGTGATATTCGTAAGACAGAATTAGATCGCGATTTAGCCGGGCGAATTTCTTCTGCAGCAACAGCTGCGATCTCAAGTAGTGTTTATATCCCCTTACGCCCTTCAATGATAATTTCTCTTAGTTTGTGTCTATCGTACTTACTCATCGATCGCTATGCAAGCACTGAATTACTCTTGGCTATCGACGCGAAAATACCAGTGACGAGGCTAACGGGCGAATGAAGTAGATATATCTTGTCGATAAACTGCTTTAATGCTTTTAAGTAAGAAGAGTCAAACTAGTTTTTATTAAGACAACAATGAAGAAGCAAAGGAATAATAATCGATGCGCGTGCATGTTCTTGTAGTTGATAGCTCTCGAGATAGGTTACCGGAGATTATAAGCGACCCTATCCTGAAGGAAACTAGAACTTTCGAAGAGCAGACAAATATTCGATTTTCCTATTTGGTGATAATATTGTATTAACTAAAAGAGAATGTGCTGTCTTTAATATCCCTGCATATTCTGAATAACACAGGTCTAATAGGAAATAAGTTATAAGATTAAGACTGGGTGCTATCTGCAATAATAGCGATTTTTACTTTGCGATACTATATTTAGATAATAGCTTCTTATAAGCAATTAAACTACACATTTCTGTAATTATTTAAATATTAATAGTTTAATAGTAATAGCGACTAAAAAGCGTAGTGTTATAGTCTAAGTTTAAGCAATCTTTCTCAGTCGCAAGATATTAACAATATCTACAATTTGCTGTCTGTCTTTTAATACCGGCATTATCCTATTACTGTAGCATATCCCTAAGAAATATATGCACATATACTACTAGCTTAGTCTTTTCTCCGCGTATCTTAGTCTTAATACTATAATCTAATTGTAAAAGCCTTTTTAGGGATAATATTATATTAGTAAAATTACTTCTATGCGGTCCTAATATAATAGAATAGATATTATTATATTTAGCCCTTTCTACTGCATTGAGATAAGCTAGGATTATATAGATTCTTATTAGACTTTAGTATATATTGCGGTATAATCTAAAGCTATTAATAAAGAGCTAATATAGAAAAGATAAACATTTCCTAGCAAAAAAGGTATCTACTAGTTGCTTCCTTCTATAGGTTGCAATCTCTAGTTCGTCGCGTAGAGGTGTCGTTAGACAAAGAGGGCGAACTGAGGTAATATCTTGATTAACTACTTGTCGAATAAGATATCTATTAGTTAGTTTAATAATACGACTCGAAAACCCATTTTAGAATTAATAGTCGAAAAGGACTATTTTTTCCCGATAGAGAATATCTAATTCCGATAAATACAGGTATCTATTCTCATAGATTATTAATTTATTTTCCTTAAATAGTAGACCCGTGCTTTTAAGTAATATATGTAAATAATTAGTTATAGCCTTATAGTTAATAAGTTTCTGAAGCTGTAATTTTATACTCCCCTTGCAATTAGTATTAGACCTATAATCTTTTCCCGCAGCTATAATACGCCTAATATAAGCTTATAAGTTAGACGATTAGCACTTAAGTCTACAGGTTA